ACCCGTAAGCTCCGGCAGTGATTCCGGCACTATGTCGCTCATATACGTGTTAATCTATTATCTTCCTTCCCAGATCACCAGTCACCCCACAAGGTAAGCAACTCAGTTCATCTCAGTATTCATACTTCACTGGTTTTGGGGATTTCATCGGAGCGGTGCTTTCCCTCCTGAATGATTATCTTGCAAACCGGGGCCTAATCGCCAAACACCATTACATTCTCCTTGTATTATCATGGCAATCATTTCATTCATATGACGTGTAAACAATAAATATGTCATTCTTACATCACGTCTCTCCGGTTTGAAATGAAAGCTTTAGCGCAAGTTCAATAAGGAAGACCTAACACGAGTCACTTACACGTCACTCTATGGCTCCCTTCCCCCCTCATTAAATATGAGGGCGTCACCCCTCAGCAGCCAATAGCTGCACATGCTAATGCCTTAAATGCCTGCTCTTCCTCCCTGTCAGTTGTCATTTGCAGATGACCGCAACCCGCCTCCACCCCTCTCGCCTCCAGTCTCCTCCAGGACAAGCTAAACCTTCCTTCTTCAGACCGGTCCTCACCTACTCATCACCACCACCAGTGTCTAGACCCCGGGGATTTCATCGGAGCGGTGCTTTCCCTCCTGAATGATTATCTTGCAAACCGGGGCCCTAATCGCCAAACACCATTACATTCTCCTGTTGTATATCATGGCAATCATTTCATTCATATGACGTGTAAACAATAAATATGTAATTCTTACATCACGTCTCTCCGGTTTGAAATCAAGGACTGGCTTATCTAAAGCCAGTTGTGAGTAGCACTTGAAATGTTTTTTGCTCTATGAACCTGATGTACTTATATGATTCTGTTTTCTTCAAGTTTGTATTTTGTTGGTCGAACGCACTTATTGTAAGTCACTTTGGATAAAAGCGTCAGCTAAATGTAATGTAATCGCAAAGACAATGATGTAAAATAATGACAATAGGTGGGGAGACGGTGAGTGCTTTCACCAGAACATGGGGTTCCTAAGGTTTCAATTTCCCTGAAAGAAAGCCACTGATGAGGATACACCCATACAGAACAACTAGGTCCCTGTTCATCATTAAATATTTACCGTTCCCTGTGTGACAAAAGACTATCTGATGTTTTCAAGCTGAAAATAGCAGATCTAATGATGCATTTTAACTAAATAATTACAATATTTCATGCAGATCATAGAAATAAAAGTGCAAAGCATCAGATCACTCCTGCAAAAATGACCAGAGTGCATGTATGATCATGAGTTTATCTGTAATTATTCATAATATTATACCTGTATGTGCTACGATATTTTCCCGCATATTGCAACCTTTAAAAGTTACATATAAACTCTGACAAGATATAGATTTGATACAAAGTGTTCCTGCAGAAACGGATTTCCCCTATGTTGCATTTTTTATCCATCTGTCTTTCATCAAACCATCGAACCCTCTCACACTGCATGCACAAGATGATCTGAAAAAAAAAACTAGTTATAAAATGTTTATTGGTTTAGAGCATTAGATCCTTCCTTAACATAAAACTGATTCCAGATCATTTCAACTGCAAAAACTCACAGCTATTGTTCTGTTATTATCGTTTTAATGCACGCATTCATGTCTTTTCCATCGAATCGCTGCATTCATCCATGCCACAAACACAGATTGTCAACAGTCTGCAAGATCATAAATTAGACACAACATGCCCTCTGTGAAGCCGGCTATGTTTCAGTCTCTTGCTTCTCTCCCTGTTTCACAGAAATGAAACTCATGGAGCACGCCACACAGGCAACAAACAACGAGTACGTAATATTGCCGCAGGTAAGACACACACACAAACAAACAAACTGCCTTGTTCAAAGCAGATGATAGGGATTAACAATATGTCTGCAGTATACATACAATAATTGCAGACGGGGCAGTGGCAGAAATCCAGATTCCCAGCGTGGTTCTGATTAGAGAGAGAGGTTTTTACTCCGGCCTCTCTTTCTCTGCCTGTCTCACTCATCACTTACTCACATCTTGCTGCAGATATAACACTGACACAGTGTGTGAAGCATTGACTACAAAAGGTATAATAAAGTCTTGCACTTGGGAATATTATCATATTCCTGCAACCAAGGTGAACTTACAGCTAGAAAAATGAACACCCTTTAAAGGAGAACTCCTCCAATTAGCATTGCAATCCTGTAACCACACAAAAAAAGCAAATCCAAACATCCATCTTCCTTGTTCCAACCTGGCTTTATTTAACCCACAATGCAATTCACAGTTTAGGAAATACTATACTATGTCTCCTGTAACGTTTTATGACATTTAAGGGCATAAAATAATATGATTTTTGGTTACATACTTCATTATGGCATTTTGCGACATTCTACTATGTGTTTATTTCTGGTGTGTTATGCTAGTAGCAGCGACTATAGCCTCGGCCCGCTAACCCTCAGGCAGAGTTGGAAGCAGCTGCAAATGTCTGGTAGGCTATGCTATTTCTCCTAACTCCTCAACACCAGAATACTTTTTCATATTTAACACTTTGAGTCTTTGGAGCCCCAAAAGGCTTCATAAAAACTATGTTTAATAAGACCTGTAAACTGACTATAATGTGCCGAGTTCCCAATAAAATGTGGTTTTGGATTGTGTCTATTTCAGTCCCTTAAAGAGAGTAGGATTTGGGAGTGTTAAGCATTATTCAACAGAATAGCCCTCTGCTAGCTCCTAATTTTACAAAACTGGGTAAAAAGCTGTGTTAACGCTGTTTTCTTTCTCAGGAACTTCACGTACCGTAAAAGCCTTTCTTACCATAACACAACTTTAAAAGCAACACAATTTAGATAACATTAAAAAAGTGAAAGGCCCTCTCTCAAGCCAAAGCTTGTTTGTCCCTTCAGAGCTACTATAGAAATGTCATGGATGTTGACCCGTTTCCGATGTAGATATGAAGGCCTCATTCTAACAAAAATATATTTTAGATCATTATACACAAATGAAAACTCCGTAATGAATAATATGTTCCATATCAGTTTATAAATCCTTCTATATTGAACACACTGGCCCTTTAAACATTTTTCAGTATGAAGAGTTGTATCTCAACATTATGATTAACACATGATTAATAATGCACATAATAGAACCAGCTGGCTAATGTGAGTACTAGTTGAGTCAGACTAGTCCAGACAAAATGGAACTAAGCCTTACAAAGACATACACTATGACCTCACACCACATTTGGTTATAACATGCCTGCCTGTCTGCCTCTTTAAGCTTAGCCAGCTGACCGAAGCTTTCCTTAACTTTCAGTTTGTGTGCCTCGCTCTGATGTAACCTGAACAGACTTAGTTCTTCTGGCTCCCTCTCCACAAACATGTTTATATGTTCTTGAATGGTGATGCCAACTGTTGATAGTGTCTGACTAGGTATATTTAGCATGGGAGGTTTATGTGTAGGTATATTTCGAATTGACTTACAACAGAGTCACTCTACATTACACAGATATGTCAAAATGCATGATCCATTTGGCATGGAACTCTAATTAAGTGATGTCAAATCACAGAAGATAGACAGCAGGACTTTATGACTGCGGTGTCATTTGACTTCATGTGAAACAGTTGGCGCTTACTTATAAACACCACACCTCCAAGTCTCACTGGTCATCTAATAACTGATATGTCATCTGCATCCAATACTGTTATTATACAAATGGGATTGACAAAGGAAAGGGCCTTATATAGCTAGGAGTGAAAAGCTAACATAATGAAAGGTCAGGATGTCACAATACAATCATTTCTGAGATGAATCACCACATGACAAATTTTTCTGCAGAAAACCTTGCTATTATCAACAAATGAAGAAGTGCACCATTGGTTTGGTTTCCCTCTTGGCTCGAGTCAACTGATTTGGTCCTTGCTGTATTTAGAAACAACCTCATACTTTTCATGTGACTTGATGTTATACATGTCATGGCTGCAGCGATCATTATCACAATTCCTTGTTAGGTAAAGTAAAAAAAACAAAACAGCTAAACTGCCCGATTATTTTTTCTCAGGAACTTCTGCAAAATCTGAGACTAAACGCCAAATAAAACTTGGTCTGACATTTGATAATGAGAATTGCATCAAAGGCAGCGCTACGCAATGATTGATACGTGACTGCTGTTTTTAAGCATTTGTAGTTAACGGATAAAAAACTGAGAGATAGATACAGATACACGGTCCATGTGTGTGTGTGTGTGTGTGTGTGTGTGTGTGTGTGAGAGAGATAGGACAGAAGTGACGCAAAAATAACTGTAAAAATGAAACACTCAAACCGTGAGTGATAAAATGTGGTGTAATGTAACAAAGTACATTTACTCAAATACTGTACTTAAGTAAAACAATGTAGGTACTTGAACTTTACAAGTACCTAAAGTATTTAGTATTTTTACATTAAGTGTTGGACTTTTTACTCAACTACATTGAGTTACTTTGCAGATTTAGGTTATTAATACAAAATATAAATTGGCACACATTATTATAGGTTAAGCTACCCAGCAATGTAATTCAAATAAACCCCAACTTTACCAAGTGCAACATTGAAATTATGACTACATTAATGCACCAATAATTTGTATTAAGCAATTACAAATATCTGGTCCATTTGCATAACGCATACTTTTGGTACTTAAAGTATATTTTTGATGCCAATACATTTGTATTTTTACTTAATTTTGAAAGCAGGACTGATACTTGTAAATGAGTATTTTTACTCTGCAGTATTGCTTCTTTTACTATAAACGCCGCCATTACTCGCATCTGTCAGCGTCCAGCTGTCATGTGGCTTTGCGGTTTTCACGAAATTCTCTTAATAATAAATTACTTGAAACGAAATGAAACATCACACGGCTCACACATCATGGGTTTCACTTTCGTTGGCTGGCAGTTTCAAGGAAACGATCTGCCTCTGTGTGGCTGTTCAGGGAAACAAGAGGGGGGGGGGTGCGGCTTTATAAAATCAAGAACTGGTTATCACCGACACACACACGAGTAGTTTGTCGAGTGGAGATCATCACAGACAGCAGATCCATAAAGTCAGAGCTGTCAAACTGTGTTTTACGCACAACTCCACGCTGTGCCACGGATTACCTGCAGGAGATAAACGCATTGCATTTCAGTGTTTTGCACTTTGGGATTACAGACACACACATACCGATCACTAAACAGCTGCTGTTGTTAGCAGAAAACGGTAAGTCTTTCAAACTTAAAATACATATTTAACTGTTTGCGTTTCTGCATGATATAAATGGTGCTTTGCAACATTCATGGCTGCTTTTTTTCCTTGGGCGGAGTGCAGTGGAAAAGTAGGGGATTGCACTTTTTAACTGCATTGACTTTTTAGACAAAAATACATGCTGGAGTTTTCATTTTGCAACACACTATCCAGATGTTAACAGCAGCTGTAAAACGTTGTGAGCTAATGCAGACATTACAAAAATAAACTCATCCAAAGGGAAATATAATTCTCCCCCCTGTATGGAAATATGAGTATCATTTAAATGTTATCCTTCTCCATGGTTCATTATTTGTTTTAGATGACATTGAAGTGAAAAAAACACCTAATGTTAATCATTACCTTTCCTGGAATCTAAAACAAATGTTTATGAAGTTACCATGTCCAGAAACACAACTACTTTCAATTAAAAAATGTAAAGGTTAAATAAATAAATAATTAATTCGTCATTTACTAAAACAAGCCTGCATTTAACCTGGAATTTCAGTCAGTAGGGCTTAAGTGCTTCTGCTATAAACCCCACAAACTGTGTATGTGTGTATGTGTGTGTGTAGTATATGTGTGTATACAGGCAGTGTACAGTAATCTGAGTGCAGCTGACATCAGTTTACTGTATTATGACCTAACCACATATTCCATTCATACAAAACACAGTACAGCTCCATGGAAACTTGAATGAGACATTCACTGTACACACACACCACACCCCACATATAGACATATTTCTCCTTTTAGAGCATCAGAGCCTTACATTGTCATTGCCTAACATATTAATGTTGTTCACTGCCATCGTCTTTATATATTTGTCATGAAGATCTAACTCTTTCTTACTGACTTAAATGGGGAAATAAATGGATTTTTAATAATAACTTTTCTTCTCTTCTCTCTCAGGATGTCAGTGTGGTGTTCAGAGATGGGAGAGGGTCTGGGGCCACTCTCCCCTGTAGGATGGTAGCCAACAGCACAGTGGAAGGCCTTGACAAGACCAGGTTGTCTAGCTCATCCTCATCGTCATCGTCAACCTCATCCTGTTCTTCATCATCGTCCCTGTCATTACCGCTGGCTAGGCACGAGCTCTCTCTCAGCCCTCAGCGAACAGAGTCAGAGCTTCAGCGTCGGGACGATCCCAGCCCGAGGTCGGTGTCGGTCCCCTCGGTGTACCTCACACACTTCCCCACATTCTCTTGTAAGGAGGACTGCAAGATCATTACGGACACAGCAGCCAAGCTTGAACACAGCGCCTTCTACTGGGGCCCTCTGGGAGTGGAGGACGCCCATCGCATGCTGAGGGACGCTCCTCTGGGAAGCTTCCTCATCCGTGACAGCCGGCAGAAACACGTCTTCTTCACGCTGTCCTACCACGGCAGCAGCGGGCCAGTCAGCGTGCGCATCGACTACAAGCAGCGGAAGTTCTCACTGGCGGGCAACGAGCGCTCCTTCCCGTCGCTCTTCGCCCTCTTGGAGCATTACATCAATTCCCCCAAGAAGAGCCTGAGCGTCCCGTACAGGAAATGGAAGCCGACACTGCAGGAGCTGTGCAGGAAGCGCATCATGGAGCTGTGTGGGGGGGGGCCAGGTGTCCGAGCTGCCACTCACACATGTTGTCCAAGGCTTCCTCATGGAATTCCCTTACAAACTGTGACCAGATTGCCTCTCAAAGTTTTGATAGTATTATTATTCATTTCAAGAAGGACCTTTTTACTGATGAACAGTAAACCGGAGGAGTGTTTGGTAAAGACTGCTCATAATGCGATGGACGTTAAGACTGCGTTGTCATGGTCACACATGAAAGTATGTCCATTACCTGGGCTTAAAAACTGCAAAATGGTTCACAAGAGACATCATGACCACAGTCAAGTAAAGGCTGTCGATAATAGGACAAAGCTTGGCATTTCAACACACATTACCTCCAGAGACTCTTATTGCACACGGAGAGATCGCATTCTGTTCTCAAGGAAGTATAACAAGTTGGGAAAAGCGGCATTAAGACACAGACACAATAGAGCTATAAATGAAGAAGTGGGGTCAAATGTGAATGTTCTATTGCAAACTATAGGGTCTGTTGTCGCCTGTTTGTGGCCACCAGTCGCCCAAAAATATCTAAAAGTGGATTGTGGGAGGACATTGAGAGCATCAACACAAAATACTTTTTGGAGGGTACGGTTAAAAGATTCACAGGAAGAAGAATTGACTTCTGTAGCAGACTTTAATACTCTAATGTTGTTGAATGTTTACATCACACATGAATGTTTGCCAGCACTTAGGGCTTGAATACCATTTGATATCTGAAATATTATCGAGGATGTCAGATGGTATTGGTGTCACGAGTTCTGGTGTGAAGTTGTACTGTATGCAGACGCACATCACCTCTTATTCAAACGTGTCTGCCAGGCAGATCATGTTTTTAATGTTTTTATTATATTTTGAATAAAACTTATTTAAACTTACCATGCTGGAGTTTTAGTTTTGATTGTGGCGTTTCTTTTCCCCAAATCATGTCATGTGCGGGAGAGGTAGGTGTAAGAAGGGGCGGAGACACACACACCCTCACACATCCACACTTTGTTTGCAGTGTTTTACAGACTATGGGATAGACAGGCAGACAGGAAGTGTGACGTGGTACCGTACAGTATTGTCACCAGTGTGAGTCATCTGAGTAGGGTAAAGTGACAGGTGGGTTGGGTTACATTGGTAGTAAATGGAGTGTTACGCTTAGAAACACACACACTTACCAGAAACAGGGGCAGTGGTGACACATAATGAAGAGTGTGTGTGTGTGTGCGTGTGTGTGTGTGTGTACGTGTGCTCTTATCATAAAGAGGACCCAGCTCAGATTGAAATTTCCTCAGGAGGAAGTTGGACATTTTGGGGGGGTTAGTGGTTTGACAGAAATGTTATATCAAGGTCAGGGTTTTAGTAAACGTGTGCGTTTCATTTCAGAGTTATGGTTAAAGTTGAATATGTAGAACATAAACAGCTGCAAGTAAGCAGCACAGAAACAAAGTATTACAAGAAAGCAGGTGAAAGATGAAGAACTTGACAAGAAAACTATTACAAGATGTCAAATTACTCTAAACAACCTGTACTTGAAAGTATAGTAAGCAAAATAGATTTAAAAGATTACAGATTTTTAACAAAGGGACTGCCATTATTTACAAAACACTGCCTGACATATCAAAATGTCCCAATGGATGACATTGGAACAAAGCCCAGGTGAATTCTTTGCGGAAGACTTGTTTTTGGAGATCAGGCAATGCTTAAAAGGGGTGTGTACAAAACAATTAAGGCAGTGAATAAGAAGAAACCTTACACACCTTTTACACATTCTTACATAGAGCCATTGCATTAATAAAAACGGTAAGAATTGCAGCAGAAATTCATGAAACTTCTTTTCCTGTCCTAACCACAAGTTGAAAAGTTCAACTGCTGTATAAATCAAGTTAACGTAAGTTGAATGTAGGAATATCCTGCTTGTGAAATATAACATTACCAAACAGCACATTTCTTCCGCTGAGAACCTGAACATTCAGTGTGTTTTCTTTGTATGGTTGTGTAACCCTTTGTGGGAATTCCTGACACTTTTCAGATACTACTAACTACTCGGTATCTTGCTGCGAGTTAGATGGGATCATGTGTGTAGAGAAGCCAGTTATCTTAGCTTAGCCTAGCATAAAGACTGGAGTGGAAAAGCAGCTAGTATCTCCAAAAGGTATCAACATCTGCCTACCACCACCACCACCTCAAACATCATTAATTAAACCACTATAGCTTGTTAAATCCTTAAAATAATAAGGTGTAAAGGCCAATCGGTTTTAGTTATTTCTTGACCGGGCGCAGTCACTTGGATTCTGCTGGTTTACACTTTTTTTATATATTGGACGGATTGAAAAAATTAGATGTTTTGTTTGATGAATGTTAGAGGTGCTGTTTGGAGTGTGTGCTGCAGACAGAGCAGTGTTGCCATCACCTCAATGTGCAGTCTTTGTTCAAAGCTAAGCTACCCAGCTGCTAGCTTGAGCTTATATTTGAAACATCTTCTTGTCTAATTTAGCAAGAAAGCGACATTTATTTCAGAAAATGTAACTTAAAACAGTTAATTCGTTAAATTAGCACTGAAGTATTGTATTTGTAAAAAAAATACTTGTTGAAGTTTTTAAATGTATAACAGTTTGTTAGCAGTAGGCTAAATGAGATTAGCTTTAGCTCGTACTCAAATTATCTTTAGGAAGCAGATTCATTATTCTAACATTTTCAGTTTCATGACGTCTCTGAGAGCATGCGTCTCTTTTTCAGACAGTGTAGTGTAGCCTACTAGTCATTTCTAAATTTAGGTTATGGAATCATAACTTTAACAAACCTCCAACCTCTTCCTTGTAACAAGAACTCCAACGCTAAAACCAAACCTTATCTTATGGCTTTTGATCTTTGGGGGGATTTTTTCAATTGGCTTTGGGTTTTAAAATAATGTTGCCACACACACACAACCACATCATGTTTGAGGATATAATTATCTCAGCTTGAGGCAGAGCAGAGGTGGAAACAACTCACATTAAAGTACAACATGAGTCAGTAATAAAAACAGTGGTATGTGTAATAACTGTTTATTATCTTGTCTTTTCATTCAAGCACAACGTGTTTGTTTTATGTGTGCGTGTTACATGTGTGTGTGCGTGAGTGTCGAGTGAATCATACGTGGCAGTTCCATTCATAGCTTCTCAGTTAGTAGAAGCACTTAACACACAATTCAGAGAAGTGAGGTGTTCTGTGATTGCGTTCTTATCACCTGTTTTCTGAGGAATCCTGGGTTGGAGTTTTGTGTCCTATAAAGATAAACACACACACTTCCACGGAAAACAATTGAAAACCGACACCTGAAGAGAAAGGTCTCTGGGCCATTCTACAGAAAAGGTGGAATCTGGGTGATACAAATCTGCTGAAATATATTCCTTCTAAAAACATCTAAAACCTGTTAAATAGCAATAACTAACTCTTAACTTGATGAATCCACAACAAGTAGAGCTTAAAGTATTTTAATTTTTTTAATTATTTTTATACTTTATACTGTAGTGCTGTGAAAAGAGAGTCGGAGGCGGTGTATTAAGAATGGAGTTCCAATCTTTATTATCCATTACTTTCAGAGAGGTTAACACATGCACTGCTCTGCCTGATGAGCTAGCAGGAATGGCAGCTAAAGCTACAGGTGTTCCCCACTAAAGGGTCCGTGTGGCAACACAATAAGCAAGGTGAATTATGTCCAATAACGTGTCACCACACAAGCCCCCCCAGAATTCACACATAAACAAAATCAGCATGGCGGAGAGGAACGACACGCCGACCCCCACGACTCCTGAGCACGGGAGTCGGAAAAGTGACTCCCGCCTGTGCGGCCTCCGGAAGGGGAGGGACCGGAACAACAGGTCTTAAATCCGTGACAGGGGACGAGGCCGGGGGGCGGCCCCGTCGCGGAGGTCGAGCCAGCACCACAGGCTGGTCCAAGTCCAGGTGAGCAGCCTTCACCCGGTCCACCGAGACGTGCTCGGCCTTGCCACCCAGGTCGACCACCAGGTGCTTGTCCCCGTGCTCCAAGACCCGGAAAGGCCCATCATAAGGGGGCTGCAGGGGGCCTCTGTGCGCATCGTGCCGGATGAACATGTGCTCCGCCGAGTGGAGCTCTGCGGGAACCTGGGACACCTGAGTACCGTGCTGAGTAGTAGGGATCGGAGCAAAGGCCTCAGCGGCGTCACGCAGGAAAGCCCACTGGGCCGACGCCGACCAGGGAGCCGATGCATTTGGGAGGAAATCCCCCGGAACTCTCAGCGGCTGACCGTAGACCATCTCCGCTGTAGAACACTGCAGATCTTCCTTAGGTGCGGTCCTCAGGCCCAGCATCACCCAGGGCAGCTTGTCGACCCAGTTACCGTCCGTAAGGCCGGCCTTGAGGGCCGCCTTCATGGAGCGATGAAAGCGCTCGCAGAGGCCGTTAGCCTGAGGGTGGTAAGCGGTAGTCCTGTGCAGCTTAACCCCCAAACCGCCTGCCACAGCGTTCCAGAGCTCGGACGTGAACTGAGAGCCCCTGTCTGAGGAAATGTCTGACGGGGTGCCAAAACGACACACCCACGTTGCAATGAAGGCCCGGGCAACGTCTGCGGCTGATGTCGAAACGAGCGGAACTGCCTCCGGCTAACGGGTCGTTCTGTCCACCATGGTGAGGAGGTAGGAAAACCCCTGAGAGGAAGGCAACGGACCAACCAGGTCAATGTTGACGTGATCAAACCTCCTCTCAGGCACCAGGAAACGCTCCAACGGGGCCTTCGTGTGGCGGTGCACCTTAGCGCGTTGACAAGCCACGCACTCCCTGGCCCAAGTCCTCACGTCCCTTTTCAGTCCTTGCCAAACGAACTTCGCCGCTACCAAACGCACCGAAGGTTTAACGCCGGGGTGTGACAGGCCGTGCACAGCCTCGAACACAGGACGCCTCCAGCTGGCAGGGACGACAGGCCGCGCCAGGCCCGTAGAGACGTCACACAGGAGAGTAATGCCCGCGTCGCCGAACACCACGTCCTCCAAGAGCAGCCCCGCGCTCTCCACCTTCAGGGCCTGGACGCCGGGATCTGTGACCTGGTCTGCCGCCATGCGAGTATAGTCCAGGCCCAACTGGACGGCACCGATGACGACCCTGGAGAGGCAATCAGCAACCAGGTTCGACTTGCCAGCCACGTGCTTAATGTCCGTAGTGAACTCCGATATGTAGGACAGCTGCCGCTGCTGACGTGCCGACCAAGGCTCCGCCACTTTTGACATGGCGAAGGTGAGCGGCTTGTGGTCGACAAACGCCGTAAATTCACGGCCTTCTAGCATGAAACGGAAGTGCCGCACGGCCAAATAAAGTGCGAGGAGCTCCCAGTCAAAGGCGCTGTATTTGCGTTCTCTAGGCGTCAGCTGGCGGCTGAAAAAGGCGAGCGGCTGCCAAGCGCCCTCCACCCACTGCTCGAGCACTGCGCCGACCGCGTAGTCTGACGCGTCCGTGGTGATGGAGATGGGAGCCGTAGATGATGGGTGTGCCAGCAAAGCCGCCTGAGCCAACGCGGTCTTGACCTCAGCAAAAGCGCCGTCCGCCTCTGCTGTCCAGTCCATCTCCTGGACGGGGGTCTTGCCTTTCAACGCTTCATACAGCGGCTGCATGATGTGTGCGGCCCGGGCGATGAAACGGTGGTAGAAAGTCACCATTCCCAGAAACTCACGGAGCGACCGGGCTGTGAGCGGGCGAGGATACGCCGCAACAGCCTCCACCTTCGCTGGCAGAGGTGTCGCACCGCCCTTGGTGACGCGGTGCCCCAGGAAATCGATGTCCGACACCCCGAACTGGCACTTTGCAGGATTGATGATTAATCCGTGTTCGTTGAGCCGTGTGAAAAGGGCTCGGAGGTGGGACAGGTGATCCTGCACTGAAGCGCTGGCGACGAGTATGTCGTAGAGGTAAACAAACACAAACGGCAGGTCCCGCAGCATCGAATCCATCAGGCGCTGGAACGTCTGAGCGGCATTCTTGAGTCCAAAAGGCATCCGCAGGAACTCAAAAAGTCCAAAAGGCGTTATCACTGCTGTCTTGGGAATGTCCAGGGGGTGCATGGGCACCTGGTGGTATCCACGCACCAGGTCCACCTTGGAAAACACCCCCATACCGGCCAGATGCGCCGAAAAGTCCTGAATGTGCGGCACCGGATAGCGGTCAGGCGTAGTGGCGTCGTTGAGTCGGCGGTAATCCCCGCACGGACGGAACCCGCCGTTCGATTTGGGAACGACGTGCAGGGGGGAAGCCCAAGGACTGTCGGAGCGGCGGACAATGCCCAGGCGCTCCATGGTTGCGAACTCCGCCCTCGCTACAGCCAGCTTAGAAGGGTTCAACCACCGGGCTCTGGCGTAGACAGGAGGCCCCCCGGTAGTGACGTGGTGTTCCACGCCATGCTTAGTGGTAAGCGCAGAGAAGGTGGGTAGCGACAGGTCTGGAAACTCGGCCAACAGTCTGAGAAACGTGTCTGCACCTGACAGCGAGCCTGACAGCCCGTCGTACGCTGCGCTGCCAAGTGTGCACACGAGGGAAGAAAACGTTAAGGCATCAACCAAACGCCTATTCTTAACGTCCACTAAGAGTCAATGAGCACACAAAAAATCCGCTCCGAGGAGGGGAAAAGAAATGTCCGCTGTCACAAAATCCCAGCTGAAACGCTGTCCTCCGATGCACAAACACATAGGCCTCACGCCGTATGTGCGAATGGGACTGCCGTTAGCCGTCGTCAATCGCGGTCCGTGCCCCCCACGGGCGACGTCTTCACTCGACGCTGGAACTACGCTCCGTTGAGCGCCCGTGTCACACAGAAACAGGCTCCCCGAAACGCTGTCGCTGACGAAGAGGAGCCTGCACGTGCCGCCGACACTCAGAGCCACTACTGAGCGCCGGCCCCTCCGTTTCCCGGGGGTTTGTAGCTGCACGGAGCGATGCATCTCTTCGCCCTTGTCCCGAAACGTGCGTGGTAAACGCACTCTCCGGCGTCTCCACGCCGGCTAGCCACAGCCGTGTCCGGCCTCCGCCATGCTTTCTTGACTGCCGGTGGGCCGCTGAGCGTCGCGGCTAACGTCTCTGCCCCGGGCTGTTGCGTAGCCAGGAAAAAACGATCCGCTTCCTCAGCCAAAGCACGGGGCTCCGTGACAGGCGTGTTGGCCAGCGCCGTCTGTACCCGGGGAGGCAAGTGACGCAGGAAAATCTCCGTGAATAAAATCCGGGGATCTTCCCCCCCTAGCAGATTTAGCATTTTCTCCATTAGCTGGGAAGGCTTGCTGTCTCCTAGGCCTTGAATGTCAAGTATCTGGCGGGCCCTCTCCTTAGCAGATAAGCTAAATGTCTTAAGGAGAAGGGCCTTAATCGCCTCATATTTGCCATGATGTGGGGGGGCTGCGATGAATCCCACCAACCTGGACGACGTGGAGCTCCCCAGCGCTGCTACCACATGGTAGTATTTTAGGTCTCCGTCACGGACCTGTCGGCAGGTGAAATGTGCCTCCACGTGTGCGAACCATGCCTCCGTGGCGTGCTCCCAGAATTCCGGCAGCTTTATGAAAACATCGCGCTCAGCCATATTCGTTAATTTTCCGGAAACTTTCTCGGAAAAGTCAGGGTCACCAGTGTAGTGCCGTGAAAAGAGAGTCGGAGGCGGTGTATTAAGAATGGAGTTCCAATCTTTATGATCCATTACTTTCAGAGAGGTTAACACATGCACTGCTCTGCCTGATGAGCTAGCAGGAATGGCAGCTAAAGCTACAGGTGTTCCCCACTAAAGGGTCCGTGTGGCAACACAATAAGCAAGGTGAATTATGTCCAATAACGTGTCACCACAATACAAAGCTTATTTGTATAGGAACGTCACTGGTGTTACGTGTTACCAGGAAGAAGAGTAATGACAATTTGGAGAAAACACTACCATTTTAACAAAATGGCTGCAATGTGTCAGACCAAATATGGCTTCAGTCAATATCAAAATCGTTTAACTCTTCAATAAAATACATTTTCCCATTCAAATGTTCACCCCTAGGGCTATGCAATGAGTAACACTAATGACAGACTTGAAAGACGCATGTAAAATTTGAAGATAAAATGACACCTTTAACAAACAAAGTAAGAAGTATCTGACTTATGTCTTTGTCCACTGCACTGCCTCAAATGATCTCTTGGTACAGGAGGCACTTCAGAGACAGTACATTATTTCAAAAATAAAAGCGTTTTGTGTAGCAGTACGTAATTTTGAGTGACTGACATGTATTTGATATTATTAATAATAATTTGCGTTTTTTTTACCATTTCAGTGTTATATGTAATGCTTGTAATGTTATGTAAATATAAATTATATTTATTTATTGAAAGAAAATCTTTTAAATTAAAACTATAGGCTCCACTTCCGTATGATCAAAGTGACAAGGCAGTTCCTTGAACTTGGCATTTTAAATAAATTGCAATTTACGTATAAAACCATTTTTTATTTAGTACCATTGCAAAGACAATCTCTATTTATTCAACATATATAATGAATGTGAGTATTAGGTCAACGTCATGTATTTTGGTGTCTGCAAAAGTAAGTGACAGCACTTCCACCTTTTCTGTAGAATGACCCCTCTGCGAAAAAGTCCTTGGACAAAGTGAGAAAGGGTGACTAGAGGAAGTTCAAAGCTTAACGTTCAATGTTAACAAGTATTAAAGGTCCCATGTCATGCTTTTCCGGTTATTACCCGTCCCCTTGTGTGTTATGAAGTTTTTAAGCATGTAAACGGTCTGCAGTCACAAACCCTCAAAGTACACCCTGTAGCGAGTAAAACTCTAACACAGAAAATACCTGTCTATGCTGCCCCAGAATGCCTCGTTGGACATTTATCTTTTTCTTCCTGGGTACAGTGACATTTCCATACCCAAATGGACCAATCCGTGGAGCTCCTCACACACACACTCTCTCTCAGCGGCAAAACTGTGACGCGCTGGGGGGGTGCTAGTGGAGCCTTGCAGCGGCGAAACTTTGGCGCGCTTACACTGTAGGTGCGCCACGTTTGGGGGTGCGGGTGCTAGTGGAGCCTCGCAGATGGGGGTGCTGCAGCCCTCTCAGCACCCCCCCCCTTCCCGCGTCCATTCGCGATGTCTCGCAGACCCCACGAAGCAAGCAGGAAATGAACCCAGCTCACACTGTCCGCTCCTCGCAGCAGCGAGCCGCACAACGTCCCGCCAACATGGCACCCAGACCCCACGCAGCATTCTCATCTGTTTGTCATTACTGGTGATGTGGGGGCTGCTTAAAGACAAGATTCCACTATATCCAGTGTGTGTGTTTAATATTGTAGTTTTTCTAAAATAGCTAAATAAGAACGTCTCACCTTATATTTAAAACTTTTCTCACTTTTCTCAATGTACTTCATGTTGGGTTGAGAAGACTGACTAAATAAGTATAATGTCTATTAATTTGACAGGCAGTCACATGATAGCCTAGCTTAGCATAAAGACTGAAAACAAAAGGAAACTGCTAGCCTTGCTTTGTCGGAGGGAACACAATGTACCTACCAGTACCTTTATCTGTTTAAAGGGAAAACAACGGGCAAAACAGTCATCTTAAAGCTCACCAGTGTGGTAGTAGGCCATACCTCAGACAACAACAATTTTAATCTTTTGTCAAAGCTAATACTCAGAAGTGCTAGCCACTGTTGTTTCAAACTCATGCCGACATGAAGGCTAAACTCGACAAATCTTCAAATCTGTCAAAGATCAAAACATCAATTGAATGTTTTGACTGTGGTTTAGTACAGAGAAGAAAAAAAACATACACAGAGCATCTTAGTATCGTTGCAGTACCAGGAACCCAGTCACATGTTTACGCATAACCAGACTTCCCTGAAGAGAGGAACCACGATAAAGCGACACGTACAGACCACAAGAGGACTGAGGGCGCCTGCTGCAGCCACAGCGACACGATGCAAAGGTAGAAAGTGTCACCCAACGTCATCACTGTCTCACAAACACGCACTCAGGTCACCATTTTTAAACCTTTGCAAAGTATTATGAAAAGGTTAGATTTTGTATCTATTCTTCAGTTTAATTCTGGTTTTACAGCTTCTGAAAACAATCAGTGGAGGCCTTCAAAGAGTCATTGTTATAGTGTGTGTGTGTGTGTGTGTGTGTGTGTGTGTGTGTGTGTGTGTGATTCTGTGAAGAAAGGTGAACAAATATAAAAACAAAGACAGCAGATCACTCGTTAAGTAGAATAATTTATTGCAGTTCTTTATTTATTCCTCTGTTTCAGTTAATTAACAATAATTACAGGTTTTTTTTAAAAGCAAAATGCATTTACAGAGCATATAAACATATTACATACACACACACTACAATCAGAGACTTAATAATGGAAGCTTGTCATGACATGTGTGGTTAGAGGTTGCCAATGGTTACAGGCGACATGCCGCCATGTTTTTTTGAACCATCAGAAGCTGCTCTACAAATTGTGCCAAGCCTCTTCAGCACGCCAGTGATCATCACTATCATTCTTCTGCTATTTACAGTAGCAAGATGGAAATAGACGGACGAAAAAAAGATGACTGTACGGAGAAATGTCGAGCATTAAGACTTTAGATGCAAGATAACAGCAGACAAAGAAGAGCAAAGGAGGAAGTAGAGAATATGACATTGATAAAAAGGAATTAAAATGATATTAGAGGAGTTTTATGTTCAAGAGAATCTGTGACACTGCTTTGATCAAATCAAGTCATGAAATAAGGATCAAATACACTGATGCCATTCAAAATGAAGTAATAACACAGCTGTTCAGAGAGATAAGTCATCCGTTACATTCATCTCGCCCCTCATTGGTTAGCTCTTTACATTATTGCTGTAGTAAAGCTTTGTTCAGCTGATTAAGGGAGGAGGTGGACACTGACCTCAGAGCAGCTTCTGAAGAAATGACTCCCCATTTACCAGGAAAGCTTTCGTTTCTTGGGTGATTTGACCAGGTTTTAAACTAAAGCTGTGTGTCAACTTTGATGAGACAAAAACTTTACACTATGATTTAGGTTTTTGCATGAAATTAAGCAAATTGTACTTTTTCTGGAGGATGGGTGTTTTAGAGTTAACCGGTAGTTGGATGGGGATTTTATTGTATTTTTCTTTCTTTTTGTGGTTTTCCTAGGGTAATTATAAAACAGGTCTTTCCAACCAGCAAATGGTGCTTTGAGAGCGTTTATCCACTTAAAACACAGTCATGGAGTCAAACTGAACTCAGGTCAGTGTCTGAGGGGTCACCAGCAGATACATTCAACCCAGTGTTGTAGTAGTGTGTAGGACTGAAGAAATGGATGTTATTTCAAATGGTGTCTCTTAAAGTCTAACATTCCTGATATATATTAAACTACATCCCTCTACGATACTGTCAGAATTGAATTAAGCACCTTTTATTTTATTTTATATCTATACTCCTAATTGTATCAAAAATACTCATTATTTTAGATGAGTAAAACGTAATTTCACCGGTGTTGCGACAGACGGAAACGCTCCATGTAGACATGAATGAACGCCTGACTGAATAATTGACTCAGTGAATGGCTATCCATATTATATAACTGCTGTACCACTTATTCAGCTCCATTCAGATCCTTCAAATCAATTATCCTCTCAGTCAGGGTGCTGATTGGTGAAAACCACACCACACTTTACAAGTTGGATACGGGAAGAGGGTTAGTGAAAATCCAATGAGGTCAAAGTTTGTTGATTACTGTTGCATATCGGAAAAACCAAAAAACAAGTTTTACACGGCACTCGAGCAAGCCGCGATAAACTGTCAGCCCAAGAGATGGACATTACGGACACAGAGTGTGTGCTGGCTGTGATGACATTCAAAAAGCTGCTTTCACACACATCCCGAGATGAATAAATCCACGTTTACTAGAGGGGAGGGCACAGTACATTTCAGGTTCACAGCAAATGCTGCAAGATGTCAGTAAATGGGAAATTAACAGGTAACTTTACACCTAAAACAAAAAGTAAAAAACACACACACACAACCTAGGTCGCTAAATCATCGGAGCCCATACACACACACCACCCAATGGCAGTTCTAGGTGGCAGTAACTGCTAACGGGTGTGACACACAGCAGTTTGAAGGCAAGTGCAGCTGACTTTGTCTGTATTGTGTGTACAGCGTGTGTGTGTGTGTGTGTGTGTGTGTTAGCATCGAAGTGACTACCGCCACAAATCATTAGAGGTGAAAGAAAGACACAAACCTAGAACAGGTCTGTAACACCTCACAGCGCAGTGTGTGTGTGTGTGTGTGTGTGTGTGTCTCTGAGCTGACAAACAATCGTTATGAGTAAAAAACGTTGCTGGTTGCGCGCCTTTACACACGCTCACTGAAAACACAACCGGACACACTCAAGTGCTCGGAAACCCAAATGTGCTTTAAGCCTTCCTGGAATAGTTCTCTCGGAGTAAAAAGAGTCTTCCTTCATGTGCAAATGCTGAAATGCTTCCAAATCCTCTGATGAATATCTACAGGTCGCAACGGGAAAATATACTGCAGCAGAGCTGGGTACTTTAACTATCACACTTCACTGTCTTCTTAGTGTGTGAGAGATATGTTAAGTGCATGAACGTGTGTGTGTGTGTGTGCGTGTGTGTGTGTGTGTGTGTGTTGTGTGTGTGTGTGTGTGTGTGTGTGTGTGTGTGTGTGTGTGTTTGTGGTTTAATCCAGTTCAGGGGAGTCTGGTGTGTCACTGTGTACGTCTGTGTCTTCGGTTACATACTCTGTGGCTTGTTGGTCTGAGTTCACCTCTACAGGAGCATCTTCATCTCCTTCCTCCACTTCTTTCGCAGCCTCGTCAGTGGTTTCCTCTCTTACCGTCTCCTCCTCAGGCGACCCGTCTTCTTCTTGCAGCTCCTCCTCTTTCCTGTCTCCCTCCCCCTCTTCATCCTCCTCTTCCTCCTCTGCGATGACGGCGTCTGGTCTCTGGAGGGAGAGTGTGGCGGGGGTGTGGCTGGTGCAGGGGTGCAGGTGGGGTGAGTCTGAGGGGGGCAGCAGAGTGAGCGACTCCACGCTGAGGGTCTCTGCGCTGTTGTCGGTGAGGAGGGAGATGGTGGGCTGCGACGCCGGGGTGAGGCTGGGGGCCAGAGCCGCTACTGGAGCAGAGGAGACGAGCGTTACATCTCCACCTTCCCCGTCTCCAACCGAGGAGGAGGGGGGGGTGTGCTCCAGAAAAGCATCATCTGAAAGGAGAGCAGAGGGCAGAGTGAGGCGGGTAAACATGAGGGAGGAGGAGCATTTTTACTGTGTTGCTTTTCTAAACCCTCTTTTCTTTTATTTCATTCTAAAAAGGAGACACTTTCTAAATGACTCAGATCCTGATCCTGAGTACCGACTCCAAAATGATCTCCAAATTAAGTATCATATCATTTGAGGAAATCCTTTGCCTATAACATCAAACTTATCACGATCAATTTGAGTGGGAAGCTTAGCACCTTTGGGGTTTGCACATGGACACACACAGGAAGCTTTATGTCGTTACTACAGGGGTCAACACATGCACTCAGACTGATGAGTGAAACCGCACAGCGTGTTCACCGAGTCCCTCCTTCTGTTTTCATATTTAAAGAGTTAGGATAAGCAGATCAATTCTAAGGAGCCTGACATGATTGACAAAGTTACTCATCAGTGCAGAATAAGGAGGGACAGGGTGGACACAGTGCACATGAATGTGATAGCAGCAGCAGCAGCAGCATTAGTTACTATTGGTTGAACAGTGGGCAGAGCTAAATAAGCTTCTACTGTCTAACTACTGTGTTAGTATACTTACTTTGTTAAAGTGTAAGGGTGCAGTATGAAAGATACAACAAAAACATGTTTACAATAATCAAAGTCAGGTCCATTTAATTTGAATAAATCTTAGGGTCTGTAACTCTAGAGGTCAATTCATTTGTAGGTTTGAAAGATGTATTGAATTAGGGCTGCACGATATTGGAAATTGCGATATGGAAAAATACAGGCATTGAAGAATAGACAGTTTTTTTTGTCCGCAAACCATCCTTTCTTGAACTGTAATGATACAATTGCTATTTTTCTAACTATATTTAACCGGATGAAGGATTTTAGTCACGGACGTCTGGATCTTAGGCCCATTCCCAAACCGCCCCCTACACCCTACCCCTCCGTTTGCGCGTTCACGCGGAGGGTCCGCCATATTGAGGGCTGTTCCAAACCAACGAGTGTGGAGCGGTGTGGAGGGGGAGTGGGCTATCAAGCCCTCAAACAGCGAGTCTGCAGCGGTGCTGACTTGAGACCGGTCTCTACCTGACCGGTCTCAACGCTGTGTGTGTCCGTCAGGAAACACGCTGTTAACAAGTAGTTCCAGCAAACATCCACTGATAAACCACGATGTTAATAACCTCATGATAACCTCATATGTTTTAACTTAGGATCATACCTGTGTTTAGTCTAGAAAAAGGTAAATGTGTGCATTTTATTATAAAGTTGTGTATATTTACAGACTGTTGCAAAAACTAAGAAGCTTATAAACATCAGGTTTAAAACTAAAAGAGCTTTGAAACACAATGAAAGATGTTTGGAGTTTTATTTGAGTTATTAATTTACATTTTTTGTCAAAGAGATGCTGATTTGAAACCGTTGTTACACACAGTTACGGCATTTCCTGTTTCTGCCGGAGAGAGGGGAGGCCGTCCCAAAGCTTGCTGCTGTGTTTACTCCCTCCATCTGACAGGAGGAGCCTCGTTGAGCTGCGAGTGTGGCTACAGACGGAGTTCACTCCGTCACAGAGGGGTAGGGTCGAGGGAGTGGTTTGGGATTGGATCTTAAGTTATCAGAGCAACAAGCTGAGCTAGCTCGGTTAGCATGCGCCGAACTGCCCTGGAGAAACACATGAAACTACTATATTCAGTGTTTTTACCTTTAATCCCCGGGTCCGGTTGCTTTGGAGATGTGATTGTGATTGGTGGTTTGCTGTCACTCAAGTACCCCTGACATGAGAGCCGCGCAAGTTTTCCTTTTGAAGCAAGCAGCAAAAGAATTGTAACATGACGTGTTTGAGTTAATTTGCCTACTCAATATCGCACGTCCTAAAATATTTTAAAAAAAATTATTATTATTATTTATTATCGTAACGACGTGATATATCGTGCAGCCCTATATTGAATGATATCATGCACACTGATTTACTAAGAAAACATTTGAAAACACAGGTCTTGTGGTTAAGATTCAGTTATTAAATAATGCGTTTTTGTGGCATTTTACAGTACAGCCTTTGAGTTACTTCTTACATACAATCTGTACCAAATTCCACAAAATCTCATGATGAGTGTCTGTTTTTTAACCAGCTCTTCTTCTTCTTTAATTGTATGATGTAAAAAGATGAACAAAAATGGTGGAAAAGTAAGGAACCCTTTTAATTGTATCAAGATAACCAGAGAGAGAAACATCTCATCTCATTGCACCTGGTGTGCCTTTCACCTGCTCTGGGATCAGTTCACCTGAGCTGAGGGGTCAACGGTGAAAGCTCCGCACAGAGCTTTGTGTACATACGCCCTGAGTTATGTATAGCAGCAATCTACAGCCGTATGGTACAAGTCAAACAGGTCAAGCAGTTCCTCTGAATTGCAGACGTGTGATGAATTACATTTACAAAGAAACGGGTAAACGCCTCCCATGTGACCCTGTGATATACACAGAGACCTACTGTGGTTTTCTATGGAGGACGGAACATGACTTAAGTATAAATAAATAAATGTATGAAGAAATACAGGAATAAATAAATTACGTACATAAATACAGGAATAAATAAATAAATACGTAAATAAATAAATAAATACAGGAATAAATAAATGACGAAATAAATACAGAAATAAATAAATGTTGAAATGAATACACAAATAAATAAATAAAAGAATAAATGCATAAATAAATATGGAAATAAATACATCAATGTATAAATAAATAAATGTCGAAAATAAAACAGAACACACGTTATTATTATATATCTTTCATTTATTTCTACATTTACGCGACATACATTTATTTATTTATGTATTTATGTGTCCGTATGCTAATGAGGTGGGCGGTCCTAACCTCAGTCTGAAGCAGGATTCGCCAATTGTTGGAGCCAGGCAGAAGCAATAGATTTGTGGCAAGTCACATCATGTCGAGCTGAGCCAAGTCCTCTATACATCGTTCCACACGAAACTGGACATAATCTTTTGGTTCTCCGTTCTCTAAATGGTCCGCTAATGATCGTAAATGATCTCCAATGGCTCTTAAATCAATATCCATAAATAAACCTTACAACTGTGGATACACCATGGATGTATAAAGATAAGGGCTAAACAGTAAAGCTCCTGCATTCGAATCAGCGCGGTTATCCAGGCGTTAGTAGTAGAGCCCTCTGCCAGAAATGATCACACACTCCTGTAACCAATCCTGCTTCAGACTGAGGTTAGGACCGCCCACCTCATTAGCATACGGACACATAAATACATAAATAAATAAATGTATGTTGCGTAAATGTAGAAATAAATGAAAGATATATAATAACGTGTGTTCTGTTTTATTTTCGACTTTTATTTATTTATTTATACATTGATGTATTTATTTCCATATTTATTTATGCATTTATTTATGCATTTATTCTTTTATTTATTTATTTGTGTATTCATTTCAACATTTATTTATTTCTGTATTTATTTCGTCATTTATTTATTCCTGTATTTATTTATTCCTGTATTTATTTATTTATTTACGTATTTATTTATTTATTCCTGTATTTCTTCATACATTTATTTATTTATACTTAAGTCATGTTCCGTCCTCCATAGTTTTCATGTTGGTGTGTATATGTTACTATACAGGATGCATCTGTGCGTGCTGTATAGTGCACATATACTGTGTTGACAACTCCTCAGCTCCATAAAGAGTGTATCAATACGTTGTTAATTTAGTCTCCTGTTGTCCGTAGGATTTCATTTTTCTAAAGTTATTGATTTACATAATCTTACAGGATATTCTCCAGGTTAAAGATAGGAAAAGTAAGTAAATACAATTGCCAAAAGAAAAGGGTAATATTTGGCTCTATATCTTTGTGTGTTGAGTGTGTGTGTATGTGCTGTGTGTGAGCTACCTGTGGGGCTCTGAGCCGATACAGTGCTCGCAGTAACAGAGTCACATCGTCCTGTGCTCCCACTCCCACTGGAGGGAGGAGAGGGGGAGGAGAGGGGCGAGGGACTGTGCGACACACAGTGAGCCACTGCGAAACCTGAACATGGACACACACATGAGTTACCATGGCTGGGACATTATATCACCACACAACACACACACACACACACAACACAACACACACACACACACACACACAACACACACACAACACACACACACACACACACACACACACACACACACACACACACACACACACACACACACACACACACACACACACACACACACACACACACACACACACACACACACACACACACACACACCACACACACACACACACACACACACACACACACACCACACACACACACACACACACACACACACACACACACACACCACACACACACACACACACACACACACACACACACACACACACACACACACACACACACACACACACACACACACACAAGGGATATAAACTTAAAGTATATAAACTTAGGTGTACAATTTGTATTGATCTCTAAAAGGGTGATAAACACAATTCTATACTCAAATATAAGCGATTGTTTTAATAGGAATGTGGCCTAGCTTTAGGAGCTTCATGTTTTATACAGACGAACAAAGACTCTTTCTCATGATCTGCAGCAGGTAATATAAACCTGGGCGTTAGCAGGAACAGAAAAGGCAACCGAAGTGAACCTGAAATTCAACTATAGAAAATGGTATTTAACAAAAAATGAATTCCATGAACTTTATTAAAGCAGGCAGAGATTTCAGCTGTTTTCTCAGGAGTTGTTTTTCTTTGCAAAGCCTCGAACCCGACTCTCCGGATCGAAACAAGATCGACGTACTGTTACACTTCCACACTGAAGATCATATCTCTAACCCTTTGCCACATACGTTTCTATAACCATTTTGGTTAAAAGGTCATGGCAACTTTCTGAGAAAGACTCCAGAAAAAAGATTATATTATTTACATTTTTCATAAAGAATCCAGTGTGTGTCAACCAGGTGCCTGAGCTTACTGTCATTGTGTCATGATCAATCAGATGTAAATATTCTCATCTAACTATCTTTTTAGGGTTTAGTATGTCTAGATATAATCAGAGAGGGTTGCATGAAAGGATGAGTCTGATGCAGAAGGATAAGGCGGTGTGTGTAGGCAGTGGAATCTGTTGATCTGTAGGTCACCTGGTACTTTATCTACAGAGGCGAACACGGCTCTGTTCGCTGTCGGGTCATTGGGCGACCGTCTCGACTGCTCGTAGAATCTGAAAGGCAGCCCGCTGGGTGAAGCGTTGGAGGTCTGACCGAAACCCAACACCTCCGATGCACTGGGCTGCACCGGCAGGTCCAACAGAGCTGCAACATAGAGAGGCAGAGAGTGTAAGAGGCCTTCAGACACACCATGATTATAGGGTAAAGCTTCAGGATTTCACAAGGGAGGCTGACTAAACGCAAACTGTTTGGGTTTATACTATGATTAGATTCCAATAAACTAAGCATTGTTCTTTGTATGTGTGATTGTTTAGTCAATGAGAGAATATGAGTCCCCTCCGGTGACCTTTACATCCTTATTTACTCGCACCGGCGAGACGTAAGATATCTGTTATTAGTTTTGTGTGTAATTTAAAAGAACCAGACTATCAGGAGAGGAAGTACCAGTGACTGATGGGTAAATCCATCAGTATTTAGAGTACAAAGGAACTGGAGGTAGAGGAAGTCATTTGAGAAAACACAACAGTTATTAACGGATTAATAGGAATTGATATCCAAGAGAAGAAGGACATTGTCTAATTCAGGGAAACGACTGATGCTATGAAGCATTTTAGCGGTTGGAGAGTAGTTTCACTTCTACCAAATGTAATAAAGTGATTACAAATTATTCAACCTATTGATTTAGCTTAATCAGTTTGTGAAGGGACTTTCGGTGCTTGTTAAACATAAACGAGAAGTTGATAAGCTGTGGTTGTACATTAATGAAGTTGTATTTTCATCCATTGCTTCCTGTTTGAAATCTCCTGTGATTTCCACTGTACGGTTAAAGAAGCCTCTCGAAAACAGCTGCCACAAACAGCTGTTCTGTGGAAAAAGGAAAGAGACCGTTGAACCAATAAGGCCAGAGGCTTGCTGTTGAATCACCTGCGATCCTCTGCATCTTCATGCGTCGGGCTTGGATGCGACCCTTGGCCAGCCGCTGCTTGGCGATGATGCAGCGGATGTGGTCGGCGAAGATGAAGTTGGCCTGCAGGAGGGGCAGGGGCTTGGCGTGGGGGTTGGCGCTGGGCTTATGGATGATGATGTTTAACGCTCTGCTGTCGTCCTCCACGCCAGACACCTGCATGTCCTGTTGAGAGAGAGGCAGAGGAAGAAGAAGAGAGGGGGAACAAAGAGTTGGGGAGAGCGTTACAGAGATTTAAAAGCAAGAGAGGGAATTAGGCCAACAAAAAGAATCTGAATAAAAAAGTGAATGCCAATAATGAGAAAACTGTGGGACAAAAACAAGAATTAGTAATACATAAATAATAGATTTATAGTATAGACATAATAGACGAGAGTCAAGTGGATGAAAAGTGACTTAAACTTTTGACCTCAGTGGCAGTTAAAAGTTCAAAACAATAGTTAACAAGATATTCATAAAGTAGAAAAAGGAAGGAAACATTTTATCACGCAAATTCAAAATACAGAGGAAAGACATTGTTGTAAAATCACAATATCTGTTTCGCAACGTCAGTACACTGCATGTGTTCCCACCACAGAGGTTCTTTAGAAAATGATAAGCAATATCACTTCATCTTATCTGAGGCCATACTGACCAAGAACGACTAAACATGCTGGCTTACGTAAGTAGTCTCTCCCATTACATATGCTTACTTTCTTTTAATCATCGTGTGAAAGAAATGAGATAAAGTGCCAAGGAAACTTAAACAGGAAATGTAACATCTGATGAATAAAGGTATGCACAACACAGAGGCACGCACAGAAGAAAAAACAGGATGGGAAATAAAAAATGAAAGTATATGTTTAAGGTAGAAGGAATACATACAATTAAAACATGAACATAATTTAAAAGAGGAGGAACAGACGCAGATCAGTGGTTTTAATAAAGACATCCAAACAGACTTGCACACGGCGACTTAGTCTTACTTGCAGAAGGCCGGCGAACTTCACCACGCCCCATCCGAGGCGCTTGGTTTCTGGCTCCACCAAACTCATCTGGTACACATCGACAGCGAGGAACCTCTGTGCCTGGCCTCCATCTTTACTGACCACCATGCAGGCTATAAGGTCACTGTTATCTGAAAAAAAAAGGACAACATGAATGTGACGGAGCGGGTCACAGAGTGACTGACTCCGCAACTGACAGCCGACACACACCAAACATTTCCTGCTCTCTTCCGTCAAATGAACCATGCAATTTCTTATTTATTTTACGTTTGTTTAATTATGGGGAATGATTATGTTAAGAGGTGGTTAACCTGTTTATGTTTGGGTCGGATTATTTTGTTGCAATGTGGTTTTGAGTTGATTGTGTCACCTGTTGACGGTGAGCCTGTGGGAGGGGCCATGGGTTCAAAAGGGACGGTGTTGGTTCCTTGTATTTTTCGGACTGTGTCACTCGGAAGAATGTTGCAATGAAGGCAACAGTTGGGACATGTTTGGGAGTTGGTTGCAGAGAAGGCAACCCAGAGCATGTTTACTCTAATGAGTGATGGACGGCCATTTTTTGGATTTTATTTTGTTGTCTAACTTGTGCTGGTTCGCTATTTTGTTGTTGTTGCTGTTATAAATAAAGTTTTGGAGCGTAACCCAACCGACTAGGCCAGTGTTTGTGAACGGACAAATAGAACCCCGTCACATGAAGGTAAAACAACTGCAAGGTTTACCCAAGTTAAGGTGTGGCTGAATACGTTCCAAACACCTGTTAGGATCAATGTTCTGCACTCAAAACGTAGCAGATTTGCTCTTTACAACCATGGCAGGAATATAGATTTAAAGCTCTAATAAGTAGGTTATTACAACCATTTTTATTTTATTTAACTAATGGGCAACAGTCATGACCGAAGGAACGAGATCGCGGATACAAGCGGCCGAGATGGGTTTTCTCCGCAGGATGGCTGGTGTCTCCCTTAGGGATACGGTGAGAAGTTCGGTCATCAGGGAGGGACTCGGAGTTGAGCCGCTTCTCCTTCGTGTCGAAAGGAGCCAGTTGAGGTGGTTCGGGCACCTAGTTAGGATGCCACCTGGGCGCCTCCCTAGGGAGGTGTTCCAGGCACGTCCAGCTGGGAAGAGACCAAGGGGTAGACCTAGGACCAGGTGGAGGGATTATATCTCTTCGCTGGCCTGGGAGCGCCTTGGGATCCCCCAGTCAGAGCTGGTTGATGTCGCCAGGGAAAAGGAACGTTTGGGGCTCTCTGCTGGAACTGCTACCCCCGTGACCCGACCACGGATAAGCGGGAGAAGATGGATGGATGGATGGAATGGGAAACAGAATAACACTGCCCATCTATCCTGAGCCAATCATTGCGGTACATCTTCTGGGCACCATGAATGCATGTTTTATATTTTTCACATAGTTTCTTATTAGGCACTTTTACCCAAAGCGACATAGACGCATTCAATACTGTGGACAATCCTCACAGGAGCAATTTGGGGTCAAGTGTCTTGCCCAAAGACACGGCGACCTACTGACTGCAGTGGGTGCCAGGGTAGGGTAAAGATAATAATGAATCTGCTGGTGGACATGAATGTCCGTAAACAACGGTATGCTTATCCATCTCGAGTCGTTGAGCCGAACACTTCCCTAATAATGGCTGAAATAATAGAACACCGCAGAAAGTGTGGAGAGTCCCTTTTCTAAAGAGGCTAAAGTCTTGATTAGATCCATGACAGACTGTATTTGCTGTAAAATATAGAGTAATATTAAGAAAGGTCAAAGAGTAGATTGAAATGTAGACATGGAGAGACTTTCACTTGCTCATTGTAAAACTAAACAATAAACTTCCGCCACAAACACAAATAATCATGGTGATTTCCCTGGAAGACGCTGCCCAAAACCACACCTCACATAGAATGAGTAAACTCTATTTAAACAGCTCACTTATTTTCAATGTTGTACACGACATTCAGACAAAACAATGATTAACGTTCTTTGGATAAACAATGATTAAAGTTCTTTGGAAAGACCTTGTTGAAAAACAAAATACATGGCAACTTTGGAAACTAGAACTAAAGCCCGGTAGTCAAGTTGACATATTTGGACATGTCCGTCCAACATGTCCGTCCAACATGTCCTCACTTTGTCATAATCCTATTAGAGATGTTTTAAAATGTCATAATTGGCATGTTGATTATTGAGAAGTCAGTGACATTTGGTTAATGAGTTAATCCTTCAGTCCAAGTGTATGTTCTCGAATAAAATCTCACAAGGCGTGTCGTGTTCGCGAGAATGGGATTGACGCTGCCTTCTAATCCTAAAACAATGATTATCGTGTTGTTTCTTCCAAACTTAACATCGTAACAATAAATGTTTTTTGTATTATTTTTTACACACACACACCCACACACACACCACACACACACACACACACCACACACACACACCCACACACACACACACACACACACACACACACACACACACCACACACACACACACACACACACACACACACACACACACACACACCACACACACACACACACACACACACACACACACACACACACACACACACACACACACACACACACACACACACACACACACACACACACACACACACACACACACACACACACACACACACACACACACACACACACACACACACACACACACACACACACACACACACACACACACACACACACACACACACCTCTGGCTCTAAATGCAAACTGGTAGAACCACAGTGACGCATCGATCCCAATGAACTTCTCTTCCTTCTCAAAAGTTTGGCTCATGTCTCTTCCTCTTACTAAGGTTGATGATCTCTGCTTCCCTTCTTAAGAATCCTGACCAATCCATCTTTAATAGTTTGAGATTGGCTGGATCAATGCCCTTCAGTACACTTGGGATTCGTCTATGTATTTCACTAGCTGCTTACAGCATTGTTTCCTCTGGAGGAACTATTCTACTATTTGCACAATTTTAACATCTGTTGACCCAATTGTGGCTTGTTGTATAAATCATACATGTGGCCTTCTGTTATTAAGAACCTTCTGCCTAACCAATATTAAAATATCAGCGTGGTTTACCAGGAACTAGTGTTACCCACTGAAACAGAGAGCAGGGTAAAGTACCTGCAGCTGGCGAGGTAGTCCCTGATTTACTACGTCAGCAACACCATGCTGAAAACCAAAAAGGTGTAAGACTTCAGGGGAAGTTTGATAGCTTGAATCCCCTGACCAGCTGGGGAAAGAACCCTCCCACCACTCAACATTTACTTGACTTCTGACATTATAAAAAGGCGGGGGCGGGTCATCTCTGTCCAAATAGCTCAATTATTTTAGACATTTAACAGCTACAAATTGCATCTGTTCAGTGAATTTGTTTACAAAGTACTTCCCCCCCCCCAACAGATACATTTCAGGGAATCATATTTCAATTTAAGATGTGGTTTTCCAACTCTCAATCAATTATTTTTCAAATGAATTCCTTACCTCTCACGGATAACAGAAGTTAACGGAATTTAGATGTTAACGGATGTAAATCGTTAAGGCATGCTCTTACGACATGACAACCAAACTAGGCTACCAGGCAATATATGACTTAATCTGAAGACAACAGCTGCCAGCTCCACCACTCCCTGTTTTCCCCAAGCGATCATCTTGGCCTAAATAACCTGCCAGCTTTCACAAACAGTAGTGAAGGTAGACAATAGAGTGACTGTATTCACTGCTGTTGACAAAACATGTGGTTGGGTTTAGTTGCAAACTTCTCTCAGGGCGGTGGTGGCGAAGTCGATAGGGACTTGGCAACTGGAAGGTCACCAGTTCAAGTCCCGGCAAGACCAAGTGCTACAGAGGTGTCCCTGAGCAAGGCACCGTTCCCCACACTGCTCCCCGGGCGCCGTTCAAAATGGCAGCACACTGCTCCTAACACTAGGATGGGTCAAATGCAGAGAAACAATTTCCCCACGAGGATTAATAAAAGTCCATCTTATCTTCTCATCTCTTTCCTCTTCAAGAGATAAGGGAGGCATATTCTTTTGAAATACACAAGACATCCGATCCTCACTCATCACTGGAATGTAGTGTCTTTGTATGCACTTGGGTCTGATACATGTACGCAACCAAGAGTTGGTACTAAGGCTGCAAGATTTATAGATGTATTTATAGAAGATGATACTGCATTGATATGGCTGGCGACATTAGATGGAATGATCCAGATCCGTACCAAGGAATTATTAAATAATCAAATATTTAGCCTTTACTGTATTTTGCACTATTCAATATTGGGATTTGAAGAACATTTGTGGCTAATTCTGCAGCTGTAATTGGTACTTCCTGAAGCACATATGTGTTACAGTTCCTGATGGTAGCACCATGACACTTCTCTTCCACTGACACAGCATACAGGCAAGTTATTTGATTCAACGACTACCTAAGACGGTGTGAAGTGTAATGGTCAGAAAGAGGAGTGTGAGGGTGGAAGGTTGCGTGTCCTAGTCCCCTAACTAACCCACAAGGAAAAACCCTTCCTCTCCTCACATGTACTCTGTAAGTGTTCTTAGTCAACCAACTTGCTTAAGTGAAAGTGACTTCGTAAACCAAGAAATAGTGGGTGGAGTTAAGCTTTCTGGTTATCTGGCTAGTGTTTAACAAAGACTATTGATCATTTTCTTTTCAAGAGACAGAAAATGACTGGAAGATATTTCACACCTGAAATGACAGCTCCTAAATCTTCTACGGATGCTTTCAAGAGGCATTTGGAATTATTAAAACATTCAGTTTCAACCACGGAATAAGACTTGAAAGTAAAACTAAAGGGAGACCTTCAGTTTCAAAAGATTTAGTTTCCATCGATAAGTCAAGAGATTTTTTTTTGATTCCCCTCCATAAAAAGGGAAATTAAGAAATAATAGATGATTCTACGTAATTAAAAGTATTGTTAAAGTGGAGCTTTCATAACAAAAATATCAATCACATAAGTGGAAAGTCTTTTATGAATAAAAAGAGGTCAGTTATGGATACAAGCTTATAATGGAGCCTCTTATCTGTGTCATTGATCGGATCCTTTCATCGGGCCACATCTGTCAGGCTTTAATCGTTAAACCAATGGCGTTTCCAAATAGTACTGAAACTGCAGCTCAGTCATCACAGATGATGTGATAAGACTTAAAAGGCCACGACTATCTAAATCTGCCACAGACGGCACAGTCATCACTGCTACGTAAACACGCCTGTGGAATTTACAATGAACTCTTCTCTACGGGTAAAATTCTAGTGAAGAAGTGATATTATTAATATTCCTACCACCATTTTTAATAATTTGTCATCACAAATAGAGTAAATATATACATATTATGTGACACAGTGGCACCAGTAACATCAGTGGCACCAGTATGATCACCTTTTACCAAATATATGTAATACTACGCTTTTTTAAATCCTGACTGTATATTATACAGAATAAAAGGAATCGCGCAAAGAAAGTAAAAAAGAGGAAAAGAGACTTTCTTTGTTTGCATCATTAAATAAACCTAATATCCACACAGTGTGACATACTGGGGATTTTGTGGTAAGCCCACACTTTCTTTCTGAGATGTTCTGCTAATTAAAATGAACCTGAAATAAAAATAATGAGGAAACTCGTTTCAAAGAAGAGGGGGCCGGCCTTCCTGTCTACTCTCAAACTGAAAGTAATGGCCTTTTAATTGTTTTAGTGACAAAGGTTATAAAGTTCAACAGGGCAGTAATATAGATGCTATAAAAAGGAGATATACATCTCTAAAACACGTCATCTAACTTATAGCACTAGTATGGAGGGAGCCATGCTGACACATTTAGACGATTCACACTCACATCTACACCAACACATAAAAACCAGCGAGTGATCTGCTAATAATACTCACTTCATTCCAGGGATTCAGAAGCTGACCCGAGGACACTCTTCAGCTTAGTTAAACGATTACTAATTTAAACAGTGTTAGATCAGCAGCCCCTTAAGAGTAGGTTGAACATCCTTCATTTGTTCTAAGAAAATTGTATCGCAGGATTCCTAGATGATGAGACAACTGCGGCATAATACTCCGTTTTTAGTAAACAATCAAAGAGCAGGTATGATTAAAACCTCACTTTCGGTCTCCTGTAGATAAGAACATTAAAAGGGTCTGACTGGCAGCACAAACACATTTTTATGTCAACAGTTGGATACCAGGACATCTGTACTGGATTCAATTCAATTGTACAGGTGTTACCAATAAACTGGTAATTAAGGATTTAATGGTATGAGATTTTTAAAGGACAACCTTTTAAATGATCAGACACGGTAGGCACAAAAAAACCTGCTTTCAGGCACTAAACCGTTCAACAGTTAAATGATGTTTAAAACATTGGCAGACAAATTGGCAGACACCAACATTGTTCATTACTTCACATCTTATTGATTAAAGAGCAGGGAGATCAGGGCCGGCCCTCGGCATAGGCAGTATAGGCGAATGCTAAGGGCGCATCAACCCATAGGGGGCGCCGAAAAAAAAAATAAAAAATAAGTTAGAAATTAAAAATATATATATATTTTTTTTCATAATACACAATTTCCCGATTTTGGATCAACAAAGTACATCTTATTATCTTATACTAACAGAACTACGCGTACAGCGCCCATAAACTATGGCACACCCCCCCCAAAATCAAGTTGAACTGCCCCAGTAAAAAGGTTTATGTGAAATTGTTCTTTTTTTTAAAATAATGGTTTTAGTGTGCAATTATAGGTTTTAATTTATTTTGTATTTGTATTCATTTAAAATAAATCAAACTCCCAAAAAACATACACAGCTTCTGTGTGCTTTTATTAACATTGGAATTTACATTGTAAGCGGCCGCGGGGGGGGGGAGAGCTTTAGAGAGCTCTCTCCTGAAAGACTGAGAGGCTCTGATAACCTCAGCTCAGTGAGGTAAAGGCACACCTCTATATGATCATTATAGTTATACAAAAATAAGAGAATAGGTGAAAAACAGGTATAAAATACTGACAGTACAAAAAAGTTGTTATTAATAAACAAGAATACAGTTTGAAAGAGGAGTGATTTGTAAAATATCCATAAAGAAAAAGAAAATCTGTTTACAGTTGTGTTTCATCTGGGTGTTGAGAGATGTATCCATAGATCTCTTCATGTTGCTCTCAAAGTGCACCAGATTGATGCTTTCAACTTCAATATTTAAAAAAAAAAGTCTTCCCGGGGGCATCTTTCTGTTTTGGTGGTCATGCCACTACCGGGGGGGGGTGGGGGGGGGGGGGGGGGGGGGGTCGCCAGCTAAAATCTTGCCTAGGGCGGCAAATTGGTCAGGGCCGGCCCTGAGGGAGATATTGGGTCCTTATGAAAGTTGGAGGTTAAACATAATGAATAAACACATATTTAACCATACTGCTTATTGTTTGGGTTGTGTTGGTAAATGTAGTCAAAGCTTCTGCTCTACAAACACATGCAACTACATGTCAGCACAAAAGAAGATTTGCAAACTCGGTGCAACACTTGTGTTCACCTAACTGTGATATCCTTCAAAGCAGAGCAGACCACATATGCTAGTTTCCATAGCATCATCACACACCTGTGTTCAGTAACAGGAGAGTGTTCAGGTCAACTCAGTGTGTGGGAAACTGAGATGGAGCACGTGTGTGAGTGTGTGTGTGTGTGTGTGTGTGTGTGTGTGTGTGTGTGTGTGTGTGTGTGTGTGTGTGTGTGTGTGTGTGTGTGTGTGGTGTGTATGACTGTCTATGTGGTTGTGATTCTTTTAAAATGCACATGTTAAGGTATTATTAAGACCACACTCACACAGTTGTGTTTTTAATCTCCTGCTGTCTTAAGCACAGAGAGTGTCAGAAGGAGAGCGAGTCAGTGATGCATGTCAGAGTGTAAGGGCAAGGGTCTGTAATTGTCTTTCTTTGAATTCTTAGGTTTTACTTTGACCAGGAATTAGTTTAGTCTTTTACGGTATGCACACCACCCTGAAGTGATTGATGATTTATAAATAATCATGTCAGCTGTCCTGTAGCTTTCTGTCTGGGATTTGGTGGGTGTGTGTGTTTCTTACTGAGGTCTAAGACATCGTCGGTCTTGATGAGGTCTTCAGATCGGGTCAGAGGCAGCTGCGTCTCAGCTTCTCCCTGAAGCTGAAGCGATAAGGCCCGCAGCATGAAGAAGACACGGATCGCCTGTGCAGAGAGGGGCCACAGAAACACCAACAGTTAGAGACGTTATGTTGTCCCCCTGACCATCTGAAGCTGACCCTTACAAAAAACAATACAAATAACTAGAGTGAAAGGGCCCACAAATATTCCCATTAGAAAACATAGGTGAGACTTTCAAACCAATCCTACAAGGTTGTTTAATCACTGTCAGAATCAATAGATTGTTATCTTTCAGACTTAAGAAGCCATTGTTTTTAGGTGTAAGTGTTCAACAAGTGGACTGCGCTCAGGTGTGTGTGGACGTACCCTGCGTGTCTTCTCCACGTCCCCACAGGGAAGTCTTTTGACAAAGTCGATGCCGGTCAGAGGGGTCCCGGTGGGAGGCAGCAGCACCGATGCATCCATCATTAGATACTCCACATTCAGAGGTTTACTCTGCAACACAAATATGTGCAATATTACAGACAATCCCACACATGGGGATATGTTCAATAAGCGAACAAAGAGCCGAAACAAGTCATATCAAATGAAGGCTAACTCACCGTCATGCTCCTGTATTCATCTTCAAACATGTCCAGAAAGATCTCCTCGCCCTGGGACGACATGATGAAACACGAGAGCCAGTTAAAAACAGCTGAGTATTTGGAGGGACCGTTTCACACCCTTTAAATGAAAGAAAAACTCAGCAGCTGTGAACACTTCAGAAGCATTTATACAATAAGATCTGCGAATAAAGTCAAACTAAGCAAAGGCATCTTTTGTGACAAGTTGAACCGCTCTATCTGAAATATAAACACACTTGACTCAAAGCCGTATATCCTGGAATGTTTTACGTAGTGGACTACCGAAAGTAAAGCTACAGACCCTTAACATTGAGATACAGGAAAGGTCATTCAACAAAAGTCCCCTTTTATGTTTTACAATTTCCGGAATAATCTGAATAGACCTTATAATTACAATTATATATTTTAATTTACAATCACTCCCTTTAACAGTCTTGCAATGTGATTCTATTTAGCCTCATAGTTTTTTGCTTAACAAGCTAAACCGTGTGTCCAGAAAAGATTGTTATTTTCCCCGGTTCCCTCTTTTTGATTTTCCTCTTCTTTACCACTTGGTCAAATGCTGAGTAGAATCACGGACCATGAAGCTGACTCATCTGTCCATGCATCTGTGCGTGCAGAGTTTAAAAACAACAGTCTATAGAAATGTTTGCTCTCTCACGACACTCTGATAATCATCCTTTTCAGAGGGGATAATGCTGGATGTGTTCTTTGCATTCAAGGTCATATATCTAGACTTGCACTATTCCTCTTTGCATGCACTCGACGAGGGACTCTTTAAATAAGGCTGTTTCTTATCGCAGGACAATTCTTCCTGACTTGTCACTACAAGCATTGTGCACAAATCCTCACATTGTGGGAGAGGAATTCCTAAATGACGTCCCATCAACAATGTGGCGTTTTGAATCACAACAGGAAATACTGGACAGGAACCACTAGTTGATTGGAAATGCACCGTTTAGTGTACAGGACATATTTAGTTTCTTCTTTGTATGATACGTAACTATTCATATCTTAAACTGCACTGTAACTTTTATCCATGTATTTTTTCTTTTAATGTTTATTTTATTAGCTTTTCTTTTTAATGACTGATTTTAAATGCCTTTTTCTTAATGTCTTTCATTTTTTGTAAAGCACTTTGAATTGCCTTGTGTTGAAAAGTGCTATATAAATAAACTTGCCTTGCCTTGCCTTGCCTATCAACAGCTCCTCTTGACATTAAAGTGAACATTGAAACTTCCAGCTAGAAGTAACAGACTTATCATTAAAATAAAATGCCAAATATGTTAATCCTGGTGAAATGAATCCAAGTAATAATTTATTAAAACAGCAAATCAGTGGTTTCATATTCAAATAATAGTTTAGCTGATTCCTTCTTTTCTTTTACAGAGTCATTATTAGCTACCTTTATCAATTTGAAAACATTTTCCTTGTTTGACACCGCTAAACTGACACTTGACTACTACAATTATGAAAGTGTTTTTAAATCGGTGACTGCAGTGCTAATGGAATAACATTTTGACATTAAAAAAGACAAACTCAAATCACTAAAGATCAACATTTACAATAGAAAAGACAGGATATTTAGATTAATTCCAAATATAAACATCCAATGTTTTCTCTGGATTCAAGACGGATGAATGTTCATTGTATTATCTGCCTTATGGTTCGTTTGTTTACCTTGTAAAGCGGCCTTGGGTCCCTTGAAAGGCGCTATACAAATGTAATCTATTACTATTATTATCTGATCGAAACATAATTTAATCAAATACTTTTTTTTGTTAATGACATAATTTCGACTGTTTATTTGAACTACACTATAATCCCAATTGTGTTTTTCATATACTATTGATATTAAAGAAAATACAAGTTGAAATCATGCTGACAGCAACAACGATTTCTAAGAAATGAACTTTTTCAAATAAAATCAGGAAACCTCCTCCTTCACGAGTTATGTTAGGAGTCAGCAGGATACAGCGATATTTCCCTGAATGCTGAAACAGAACTTTGCTCTCTGGTGATCCAAGTGTTTCAGTCATGAGGTCAGATGTAGCTCCTGTGATTGATTCCAAAACTGATATATCCGAAGATAGATACTCAAAGAGAAACAGAAAGGGTCAAATCCTATAGAGTGCACACGGACAATGCTTTCACTTTGACCCATTACACCTTCAGGGAAATGGATCCAGTTATAATAAAGGAGATTTGATTACACATATACAAACAAAAGCACTTTAACGGTCAGATTCTGATTCAGCTTTTCACCTGAGGAATAACTGGTCCTAACAACAGATCATCCGCTCACCTCTGTCACTATACATATGTTCCTTTATTGTTCACTTGGCTTCAGTATCATTTGGTAGACAGTCTGCTTTTCTGAGTGTGTTTCTAGTCGTCAGTTACCGCTTAAAAAGCCCCCCCTTGTGCTTTGTGTTTATGTACAGTATGTTCAGGTGGAAGAAAAACTTTTATGTAGGTTAGTGGTGGTTATCTGTGAGTGCAGGTGTCTGGTTATCGTAAACAGCGAGTGTGTGTGTGTGTGTGTGTGTGTGTGTGTGTGTGTGTGTGTGTGTGTGTGTGTGTGTGTGTGTACACTCACCTTGTAGAATCTCCGCAGTAAATGCAGACTTTCTTCTCTACCACCCTAAAAACACAAACATGAAGTGTGAACAGTATGAAATGATTGCAAGGAAAAATCTAAATCCTCATTCATGTGAAAATAAAAGACTCTGGAAACAAATTGCCAGGAACCATGCACCAATACTTTTTATTTTAGCAGCTTAAGCTTGATTTCTAGTCCCTTAAGAAATAGTGTGTATTTGACCTTCTGTTGCCCTTATATACCATCACCATATATGAGATTATAAAACGGACAAGTCAAATCAAGCAATCTGATTGGTTCTTAGCCGTGATATAATGAGCGTATATCCCTCCGCATCAGAGAAAAAGCTACAGCCGTTACATTACGTCCGTTACGAGACTAACTAACTAACAAAGCTTAAGATGGAAACATTTAAGGTTAACTTGGACCTCCGGGGGGGTCTCACTATGGAGGAGTGGATTGAGGAGGAGTGCCTATCTCCAGAAAAAAAGCACCTAAACGACGACATGCAGAGCTACGTGAAGAGCAGGTAGACCAACTGGAGAAGTACCACCATTCAAAAGCTTTCTGATGCAGGTCTTGAAACAAAGCAGAGACATGATGACCGTTAGTGGCCACAGGTGCGAAAGCTCTCTCCAGAGCTACTGGAAGCCCAATCTCGGGGACCGGAGAAAGTGGAACAATATTCTCGCCACGCCAAGCAACAGCCTAGAACAACCTCAACCTATACAAGTAACCACGTAAGCCATGCTACTGATGCCGGACAGTTTTTCAGTGGCTGCACAATAAACGGCAGCATACAAATGAATGTAAATAAATAGCCAAATAATGGATCAATGCTCTCTGTCTAATATGTTCGCTAGCTGTTAGTGTTGTTGCATAGCAACCACCTATGTTTCGTGCAGAAGGCAACGGAGGGACTATTTTATTTAATAAAAAATATTTAAATTAGAGTGTTTATTTTTCTTTCATATTGCCACACTTGGTAACCGTTTTATAAAAGCAATAGCTCACTTCAGGCCTTAAATATACAACTTAGAACCACTGTTATGACCAAATATCAAATCAACTTGTAAAACTATTTCTTTTTTGAAGGTTAGATTTAAGTTATTTAATCACAAATACATTCCCTATTTATTAATTAAATGCATTTGAAGCTTTTCTAAGGAGCTTTTCTGAATTAACCTCAAGTGTTTTATACCATATGTATGTTCCTTAATACACCACAAGCAGAAATATCCTTACATTTGCAAAACACTTTTAAGACTTAAAATGTTGCTGCAAAATCGGACATTTCTTGGACGGAATAATCTCCAAACAAATCCTGAGATAATTATTCAAATAGTTGTAAAAAGAGGAATAAAAGCCCAAGTCTGTAAAGAACTATTTTATATTACTACATACAGTTGCAAGAAAAATTATGTGAACCCTTTGGATTCTCCACACATAGCGCTGTGTGTTCCTTCCAAACAACTCAACTTTGGTTTCATCTGTCCACAGAATATGTTGCCAGTAGTGCTGTGGAACATCCAGGTGCTCTTTTGCAAACTTCAAACGTGCAACAATGTTTTTTCTGGACAGCAGTGGCTTCCTCCGTGGTGTCCTCCCATGAACTCCATTCTTGTTCAGTGTTTTACGTATCGTAGATTCGTCAACAGAGATGTTAGCATGTGCCAGAGATTTCTTTAAGTCTCTAGCTGACACTCTAGGATTCTTCTTCCCCTCATTGAGCATTCTGCGCTGTGCTCTTGCAGTCATCTTTACAGGACGGCCACTCCTAGGGAGAGTAGCAACAGTGCTGAACTTTCTCCATTTATAGACAATGTGAACATCAAGGCTTTTAGAGATACTTTTGTAACCCTTTCCAGCTTTATGCAAGTCAACAATTCTTAATCGTAGGTCTTCTGAGAGCTCTTTTGTGCGAGGCATGGTTCACATCTGGCAATGCTTCTTAAGAATAGCTAATTCAAAACTGGTGTGTATTTTTTATAGGGCAGGGCAGCTTTAACCAACACCTCCAATCTCGTCTCATTGATTGGACTCCAGGTTGGCTGACTCCTGACTCCAATTAGCTCATGAAGAAGTCTTTAGCCTAGGGGTTCACATACTTGTTCCACCCTGCACTGTGAATGTTTACATGGTGTGTTCAATGAAAACATGAAAACATATAATTGTTTGTGTGGTATTAGTTTAAGCAGACTGTGTTTGTCTATTGTTGTGACTTAGATGAAGATCAGAACACATTTTATGACCAACTTATGCAGAAATCCAGGTCATTCCAAAGGGTTCATATACTTTTTCTTGGCTGTTACTGGCTGTTCGTAAGAAAGGGTGAAAAATGCCAACGACATTCACATAACTGGGAGGGCTTCCCGCAGAACTGTTGAATAATGATGTCACTCCTGTGCTGTGTCATTTCCTTAAACTGCAATAATAAATGTTTTCCCGGTTTACCCATTGGCATCAAAAGAGAGCGAGAGGAGTAAGTAGCCAATACTCTTCTTATGGCGCATTTCCACTGCAGCGGGTAGCCCCGTTTAAGCGTCCTTAACCGTCCTCAAGCGGCCAGGCCAGTTTTTGGTGGCGTTTCCATATAGCCTAGTACCGGCTAGCGGGTACTTTTTCCCTCTTTTTCCGGCCCTATAAAATCGTGGTTCTATCAGACCAGGGCCAGGGCTGAACTAGTGACGTCAAGACTCTCGACTGCTGATTGGTCAGAATCGTCACAAGATCGCGCGCAAGTTCATCCCTAGCGTCGCATATATATTTAGAAGCAAGCTTGCAGCATTTTTATAAACAGCATTTTGTAAACGGAGGAGCTACAAAAATGGCTACGTCTAATAAGAAAAGCACACCGTGGTCGACCGAGGAGGTGACGACGTTCCTACATCTCATTGGGGATGATCAAATCCAGCGGGAGCTCGACGGAACAACTCGAAATGTGAACAAAAACAAAGCCGATCGCCCCGCCTACACTGCGTTGCTACCCCAGGTCCTAAACTGTAATGGAAATGCGCCACGGCCTCGGACGGCCAGCGAGGCAGTCCGAGGCCAGAGCGAGGACGCTTAGGGACGCTTAAACGGGGCTACCCCGTTGCAGTGGAAATGCGCCATTAGTTTCAGATATGACAATGCATTCCTTGTGATTTTAACACTGAATAAATTAAACCTGGAAATGCTGCGCCTGTTTTCCTGTCATCTCAACTGTTTCCTCATAAAGAGGCAGAAAGAGAGTTAGCTGGGTTATGGCGAACATTACTTAACATCAACAGAAATATTAGATCAAGCTCAGTTCTTTGGTATTGTGAAGCCACAAGATAACAATCAACCAATAGGACTATGTTAATCATTATTCCTGGGAAAACCCGCATGACTATTTCAGCCAAAGCAGCAGCTTCATGTCAAACTGTGTCAGTGGTGAGAAATTCTTCAAACAGAAACCCCCAATACAAATTGTTGTAATAAGAACGATGGTCAGATTTCAAGTGGACTTTCTAGTCAGATCAGACCACTTCCTGTAAGTCCTGTTAAGAAAGAAGAGAGGACTGCAGAGAAAGAGATGGTGTTAAAGATACCCTGAAGTGAGAGACGAGGAAATAAAACAATTCTCAGAAGGAAGAGGAACAAAAGGGTTTTCTGCGCAAGCCAGGCGTGAAGCATGAGAGCAGAGGAGGAAGAGGAGTCAAGAGGGAGTAAATAAGGAGGAGACAACCGTTAATGACATGACAAGTTAGGATAAGGAGTAGTTTAGAAGAACAGGAAACGGTTGGTGCTGCTGGAAAATGTCTTAGGTCATGAAGCTGCACTAATTTAAAAGCTGTGCACATTAGGGTTCTGTGGAAGTGATAACGTTATATGTGAAGGGGTTGCTTTACTCCTATGATATGCAACAGGTCCAACATAACCCTCAGTTAAGATTTCTAAGGTTATTGTCATATGTACAATAGCTACGGCTTAGTAGCTCCCTGTGTGTATGGTCTGTGTGTATGGTGTGTGTGTGTGTGTGTGTGTGTGTGTGTGTGTGTGTGTGTGTGTGTGTGTGTGTGTGTGTGTGTGTGTGTGATCATGATCTTGGAAAAAAGGCGTGGTTATAACTTCAAAATAAATATTTAATTAGAAACAGCGTTTTGTTGGAACTAAACCTTGAAGTGTGTGCAGGCACGTCTTGTGAGGCGACTTTGTGAAAAGGATTGCGAGGAAGAAATCAATAACAGAACGTTTGAAAAACCTATTTCTGCGTGGGGGTGCAGAGAGTTGGCTTATGTGATTATACTGAGTTTTTGATTCGTTTAGATGGGGGCTAAGACGACTCCATTTCGGACATGAATGTTAATTGATGTCGCTTACTGAAAGTCTGTTGTATACGATCACCATCTTTATCTATTTTAATTGTTTGACACATATTTAACGCTGACAGGACCGTACGTATGAGTGTAGCATACCTCCAGGCAGGCCAGGTGAACGTCTTTGATGATGCACTGGCTTCCAGACAGCACCGACTGCTTTAACAACAGGCAGCACAGCTCCAGCGTAGCCAGTCGCACTTTACCATCTACACCCACACACACATACACACACACACACACACAGGAGATAAACATGACAATGTGACAGCAGGGGGGTATACTACGAAGCAGGATGTTCTCTTAGCGGCTAAATTCAGGGAAAACTCCGGCTTTCCGGTCCTACGAAGCTGGTTATCTTTTTAGCAGGCTAGATCTCCATGGTAACTTATGCTTAGCGGCTAACCTGGTCGGGAGCAGGTTAGGTTGCAGGCTAAGAGCTCAACTCAGTGAAAGCACTGCCTGCTGACCAATCAGAGCTCAGTGTGCGGAGTTTAAAGCGATCAAGTCATATTACAGGAGAAAGGAAATACAGAAAAGCTGCCGTTGCAGGAAAGACGGCCGGCAAAAATCACCGACTGTGTGAACGTGAACATTAATAGAATATCACCTCCCATCTTCAGAGCAATCTGACTATTATAACATTAGCGTTAAGAAAGCTTATTAAATATCTGCCACAACATAAGTAACCGGATCAAAGTAACATTAAGTACAGTCCGCGGCATATCACTTCATAATGTATCATATATCTCCTGATCTAAGTCAGCTGAGCCGTATCTGGCCGTGCAACACTCACAGTGTCACAGACTGTATGCAGAAGTATTATTTTAAGCAACACATTAAGTTGACGAAACACTCGAGACAAATGTAATTAAAGTCAGATCGTGTTTTAGACGGGGCAGTGATATCATAAACCTGTTAATGTACGCATTCAAACACTTGTTCTTTTGCCAGCTGTATTCACCTTGCAGGTGCAGCTCTGTGGCTTTTATCCTGGATAAAGTGTTTAAGTCATGGATGTTTAAAGTTTAACTTCTTCATATGTCTAATATTATAGTTGACTTTTCATTCAGGAAGTATGACGCTGCGCTGTCAGTACGCTTCTCCATGTTTGTGATTGGTCGAATGCTCCAAATACCACCCCTTTCATGTGAACGCGCACCTAACTAGATAGGACACGGCTGGCTTGAGTTGATAACCCGCGGCGTAGTACCGTTTAGCGAGAGCGCGTATGTTTTGGATTAGGCCAACCGGCTAACTCAAACATATCCAGGTTAGGTTGAACCAGCTTCGTAGTACAGGCCCCAGGTCTCAATGAGAATACCAAATGAATAATGAAACTCACTTGCTGCAACATATTTCTGTGATTGTAATTCATAACCAGACTTAAAAGAGGACAACCAGCTTGGTCAAGTTATTGTTTGACAATTCCTGAATAAGGCTTTCTGATTTAGGATTTTACTTGGAACCAATTTAAAACATACACAAAGATAACAATAACCATATACAAAATCAAACACAGTACTACAATGTATTTGTCAAGAGGGAAGTTAAGGGAACCCACTGAAATGACCACATGTGGCTGCTTACATTAAAAACCTATCAACATTGTAACTTAAGATAATAAAACAATCAAAGGCAGGTCATTGTGTGTTTGTGCGTGTGTGTGTGTGTGTGTGTGTGCGCGCGTGTGTGTGTGTGTGTGTGTGTGTGTGTGTGTGTGTGTGTGTGTGTGTGTGTGTGTGTGTGTGTGTGTGTGTGTGTGTGTGTGTGTGTGTGTGTGTGTGTGTGTGTGTGTTACCTGGCTGTGATGCCTGGCTTATCACTCTGATCAGCCTCTCCACCAGCACCAGGCTGTAGCAGCTCTTCTCCTGGTCAGGGACCGGCAGCTGCAGACGCTCCAGAAGACCTCGGTTTATACCTGCAAGTTTCATTGCATTTGGTGGCATAAACTTTGATACTGTGGTTTACAGATTATAATACACTTGTCTTCAGTCATGTTTTCTACTCACAAATATATATTTTAACCTGGTAGAATTACCAATAAAACTGACGGTGGCTCTAATTCTTAGAGGCATGGGTAGGAATATCCTTGCCCTATCCCCACATTTATGCCTGAAATTCCAAAACTGACAAAAAGTGCCCATTCAGTTGTAATGGTGGATGACCTCAGCTGCCAGAATGACATTGAGACACTGGAAAGCACCCACAATCCCAACATTTAACGATTGGAAGGCTCCGATGAGTGCAACAGCATCATATGAGGTTATGTTGGCAAGAGGGGTAGAGGACCTGTGGTTCAAGGAAGCTGGGATTACTTTGTGGCAGTGGCGAACCGTCAGGGCCTTCAAGGTATTCAGAGGATACCCTGGAACACTCAGATAAAACAAACAAAAAATCGATTTAATTATATAAATAAAATGTATATAAAATGAATAAATGAGAATTGTATCTGTGTCGTTGATCTGTAATATTAGTGTTACGTTGATTTGTTTGTCCTTCTCGGACCATGCTCTACGCATTTCAGTGGTTTTGTGTTAGAAAAGAAAGCAACCAATCAGATCTTGTCCTTCAACCAAGGTATTCTACATCCTTGATCGAATGCCCTGGCCGTTGCTCTGAATGAGAGCGTACGTTTGGACTGACACTTTGATCAACCAATCATATATTGATTTGTAGCCAATGGGCGTATTCTTTCAGAGTTCCCCTCGGTTCCAGGGTATTCTAGAAGGCCCGCTAGTTAACTGGCTCGAGACAGAGGATCTAGATGAGTGCGACGAAGCAATTCATGCCGTTTTATTGTTTTTAACGTTGAAATGACAAGTGCAACAGGTGTGATGAAGTTGTTGCGGAATTGTTGTGAGTACCTTTTTCAAGACGACAATTCAGTGAAAAGACGGACATTATAATGCCGCGGAGGGGAAGGGGGGGGGTGTGTGTGTGTCTACCGAAGGTCCAGTTGTGATAGACACGGTTTGCCACTGCTTTGTGGAATACCTGACCTCTAACTAGTAGCCTGACTGTGGGACTCTCACAAAAGGGCCTTTGTACAATTATTCTAATCAAGCATCATTTGTTGTTATTATTTTATGATCGCTGTCGTGTCTGATTGGTAATCTTACACCTTTGTATTTTTCTCTTTTCTTTTAACCAGGAACACTTAACTAACATGTTTTGTAGCCTGACCTTCTGTATGCTGTACAATGTGAGCTATGTACAATGTATGTTCATAAATACAAACTTTAATAACAACAACAAAAAGAGAGGTGGTGTAGGTTAGGTTCATAGTTCTGTGTTCCATTAAACAGGATCGTTTAACATTAGTTGGTTTCCCGTTGATATAAATGTGTTGGTAATGGATATGATAGAAGCACCTGCCACTTAACCTTATTCATTAGGCTTCTAGAATGAGCCACTATAACCATCTAAACTAATGCACATAAGTGAAATAAAAAGATAGTCCCACCTTTGCTGTGAGAGACAGCATAAAGCAGGCAGAGGACGAACAGGGCGTGGTAGTCGTCGGTGGTGCAGTCGAGAGCACTGTACACCATGTCTAAGAACGGTCTGCAGAGAGGAGATATGTGTCAGTAAAACACTCATTATTTCAGTTATTTTTCATTCTTTCCGCCTCTAGACGAATCTCACAGTTGTGTGCGTTGAGATGTGTGTGTACCTGCTCCTCTGTGTGTGTGTGCGGGTGGCTGCAGCCGTCTTCTCCTCATCAGTGATGTTCTGCTCCGTCAGCTCCGACACCTTGCACTTCTCCATCACCACCATCTCGATCTCTGTACACACACACACACACACACACACACACACACACACACACACACACACACACACACACACACACACACACACACACACACACACACACACACACACACACACACACACACACACACACACACACACACACACACACACACACACACACACACACACACACACACACACACACACACACACACACACACACACACACACACACACACACACACACACACACACACACACACACACACAGTAAATTCATGCTTATCACACATCCTCAACAAAACACACATCATAGCTATGAAGACAAAAATGGGATGTTTGAACCAGTGAGTGTGAATGTAAAGCCTGGAGTGCTTCCTTCTCACCCTTCAAAAAATGTGATTAAGGACCAAAGAAATGATTTCAATGGACATCTTTAATAGCATAAACATGTTAGAATATAATGATACAGCATGTCATCTAAGTTACAATCTGTCCTTCAACACGTTTCTGATGTTATCTCTTTTCTTATTAATCAGATCATTAGGGTGGGTGTAGCTTTTCCTCCCCTAAATGGTAAATGTCTCATTTTGAAACTCCCCGTCTCTATGCAGCCCACGGTGTTGTTTGCCTGTCAAAACACGGTGCACCTTCAGAACTAATGAAGATTGCTGAGAGACCTGAGGTGTCTATGCAGTCTAAGCTAAGAAGGAACCATTTCAGATGAGTGAAACTGACACCTGTTTATGTAACACACACACACACACAAGCACGCACACACACACACACACACACACACACACACACACACACAAGCACACACACGCACATGCACATGGCGAAGGAGTGAAAGACAGGCGGAGAGGTGAGGAGCACAGGATGGATGGTGTGTCACCGTGGAAATGGTTGTTTGCCATGGAGATTGTTTTGGACAAGTGGTAGCCTTGGTGACCATGGTGAAATTGACAGGTGCCAAACAGCAGAGAAAGGAAGGCCTCATCTCAAAACTAGCCAAAAGAGGAAGTTTTGGATAAATTACTTTTATTATGTTTTTATTTTTAGTCAGCCTTCTTCAATTTTAACACTTTGTTTTTAACACTTCCTTTTTTTTAGGAATCAAGCGTTTCATTTACTGGAAATCTATCCTACTGTTGAACAACAGGCTTCAAGTTGTAATTGTAATTTGTTATAAACAGTTGTAGTCTAGTGCACATTGAATTAAGCACTCAAAATGAAAAGCAAAAAAGCAGCTTATTTAGGAGTGAAGCACATTTAGAGAAACAGTTTTAGTTCTTCTAAAGAGTTAGTTTCTCCTTTCTTTTTGTTTTGAGACGAGGGCTGCTGCTGTGGTGGCTTTTGGGTAACCAGGGGTGCATTATGGGAGACTGTGTCAGATTGATGGGAGTAACGACACACTGACAAACACCTCACTCACCTTCCGCCGTCTCCCCACTCGCTCTGCTTCCCTTAGAGCTCCTATCACCTCCTCCTCCTACTCCCTCTGTACCTTTGCCCTTCTCCCTGCCTCCCTCTCTCTCTACTCCTCTGCTGCTGTCGTCGTCCCAGCCCTCCTCCGCTCCTCCTCCTCCTCCTCCTCCCCCAGCCCTTTCGTCGTCCTCCTCCTCGCCCAGGTTCTTGTAGTTTGGCCTCTTCTGAGTCCTCTTGCGGCCGCGTTGGCGGGACAGCTCCAGGGAGCGCTCCAGAGACTCCGATGGCTTCGTGAAGCACCGCACCGCTCCTGCACCGGCCTGGGGGGAGGGGGGAGAGAAGGACAGAGAGGCGCGTGTGTTAGTAAGTGGTGTGATGGAAACTTCTGAAGCAATGGAGATAGGACTCAGAGAGACACGGGAAGAGCAGGAGCTTTGATGGCAAACACTGACGGTTTATTTAGAGCTTCGGCCGGAGAATTCACACGACATGTGCTTCCGCCACGAGGTGTTACAGCGGTTATCAAACCAATTCTGAAGATCTCTCCCCCAGACCCATGTATGTAGCTGGTTCTGAGAGAATAATCAACATTGTGCATAACAAGATGAAGCCATAACACCTCTATCAGCTGCCGCCAACAGGCAGGAACAGGGAGACAAAGCACTGAGAGCACAGCACCCAAGGCTACAGGTGCTCATCGTACAAACTGATAAACTGGGTCAAAGTTATGGGCCTAGGAAAGACATTGCATGCTTGGAAGTGACAATACAAATTCTTATTTAAAAAAAAATACATTTCGAGTCAGCTTAGCATGTATTGGAGAATGACAGTGTTAAAAGAGTGAGATAAGACATTAGGAGGCGCAAGCCGGACGCGAACCTACGATCCACAGAACTATACTTGCCAGTAATTGCTGATTATAAAAGGCATATAATGGTTCTCAAGAAGTGAGAAAGGGAGGGGTGTAACACACACACACACACACACACACACACACACACCACACACACCACACACACACACACACACACACACACACACACACACACACACACACACACACACACACACACACACACACACACACACACACACACACACACACACACACACACACACACACACACACACACACACACACACACACACACACACACACACACACACACACACACACACACACACACACACACACACACACACACACACACACACACACACACACACACACACACACACACACACACACACACACTGGGGAAACATCAGTGAAGACATACTGGAACTAGAAGAAACCACTTCTCAGATGTAGCTCTCAGAGTTGCACCAACGCGCAGATAGGCCCACAGGAAGCAGCTGGTAAACGATAAGATGCTGAGCAGAGATCTTTTCACTGACTAACAGTAAACATAGCGACAATACGTTAACATAGCAACAATAGCCACCAACTCTGACGATAAAAATAGCTACCGTAGAATTACCATATTTCTGAAAAATAATAAAAAAGGGTACCTAACTTCAGCGGTGCATATGTGCTGAAGTTTATATGAGCTTAGTAAAACGGTCCATGCCCCTTTATCTGATTAGATTATACTTTTTTTAATGTAAAAGGAATATGAACTTTTTGAGTTATAACCAAAGGTCATTATGGCGACCCATCATAAAGACCCTCTCAAAGCTCTTAAGTTTGTGAGCAATCATCAGTGCCCATTTAACTACATATTCACGGTAACCTGAAAGGTACACTTAAAAAAACCATGAACTGTTGAGGCGTCAACAGGCAACACACAAATGTGACTGAACATTGTGATCTTGGAAGAAAAAGAAAGGTTGATTAACTATTTAGGTGCATGTATGCATTTGTCTGTGTGTGTGCATATGGGACTGAATACCAAGGTCATATGGCTTCTGTGGTTTCAGTTGTAGAAAAAAGATTCAACTTTGTTAAGAGGAAAATAAATAAGAGGTATCTTTATGAAACTAGGTGGCCCCGTTTCACTTTCCTTGTTAGGCGAAGACAAACCACCAAACACACATTCACAGGTGAACGCAAAGGCAGGTCCACACACACACAAGTGCACTAAAGATGAAGGCCCATCCTCATGGCGTTATTTTTGTGCCTCTATCCTGAGCACGCAATGAAACATTTTGAGCATAGAAAAATATTTTGCAAGCACAACTGACTCTAAGCTCTCTCACAAACTCCTGCTCCGTGCGCGAGCAGACCGCTGCACGCGCTCTCCCTCCCTTTCTCTCCCTCGCTCAACCTCCACCCTGTGTGCGCTCAGGTTCTCATTCACAGTTAAGAATTAGATAATTATTAATGCCATAAATGATTGCATACATTTAGTTTCTTATTCATCCAGTATGATTATGAGCTACGTACGGCAACCCAAGTAGGGCATTTGACACGTTTCGCAAAGAAGTAAAAAAAAAAAAACGACCACATTAATCTGAATGAGAGATGAGTTGTTGTTCTTGCAACGTAATTCCACGATTATTTGAGAATAAATCCTTTTAGTGGGTTAAGTACATTCTTAGATTAAGTGAGAAATGGATTTAACTTATGTTTGACAGCTAACATACTGGAGAAATAAGAAACTGTAAATATGCAATCATTTATGGAATTAATAATTAATATATAATTCTTAACTGTGAATGGTTTTCATTGATTTAACATTAGACATGTATTAGTCTGGCCAAACTTGATGGCAACCTAAAATCCCTCTCTTTCCGTATCTCAGATAGAAGATATGGTTGGAGACAAAACAGCCAATCAGAATTGACCTTCTCGAGTTCTCCGATTGGTTGGTTTTGTGGCACATTTGTAACGCTGTGCCAACTTGAGCGAGCACGCAGGCAAACCTGAGCGCACACAGGGTGGAGAAGTTGAGCGAGGGAGAGAAAGGGAGGGAGAGCGTGTGCAGCGGTCTGCTTGCGCACGGAGCAGGAGTTTGTGAGAGGGCTTAAGAGTCAATTGTGCTTGCAAAATATATTTTTCTGTGCTCAACATTTTTAAATTGCGATCTCAATAACATGTTCTATGCTCAAAATGTTTCATTGCGTGCTCAGGATGGAGGCACAAAAATAACGCCGTACATCCTCATCATGTGCCAAGAACAGCCGCAGTTTCTATACTTACATACTTACTGGAAGGAAATGTGTGCCAAGTGAATCCACAGTGGTCAAGTCTGCTGCTCTAGATAAAGCGATTCATTGCCAGATGGTCGTGATTGCTGGAGCTTTATTTGTATTCCCCCTCATGCCAGTTGCTCTTTGACTTCCCCCCCATGTTCTCGTAAGAGGAAAGGTTATTGGAATAAACACTTAAGAATTCCCTAAATGTCTGCTCCGTCTGTAGAGAGTGGTTCACCAAAGTATTCACTGCTGGGATTGTGAACAATTTGATAATGATAGTCAGATTTAGTCAAACCTATTTTTAGATTAAAGGGGACCTATCATGCAAAATGCACTTTGTGATGTCTTTTATACATAAATATGTGTCCCGGTGCGTCGGGGACCTCACGCAGCGTGAGAAAAATAAAACCCTCTCTCTTTTCCTCCGTACCCAAATCTTTTAAAAACAGGGGTACAACGAGCGGATACAGATTTGCTGCCGATCTGACGTCAAATCGGCAGCGGACCCACAGAAAATTGCTATCAGAAATAATTCCTGACGTGTTTTGGACGTAATCTCGTCTTTGTTTACATTAGCAAGCCTCGCTAACACTCAGAGCTAACCTGTACTGGAGAGCACATGTGTTTAAAAAGCAGGAAATAAAACAAGGAACTCACCTTGTGATAAACCCGCAAGAGAAAAAGCATTTGAGATCCATACTGTTTCAGAAATAATCTTTGATGTGGTTTAGAACAGGATGGCGTTTTATCACAGCAGAATTTAACTTTATCTCCGGTAGAATTCTGATCAGGCATTAGCTCCGCCTCCTCTTTTTTTTTTTTTTTTTTTTAAAGCTAAGGACACAAAATTCGCGGTTCTCTAACAGGGCTGCAAAAGAGGGGTTTGAGCAGTATGAGGGATGGCTACAATGGGTGATCTGTTTGGTATTTTAATGTCACCAAACATGTTTTGTATAGGTATGGCCCTACAATAGATTTTTCCAATATAGCATAATAAGTCCACTTTAAGTTTAAGCATAATTAAAGCTTAACGCCTTAGCTACCTATTTCAACAGAATAAGTATTTTAATTATTTCTGTTGCCACCCAAGCAAAACAAATATGTGTATCAGTTACATCTGAGCAATTAGGATTTTTCCATAGCTGCTGATAGTCAGATAAAAACCACAGACCAGCATTCGCGCTTGTGTGTGTGTTGCACCTGTTTGCCGTCTATGTTCTGGTAAACCGCTTATCTTCTGGGCCATCCTACTTACACACACACATCATGCAGATGAAGGCGAACATCTGCACCAACACACCCAGCAGCACAAGAAATCAGGGCACCTTAAACAGGTCGATGATATTCTTATAAATGCACACAACTGAAACAGCTGCATTTGACAGAGATACAGTAAATACACACTGAGATATGCAAATGGTGACATCATGTATCTAACTGGTGCACTTGCAAGAAAACACGTGAAGGAGAGAGGAGATCGAAAAAGAAAAAAAAAAAGACTTCCAGGAAAGAGATTTGGGTTAGTGAGGCAGTTCTGTCACTGTTCCATCATGTGACCTAATTTCCTGCCACATCACAGACAAACAGGAAGTATCCTTCGACCACCTGTGCAGCCAGAACCCAGGCCTGATCAGTGTGTGTGTCACGTACGATAAATCAAACAATAACACAACAGTGCGTGTCTGATGGGGCAAGTTATCCACTTTGTAAAAAAAGAAAAGACAATTCTGTGCAAATTATTATCATCTATTCATCGTCAGAAATAATCTTTTTCCACAAGAAATAACTGTGCTAAATGCAGGTGTCCTATTAGCCTCAAACATACTGTATATTATCAGAGGTATGAGCACACTCAATCAATAACAAAAGGACACAATGTCCCTTGAGCAAGAAAAATATGTTGCAAGTTGATCAGTGGACAGTAGAGAACGCATGAACACAGTAAATCAGCATTTATCCAAAAAACTAAAACAAAATGATGGTGAATCTGTTCTGTTCCTCTGGTGTATTTGATGTTACATTTGGATCATTTCAATTTGATTCTACAGATTAAATACAGTTCCCGTCTCTTCTAATCATTATTGTTTATAACACGTGGCACTTTTAAAGTCTGTGAAATTCAAACGAGAAGAAAAGAGCGGCAGAGTGAAAACTGGAAGGTGCTAGTTAAGCTCTGGCAGTCTCATGTTGTGGTACACCAACGTTGTTAAGACATCACGCCTCAACTCACATTCACTGAAAAGGTAGGCTGCTTCTTGCTCACACACACACACACACACACACACACACACACACACACACACACACACACACACCACACACACACACACACACATACCACACACACACACACACACACACACACACACACACAGCACACACACACACACACACACACACACACACACACACACACACACACACAATCACACACACACACACACACACACACACACAACACCACACACACACACACCACACACACACACACCACACACACACACACCACACACACACACACACACACACACACACACCACACACACACACACCACAAGGGTTCTCAGAAACGCTCACTCGTTCTGAACACCCACCTGCTTTTACAAACAGGTGGTCAAAGAATTAAGAAACGGAAGAGGGGGCGAGGGGGAAGAGAAACTGAATCACGGGAGGAAAAAATGTGAGGAAGAGAGAATTAGAAAATCAGAGGTGAGGGGAATCAGGTGGGGGAGATACGGGGAAGACGAGGGAGAGATAGACAGAAAGAGACTAACGGAGAAAAGGGAAATGACAGAGAGAGATGTAAACACACAGAGAAACGATACAAAGACGGTTCAATCCAAGGCTTGGATGGAAAGAAGCTTGAATCAAAGGAAAGAGTGTTTCAAACAGGTAAAGAAAACCAGAAAGGGGAACATGTGCATAATATGGCTGCCTTGATGTGTGTGAAGCATGGAGAAAACCATGACCCTGCAAGCTCATGATCACTTCTTGAACTCTGGCCCCCTGCGCGCGCGCGTGTGTGTATCCATGCGGTTGCCTGCGTAGGTGTGTGTATGTCTGTTTTTGTGCTCCAAGTGTGTGTGCATGTTCTAGAGCAGGGGTGTCAAACTCAATTTCATCGCGGGCCACATTAGAACTATGGTTGCACTCAAAGGGCCGGTGGTAACTTTAAGACTATATAAATATACATAGATAAATAATATACATAAATAAAATAATGTATTATTTTACAATATTTCCTCTGCATTGGATTATTATCAGATATGGTAATAACTTCATAATTAACTACGCCTGAAAGCACAAGTCTAGTAAGTAATTGCAAGTCTCTTCAGTGGCATCTCACAAAATGAGATGCATTGTGGGACATGTAGTTTATGGTGCTCCTGTAAAGCGGCACGTGACCTTATAATAAACATTGTAAGGGAAACTTCTGTGTAGCAGCAATGCAGTGGGAGTCACCGACTCAGGAAAGAGACACGGGAAGAGCAGGAGCTTTGATGTCAAACACTGATGTTTTATTTGGAGTTTCGGCCGGAGAATTCACATCACAAGTCACAGCAGCCACGATCTGACTGCACGGGAGAGTTGCCTCGTCAATTCTGAAGAACTCTACCCCAGACCCCTGTATTTAGCTAGTTACGAGAGCATCATCAACATGCTGCATAACAAGATAAAATCATAACACCTCTATCAGCTGACACCAACAGGCAGAAACATAGAATCATAACACCTCTATCAGCTGACGCCAACAGGCAGGAACATAGAATCATAACACCTCTATCAGCTGACGCCAACAGGCAGGAACATAGAATCATAACACCTCTATCAGCTGACGCCAACAGGCAGGAACATAGAATCATAACACCTCTATCAGCTGACGCCAACAGGCAGGAACATAGAATCATAACACCTCTATCAGCTGACGCCAACAGGCAGGAACATAGAATCATAACACCTCTATCAGCTGACGCCAACAGGCAGGAACATAGAATCATAACACCTCTATCAGCTGACGCCAACAGGCAGGAACATAGAATCATAACACCTCTATCAGCTGACGCCAACAGGCAGGAACATAGAATCATAACACCTCTAGCAGCTGATGCCAACAGGCAGGAACATAGAATCATAACACCTCTATCAGCTGATGCCAACAGGCAGGAACATAGAATCATAACACCTCTATCAGCTGACGCCAACAGGTAGGAACATAGAATCATAACACCTCTATCAGCTGACGCCAACAGGCAGGAACAGGGAGACAGAACACTGAGAGCACAGCAGCCAAGGTTACGAGGTGCGTGTGCTCAGTCAGGACAGTTTGAACTTTAAACTGGGTCAAAGTTATGGGCCTTGGAAAATATTCCTCAACAAACGTATTATATTCTTTGCAAGCTCTTGCGGGCCGGATTTGGCCCCCGTGCCTTGAGTTTGACATCCTTGTTCTAGAGTGACAATGTATCACAATGTGCAGCCTGATGTGTTTTATTTTTTGTATATTGCAATTTTTGTATGATGGTTCAGTAAGAAGTGTTTGAATGTGTAACAAATGAGTGCGTAGGTGTGTGTCCAATACCGTGTTCTTGTGTGTGCTGAGAATATCCGTCTGAGGGGTGAAGACAGACAGGTCTCCGTTGAGAATCACTTCGGCCAGAGCGTTGACCATCGGGTGGTAGTGGATGATCAGAAACACCTGGGAAACACAGACATACACAATTAAGTATTACAACACAAAAAGTGTTCACTGAAAATGATTTAAACTCAAATGTATTTAGAACATTGCTAAATGTCTTTCTCTGTACATTACATTACATTTAGCTGACGCTTTTATCCAAAGCGACTTACAATAAGTACATTCGACCAGGAAGACACAACCTTGAAGAAAACAGAATCATAAAAGTACATCAGGTTTCATAGAGCCAAACATTTCAAGTGCTACTCCACTGGCTTTAGGTAAGCCAGTCCTTTATTAGTATAAAAATAATGACCCTCACAAATATGCTCAAAGATATAACTGCTTTTCAATTCATTTGCAATGCATATCAAATAAAAGTTTGAACTGCACACTTTACATTTCAAAATCATGCTTTGAAGTAAGGTCAATTATCTCATTAAACAGGTTTAGCTTACAGTGAAATCTTAAATTAAGGATTTAATATCTGTTTCAGAACCGGAGACATTTACATAACATTTTCCAGAGTGGTAAAAATGTTTCTGTGTTTATCTTTGAGCATAATAACGTTCATCGTCTGACAGGAATTCATCCATATGACAAATAGGCAGAATGGCTGGCAGATAAACATCCAACCAGAAATATTCCTGTGCTTTAGTGATGGCTGGTGGACAGCATCCGATGTGTGTGTTGCTTACTTGAGACAGCAGGTAGAGGGACACCTGAGGGTTGATCTTTCGCTCTTCAGACTAATAAGGCAGAGAAAAAGATGTAAGGTCAGTTAATGTCACACAAAAGCAGATCCGTAGCTAGTAGCTGTAAAAAAATGAAATGAACAGGGAAATTAGTTCATAATGAGATACATCTGAAGAGAGCAAGACAAATTCTCTGGAAGTGTTTCCTTGTACGATGTGAGGGTCAAAGGACAGAGGGTGTCGTATTGTCATACTGATATTCTGTACAAACTGTGAAGACCAGAGACAAAAGTAACATTTGTGATATTGGGCTGTATAAATAAACATTGATTGATTGATTGAAATCATGAAGCTGGAAAGATATTCATGTAAAATGGACGGTACCAGCGGTTTTGTATGTTCAAGTTTGAACACGTCCTGTGCTTATCATTTGGTGTCACATCACATCAGTGTACCCTAATGTATTTACCGTAGATGCGAGGTTGACATACCGTTTCAGGGATAACCAAAGAGTAGACGTAGAGGGGCAGGAACAGGCGGTTGAGGAGGTGGTCGGTCAACACATCATTAAGGAATTCACAGTTGATGATGAGGATATCGTTCAGGTAGTGCAGGTGGTCCAGGTGCTCCGCTACCAGGTCACTCAACTTCCCTCTGTTCCGATGTCTGGGACACAGCAAAGACAGACACAGACATTATTAAGTAAAGAGGTCAATCTGCTCTATTGGTTTGAGAAATGATCAAGAACCTAAAACACCCAAAGCATGGCTCGAAGTTATGACCTCTACACTTTGTTGTGCTCTATTGTAACGCAAATGCCATCGATTTAGCAGGAGATTCCCAGATTCCAAAAACCTTTCTTGTGACTGAAAGCTGCTAAAAATAAGCAATTTTTAGTGAAAATTAAAGTACATGACAATACAATGTTAACAATTCACCAGGCCCTTGAATACTAATCAAGTCAAATACAAGTCCTCTACTGAGCTCCAGGATAACAGTGACATAGCAAAGAGATGCCCGACCTCTAGTGACCTCAGTGAGAATTACACTGTGAGAAGATTAGCGGCACTCACTCTTCATCCGTCTGCACACACTTGTCCAGTTCGATGACGTGGCTGCCGATGAACCAGACCAAGTTACTGAAATATGGCACCGCCGTCTTATCCCTGATGTAGTGCAGCATGTGCTGGTTGTCCACTGCAGAGATCAGGGTCAGGATCAAGACTCTGGGTTAGGGTGTTACTGAGGCTGTTCACAGTCATCAAATCAACAACAAAAAGCATTACAATTAAGATGCAAATTAAAGAATATAACCAACCACGTGAAGTCAAGGAAACAAGGACACAAACTAGTCTATTTCTAATAGAAAAGGGGATTGGAGAGGGATGAAGAAAAAGCCACTTCTTTCTGTTTAATTCAATCCTGTGATCTGATCCTACACTCATCCATTGGACACATTCACTGCTTTCTGAAGAAGAGTTACTTTCTTTTTAGACAAGAGCAGGATATAAGCCAGATTTGGGCTACATTTGTATTTGAAGTAATGAAACAGAGCAAATGTCATTCATGTGCAAAGGCTACAGGCGAACCATTGATTTTACAAATCAAAGTCTATTTAAAACGCACTTTTTTTGTGGCACTTGAAGTCTGATAAATCACAGGCTGAATTTGTCGTTTATAAAAAGGGGTCAGAGCTAATTAGTAGATAACAAAAAACTACAAAGTACAACAATCTGACAGGTGTTGAATAGCATTTGCAAATATAACAAAACATCTGTTGCAGAATACCAGATATGTTTGATAATGACTTGAAGATGCAGACCTACACTTGCTCATGTAGTTATCAAAATGCAAATAAAAGCTTGTTAATAATTTCACAATGCCACTACACACGGGTCAAACTGAGACACGTAATGAAGGAGCAGCCAAATCAAATGAACGGATTACAGCAGAAACACAAATCGACAAATCACAAGCTGCCACCATTTAAAGTCACATTGTCATTCCAGCTTTCGCCATTAGTGGGTGAACTCACAATGAAAGCACTGAAGTCTAAATAACCACAGTAACCAGATCAGAACAACCCATAACTAAAATAACAATGAAGATATGGAACTCAGCTGAAATGAAGACTAAGGAACAACTAATCAAAGTAACATAAATAAAAAAAGGCATGCCGGTTTCCATCATTTATGTCGGTTGATGATATAATGTTAATTAATTTATAAGAATAAAGAATTGCAATGGCAATTATAGCGGTACATTTACAACACATACATTATTAGGAACCGATTGCACTTCGTCTCAACAAACTCTGACTCAAAGAGTATTAATAAATAATTAATAAAACCTAATTGGGTAAATATTTCAAATTTGAGGCATTATCGTGGAAACTATACTAATACAACTGGCTGGCTTCGGGACAAGTTAACACGACAACCAGCAGCACAACAGTTAATAAAATAAAAACACGTTTCTAGGATACCAGGTAGTAAAAAAAAAGACTGAATGAATGGAACCAACTTACATGAAACTGGAGTTAGGCAGATGGGGCGCGCATAGGGAGAGAGACAAGGAGAGGAAGAGGAGGAGTGGTTGTTTGAAGAGGGGGAAGCAAACACAGGGTTAATGTGTTTACAGGGTGAAGGGGTGGAGGTTTGGAAAGACCCCGCAGGCATCCCAACCAACACGCTGCAAACAATGGCACATCTGGCAAAAGGAGTTTCTTTGTAACCTAAACATTTTAAACTTATCTTTAGGATTTCACATCCTGCTTTTCACTGTGTAACATGTCAACAGTAAATCTCTTCATGTTTATGTTAATCAGTAGGAAGCATCAAACTGTGACATATTTAACATTTAGCTGTGAAACAAATATTTCCAACACAGCTTACAGACTGCGTACAATCACAATGCAACGACTACTTTGCACTACAGCAATGTCTCAGCCGGCACATCAGGATGTAGATGAAGAAGATGGAAAAAAGGCAGAGTCACAGTTGCTGCAATGAGTTGATGATTACTCCTTTGACAGATTTCTAATCAAGCATAGCCCAGACCAACAACGATACATTCCACGCACCATTAGATTATTCATTAATTAGTTCTGTTAGGACGTCACTGAATTTAAACGTTAGACTCCAAGGTGCAGAGAGCTACATGCAAGGTTGGATAATGGGTACGGTCACCGGAGAGAAGAGTAAACCGTAGTTCCTATGTTGCAGTGACTGTATGTTGAGGTCATGTTATGTACAGTATAGTGAAGAGAAGCATGACGTGTGAGGAAAAGCCAAACTAGCTAAATGCACCATCCGCATGACAGCTCAGAGAGACGGCAGGAGGAGGGAGAAGAGGCTGATGCGGCACGGTGCAGAAAGCAACACAGCTTTGGAACATTGTTGATGCCAACACACTTTACTGTTGAGCTGCTTCTTATCTCAGAGGGCACTCGGTTTCAAAAACATGCTGCTTTCGATAGGAGTTTCAACAGCGACTTAACATGCTGGGTTGATTAGACTTGCAGAAGAGATTGTTCCTGTGCAATTGGCAGAAAAAGCACAATACAGTGTGGGATTGAAAAAAATGTACAATAAGAAATTGGCCCCTTAATACTTCCTCAGGGTAACCAATAATCCTCCAAAGGGCCTCATCCGACCAACAGAAAGACCCACATTGCTGCTAGCTGCAACGTTTCAAGGGCTACTGCCACATCTGCCTTAACAGATTCTGTGTCATTTTGCAATTTTATCTCAGTGGTAGAGTTCAACAGCTTTTCTTGTCAAGTTCTCAGCAAATACAGTGAATTTTCCAGTCAGTGTAGAAGATTAGGTTTAGCAATACTGACACCTGCTGAGAGATCTTTGACAAGTACCAAGTGTCTGTGAATAATAGGGATGTAACGATACCAAAAACTCACGGTACGATAATATCGCGATAAAAAGTCCACGGTACGATATTTATCGAAATATTGAAAAATAAAAGACAAAAAATGTGAATTTTTTTGTAATTTTTTAAATAATAAATCTGATTTGTAAAGCATTTTAGTAGATAGTAGTATTTTAAAGTGTCAACAATATAATAATCAGACCCTGCAATAGAATAACTCAAGTTTCACTTTAGTTTTTCAAGTAACTCAACTCTAACTCACTCACTCAGCGTCATCAAGGTTATCTTTTAGGAATATGAGCATGTCCACATTTCCAGGTAGAAGCTGGGATGTTTGGGCGTTTGCAAAATCCCCTGCTGTGGGAAAAACTCTCTTGCTTGGTACTGATGTTGCTGGGACAGAGAGATATGCTTTGGCCATGGGTAACAGCAGTGGGTCAAACTGCATTGTCTCTCCAACACTTCAAAAACAATACAGTTTGTGCCAAGAATGTGAGGCTTATTGACAGGGCGAGATATAAATATACTGTTGGTACTTGTCAATGTCTCTAGGTGTGAACATGTAGCCCTGTAAATACGATGTCCTTTTGTGTTATCTGTTGTTTTATGTTCATGTTGTAACCTACTTGCTGCCAAGTTGGACAGGTCTCCCTTGAAAAAGAGATTGATGATCTCAATGGGACCATCTGGTTGAATAAAGGTTTACAAAAATTAAAATAAGAGCCACTTTTGTCAGTGTTATCTGGTCGTCATGCTGATGCACCAGAAGCAAGAAAAAAGTTAAAAGAGGGGAGGAAGACAGTCCCAGCAACTTGCGAGTGTGTGTGTGTGTGTGTGTGTGTGTGTGTGTGTGTGTGTGTGTGTGTGTGTGTGTGTGTGTGTGTGTGTGTGTGTGTGTGTGTGTGTGTGTGTGTGTGTGTAGCATGTTCGCATGTGTGCTTCCGGCACTCACCTTTATAGACGTTGAGTGTGATGGTCCGGACTGCGATGCGGACCATGCTTTCAGGGTGGTTGAAAAACTTAATGGCCTCGGTGTACAGGGCAAAGTCATTAGTGTGCTGTGTGTGGGAAACAGAGAGGGGGCGCCGGTGAGCAAGGCACTGTACACTCTGCTGCACTCAGGCAACACATTACCATAGAGCCAGGGAGAGGGAGAGAAAGCAGCTAGCGGATAAGAATAAAGGTCTTAATGAGAGTAACATTTCACTTTCAATTAGTAGACTAACCCATGAGTTACTCAAATCCAAAATAAATTATGATAAATGTCTCTTAGAAATCTGTCATAAGCCAGGGGTGTTTTTGGCCCAACTTGAAACACAGAGACAAAATGAACAAAATGAACTAACTGACTTTTGCTCCTTATCTAACATTCCTTTAAGCCCCTGTCACACTGTCCCGAAATTTACACCCGATGGACACACGATAAAGGAAATGTTCAAATTCGGCTGTGATCGTAGCAACATCGGCCATTCGTGAGGGCATCTTAAGCCATCGTATGACCGCCGGGGGAGTTTCTCAGGCTCCGGCAGCAACTTCGTGAGCGGCAACTTCGTAAGGCATCGTGAGGGCATCTTGTCAAATCGTGTCATCTTCGTGTTATCATCGGTGCATTCATCCTCACTCTGATCGGGGCGAATGCCCGATGGCACCGATGATAACAAGATGCCCTCACGATGGCCTTACGATGGGCAAAATTGACACACGATTTCAACACAAATGAACCTTCTCAAGGTCCTTCGGCAATTTTTTGGCATGTCAAAGATTTTGCCACCGCTCACGAAGTTGCTGCCGGAGCCTGAGAAACTCCACCGGCGGTCATACGAAGGCTTAAGATGCCCTCACGAATGGCCCGATGTTGCTACGATCACAGCCGAATTTGAACATTTCCTTTATCGTGTGTCCATCGGGTTGTTTTATTGCACAACAAAATCATGTAAACATATTATGTAAATAACCCAATTTGTGTTCTGTGAAACTAAAAAGGATATAATATATTATTTGGAAGGACAGTTGACAGGAAGTTGTTGTTGTTATGGAAACAACATTACGGAGAAAACGTAATATTTTCTACATATAACGACGGATAAAGTAAAGAACAAAGTCTGAAGATATCAGTACAGTATCATAGTACTGTAACATAATTGTTTTTGGTACTTTCGTTGCAGTTGTATGTCTTAAATGTAATGTAAATGTTGCCTTCGTGTGTGGTTCGGGGCCATCTTCGTGCGAAATTCACAATTCCATATTCGTGTGTCCATCGGGTGTCAATATCGGGACAGTGTGACAGGGCCTTTAGAGATGGACAGCATGTATCAACACATTTCTGAATGACTGGCTGCTCTGAGACTTTGAGTAATCTCTCGCTGTGCCTGATCCTCTCCCCAGCCATTCCTCAATCACTGTGACCTCCAGCCAATCACAGTTGAGGGCCAGAAACAAATGCCCCTGACACCAAAACAAACCGGAAAGGTAACTGACTGTGTAGATCTGAGAGAAACAGAAGCTGCCCAACTAATGTGCTATCCAATAGCACCCTCTGGAGGAGAATTAACTGTACATCAAGTATACTTAATTATAAGAAATTAAATGAGAGACAATCGTACACTTTGAAAAGATGTATATGAGTTGCTTTCAGACTAAATGTCAGTTAAGTTACCTAAAACTCTAAATCCAGAGGCGTTACAAAAATGTATATTTGCAAAGAATTTTGGAGACTGTGACGAATAATCGAATAATCGAATAATCACTGGCATCCCTAGTTGTAATACTTAATTGTGTACGTCTGTGTTTCCCAGGTGTTTTCAGGTTTTACTTTAGTTTGTTAACTGTAAATAAGATACAGTTAAGTAAACATTTAAACTAAAATGCCTATGTTTAAGGTAATTTAACTGTGTGCATAAATACTGTCAGAGCTACACGTTGGGTCTTGTTTTAGCCTCAAGGGCAGAGCTACCATCGACAGTACACCAAAAACTTTCCCCCGCACACACAGGCCAGTGGAAGGACTACAGATACTGCTCAAGCAACAACGTTACAACAGAGTCATCAGAAATTACTCAAGAGGGCAGTTTACTTTGGTGTCACCATCTATTACCACACACGCACAGCAACAGGCCTGAATGATTATATTCTCGCACCCTCAGAAGAAGGTAACTTAAATACTTGAGTGTTGGTGGAGAGAACGAGCATCAGCCCATCTACACAGGAAGCTGATGCTCTGACAGGGAAACGGCCTGCTGAAGATTGGTGGATAAGAGTAGACTGATATAAACTGAGGTCGACTTGCACAAAATGCGAGAGACAGATTTGCTGAATTTAATAATAATACGTTTTATTTCGAGGCGCCTTTCAGGACACCCAAGGTCGCCTTACAGTGCATTTAAAAGTTAAAACAGCTAAAACGGAACACAATTTAATCGAACCGACAAGGCAATACAGCGGCATAGAAGCATAAAACAGGCAAGACAAGAGTGTGGAGTGACGGAGTGAGAGGAGGATCCGCGATAGCAGGTTGAATGTGTTTTAGAGTGAGTTTAAACAGGTGGGTTTTGAGGTGGGATTTGAATGTCGTGATGGAGTCAGACTGTTTGATGTGTGGAGGCAGAGAGTTCCAGAGCCTGGGTGCGGTGCAGCTAAAAGCCCTGGCTCCCATGGTGCTAAGGCGGGAGGTGGGGACAGTCAGCAACAACCTTTAATTTCTCTCTCTCCATATGCCTAGCTGCTGTTACTAATTTCTTCCATCTTTCACTCCATCAATTGTCAGTCTCTAATCGTTCATCTCTCTCTCCCTTTCTTAATAAGCACATGATAAAGGTGTTGACATCCTTTAAGATTCCTCCATGATTCAGTCCCTCTTATTTCCCTCAGATCCCGCCCATCTGTCTAAGGACTCACCTCATTGTAGAAGAAGTGCACGGTGTGGGTGTTGAGTTTCAGTGACAGGGTCTTGAGAAAGGAGATGTAGTAGGCCATGATCTCCTCGTCTGAGAAGTCAAACTTGTGGACGATGATGGAGTTCACATGGTTGTTCGATAACAGGTAATCTGAGAAGAGAAGACACTTGATCAGGCTTGTTCATAGCTTTAAGGAAAGCCTTATGTGGAATGTTGAAATGCTGATGTGACAATCTTTTTACCATCCATTTATCAATTTTCCATAAAGGCATTTGGTGGTTGTACAAGAGAATACTAAACAGCATTTTACTCAACGATTATGAGGTCAACGTGCCATCGGACAGACACAGGGACAGTTGTGTACAGTGAAAATCATTTAAGACTCAATTCCTTTTGAGACATCCCTCTGGAACTCACTCCCCCAACCCATCAGAGACTGCACTGACCTCACCACCTTCAACACACTCACAAAAACTCACCTCTTCAATCTGGCTTTTAATGTGTGATTGTTTTTGTATTATTTGACTTTAACTTTAACTATATATTTATTTGTTGTTCCTTCCTTTTCTTTTCCCTTCACTATATCTGTAAAGCGTCTTTGAGCACCTGTAAAAGCGCTAACAAATTAAATCTATTATTATTATTATAAATAAAAACCTTGCTTACTTTATATAATATAACAGCCCACTATAGAAATGACAGTATGTGCTTAGTATTTAGTTGCCTAGCAACAACCAAAAATGCAGAAGGCTGCTATTCATTGTGCATTTCAACAAAGACAGGCAGTACAACATGCCTTGCATTGTAAAGTCTACAGAGCATGTTAACTATATATAAACATCTACACGCACATTTTAGGGCAATCCCAAACAATAATCTTGTTATAACTATTGTGAGATTATTTCACTGCTCAACTGTAATACAGACTAAAAATAAATAGCACCATAAGTACAATATAATATCACAAAAAAGGAACAGCACAAACTAAAGCAGCAGTCTCAAAAGGTACAACATTTAAATAAATGTATTACATGTACTAGGGCTATTTAATTGCGATGCATTACATCAAATATGCTTTCATTTTTTAACCAGTGTTGATTCCAAGACTTACAGAGGGAAGTCTCATGGCTGATGTTCTCAAACATTATGTTGAGGGTCTGGAGGAGTTGGACGCACACGTAGCGTCCCGACTTCTGACGCAGGATGTTCAGGAAGAAGGCAAACATGTTCTTCTCCAGGAAGAAGCTGAAGAGACAGGACACAAAAACACAAACAGGGGTCAGTTCATGATGACTTGATGTTCAAATATAATTATCATACATTAAAAGGTAGGGTAGGTAAGAATGGAGAAACCAGCTTGAGTGCGCTAGAATTCGTACGCAGCCGAAGAAAATCTGCCCCTTCCTTCAGACTTCCTCACAGAGCCCCTCCTCCAACACACGAACGCGCACATGACCAATGAGGGCACGAGGTAAGTTTGTGCCCCGATGGAAGGCTGACAGGCAGGTAGGCCATCCAGTTACTTTAGCCGGGCCGGCTCAGATGATTGGTCGTGCTTTTTACAGCGCCACGGATTCCACAGGTGACTTTTTATTGTATTTATTTCAAAGCATTTCATATATTCATTGTTATCGGGATGTTAAGAGCATTCCATGGAATATAACAAAGTGTTTCTGAAGTGAATTACCTACCCTACTTGTTTCATGATTTCCATTATGTGGCTAGATTTGTGCAAAACACAGCTGAGCGTTCCACTTTCATGTTTATCCTATACTAGTACAATATTCTGGACGTGTATACTGCTCATTTCACCTGGAATAAACCTTGAAGTTTATAACTTTAAAAAAGTGTTTATTGTACGCCAGGGTGAATACTACATTTAGGGAGAACTCTTCAGTACTTTGCCCCATACATGTTGGGTTTTCTTTTAAGTGAATCATTATCCTTAGGTTTGAACTGCATCTCCATTCAAAGTGAGAAATAAAATCCTAATGGTTTCAACATATTGAACAGCTACTAGCCTAGATCATTACAAGTGACTGTTCCTGTCCATGTTTATTGTCGGGGCTTCTGATCACACAACAATACTTTCAACGTCCTCTGTGGCTTTTCTGCTCTTCAAAGCCATTTCCTGGATCATACAATTCAGCCAGAGGTGGCGAGGCGGATACCGAAGTGATTACATGAAACTGCAGAGCTGCTTCTGATTTAAAAGAAACACAATAGTTTCATGAGCTTGAGTCCCCCGAAACGACAGGAATTATTTAGTGGTTTGGCGAGCTAAACTGCAGTGGGCTTACAAAATGAGTTGCCTCAAGTCATAAGCAAGCATAAACAGTGTCACATGCAAAGGAGCATGTTGTTATCATAGAAAGATGGGGTGAGAGTCGTAAATGTGTATTTATGTTTGTTATAGTGTTGGAGATAAAGGATTCAATATTCAAATGTGCCTTCTGTGGGCATTTGTTCAAATTCATGTCTGTGAGGTAAGTAAAACGTTTAAACAGTTGGCAAACCTTGCATATATCAATAGAGAATACATTGCCGTCTCATTGTTTTCCAAGCAGCTTCCGGTGTGGGCTTTGACATTAAGAAATCGATGGTTACTTACTCAAACACCGAGCTGTCATTCTGGTCCCCCCAGATGAGGATCTCTGTGATGGAGCGGATGGTCTCCACAAGAAGGTTTCGGTTGTGGTCCGTCACTGTGGTGTTTTTTGTCAGGACATGGTACATATACCTGATGGAGAGACATGAATAAAGGGAAGATATGTAGAATAAACTGGTTAAAGCACACCTCTTAACTTAACAGCAGAAAGACAGACAGCAGTAATAAAGACATAAAGTAACTGGAAGCTGAATAATGAAACAGCCCATGTAGAAATAGAAACGTATTTGTAGCCAACTGCTCATCTCCAAATATTTGTAATATGTATGTAATAACCACCAAATGTAAGTATATATTCTACACCATGAGAGGTGTATACTTATCTTTGCCTAATTTCTGCTTTTGTGGGTGTGTTGCAGAGTAACCTCATTAACGGTTCATTTGTTTCACCTGTTGTGATGGGGCAATTTCTATTTCAGCAACTCTTATTGGTTTAAACTCCCCTCAACCTGAGCAAATGTAAAGCTAATCAGCCCGAACAAGTGAAACACCTGTGCAGACGTTCAAAAACTCGATACTACAGTTTGTACGGACAGTTAATGCACGAGACTGACTTTATTGTCAAAAACCAGCATAGTAGTAACGTTAGTTTCAATTCGGTTTTAGGGTAGATTTTTAACCTTAAAGCTAACGTTAGCTCACATGATTATCCACCTAGCCAAACAGAAAGGAAACAACATAGCAAATGTATGTTAAAATATATAACTGGACAGCTATAACAGTTATTTTAACTGTTGACAACATAGCTAATGTTCTTCTCAACCGCTTATGAATCATAGAAGCTAACGTTAGCCTATTTTTTTGCTAGCTACTCACTTCAAATGGTCCAAGGAATGGATGTTTTTCGTTTTCCCCTGTCCTCCAACCCAGCTCCGTGACCGGCCGAACATGGTTGTGGTTTTAAGGGATGTGATGTTCTGACAGGAGCGTTATTTTTTGCTAACGTTAGTGTCCGCATCTACCCATTACACCCACTTTCCCCGTAGAGATAGCTACTTAGCAAACAGAAGGTGATAGGCGGCGATGAGGGATCATTACGTAACAGGTTGGTGGATGGTTAGTCTGGGGGTTGCTGTTCTCTTCCTACCAGAGACGCTTGATACAGCATACAATGGCGAGCGGAGGAAAACTACAACATTCACTTCCTGTTCTAGCCTTGACGAATAAAGAACGCGACAAACTGATCGACACGGCGACAACCAATCACAGCAGAGCCAGAAAAGCAGCGAGCCAATCACCTGCCGAGGTATCAGGTGTCGCTTTGTGATCAGGACTGTTTTGATGCAGTCGGCTAAAAATGTTAGAAGGGACGGTTAGCTGTAAAAACGTCGACAGAAGCGGGTATTTGTGAATGTTTTGTAATTCTAGGTAAATATTTGTATTAAAAAAACTCCAAATAACTTTCCTTGTGAAAATAATAGTGTTTTTGTTTCATTAGCACTGCATGCTACTATTTTTAGCCTAGACAGCTGGCATGGCGTGAATTCCGCAAACCCCCCAAAACAATGTCAAGCATATGTCGAGTTAGCTAACGCCTGTTATCATTAGATATTAGCCCAAAACTACCTGTGTAGTTGTCGTTTTCTTTTGGACCTTGCAGATACAATTAAAACTGCTTCTCAATCACTGTTTTCAGGTCGGGACGAGCCGAAATGGACATCCCAGCCCCATCACCCCGGAGAGATTTATAACGGTGAATCACATCCTGGCCTCGCAAGAACCCAAACCGTGGCTCGATTTATTTTCTATGAAACATCCAATTTATGCCCAGCTAGATTCGGTAGAATCGCTGTTGGACGAACTCCCATATATGTTTTATCTGGGCCTGTTCTTTGTGAACATCCTGATCCTCTATTATGCCTTTCTGATGGAGTACATCGTCCTGAATGTGGGGATAGTATTTCTGCCAGAGGACATGGACCAGGCGCTGGTGGACCTCGGGGTGCTGTCCGACCCGGCCTCCGTCCCGTATGACACGGACACGGAGCTGGATGTGTTTGAGGGGTATCTAGATTGACACAGCTGTCCTACAGGAAGACAAACACATTCAAGTATTGATGGTGATGATGCAGAGGTCCAGGGCAGATTGGACCAGCGTGAACACTGTCTGGTCTGGATCGAGGGGGGAGAAAGCCTCAAAGCGGATGATGTTGATGCCTTTTTCTCACAAAGACATATCAGTGAAAAAGTAAGCAGAACACACTGGACTATGTTTGTCTTGTTTTTTTTCTGTTGTAATGGTCAAATGGAGATACTTAGAATAGAAAAATATGTATTACTACTTCAAAGTCATCCTTTTTTAGTTATGTTATAAGTTAAGCTATTCAAAACATTGTACTGATGATCTGTATTTGTTTTGTGTCACATCTCTAGGTTGTCTAGGCTCAAGAAAAGGTAACTCGAGGAAGAGTTTCAGCACCACCATGATCAGCGAAGGTCCTGCGCTGGATATGCAGTCAGTCAGTCGTTTGCCACTCTAATGGACTCTGGTTGGACACCATGGAGTTGGCACCGGCATCTGTGTCCTTCACATTGGAGACAAAGAAAGGAAAAAGGAAGCACAATGTGCTCTGAGCAGAAAGACAGCTGTTCCCTGTGGATATAAATGTCACCAGAGATGTGGAGCTTGACTCTGCATTGCAGCCAGGTCAGATACAGAAGCAGGATGTGATTCGTTGTGAACAATTACCCAGGATGAGCAAGATCTGGTGGCTGACTGCTGAAGAAAGTGAATCACAGTGTGAAGAACTGGCCGACAGCAGGAAACAATGTCCACTGTGGGTCTGTTGTAGGTCATTCACAGTACAACTGGTTTTAGTTATGTTCTATTTACGTTTTCAGAACACACAAAGCATTGCTACTTGGATGGCTCACGCATCCTTGAAGCGTCATTTAAATATATATATGTTGGGGTCATCCATGCTGTTTGTCTGCTTCAGGCATGTAGACTCTCAGGGTGCATAGTTAGGACCTCTGGGTGCTCTGGACACAGGCTGTAAAAGTTGAAGGAGAGCCTTTTTCTTTAAGCTCTCTTATAAATCAGAAACACCCTAAAAGCCACACTCTTCTTCACTGTAATGCAGAAAGTATCAAAGCATCTAGGGAGAGTTATTTATTTAATACAGTATGTCTGCTGATAATCTTTATCACAGTGTTTCATTTTGTATTAGAGGCTGACCCCTGGCCAAATGTGTGAAACTCTTATCAGCATGAGTCGTGTCAAAGACAGAACCCTTACCTGAACGAGAAACTCAGAAGTGCTTCAGATATTCAACTTCATCCTCTTTCATTTGATGCATCCATGTTTTATTGTTACAAAATGACACAGAAAAGACTCAACGCATGACATTTGTGTTGTTTTTTTAAATTGGTTTGGTTTCCAAAATGGTCTTTTATTTACACTTTTTTATGTTGAATATTTATGAATTCAGTAAAGAGAAATGTATATTCTTGGCAGCAATAATAAACAAGATTCAAGCAATGAGGCAATTCACTACTAGATGTAAGCCTTGGAGGCGCTGTACATACTGTAGGTCGGTAAAGAGCACGTATAGCCCTGCCTATTAACTGCACATAGATTTTTGAGGCAATAAATCAGTGTTTCCTCAGCACATGACTGCTGTCTGCCAGAATGAGCAAATTGTGCTTGTAGTCGTTATACTCAGAAAGGGAAGTATGTTGTCAACCAAATAACTAAAGATCTAGAGACACAAAACTAAATATTTGCACATCTACATTTCTTACTCTAGACAAATGAATTGCCTTACCGTGTCAATTCAAACCAGTTGCAAGACAAACTCGGTATATTTCCGGATAATAATGAATCTGCAACAACATTTAGTTGACGTTACACTAAAGCTCAGGATACTAATATTTATTTAATATTGTAAAATATATGAATGGTGAAATCAAACCACATCATGCTGGAGGTAGAGGGCTTTAACAGGCTGTTATCAGTACAATGAGTTAGGTACATCAAATATGAAGGACAGTCCCTATATTTTAACAATCAATGCAAGTGAAGCTGTTACATTGGCAGGATCTACTTTTGTATGTCAACTGTTAATAAATCATTAGTGGTAGTTGCACTGCCGTTTCCCAGGCATGATAACACACTGCGTTTGATCAACTCTGCTCAACTGTTAGTTTAGTAGAACGCTGCTGTGAGACTTCACAAGGACTGTGACCATACCCTCCACGTCTGCTTCTATAAAGACATGCACATGCTATAATAAGCTTTGGATTGTAACAGAGTTTTATTTTCCAACGTGTATTTAATAAACTATGAGCGAATGCCAACTTTTCTGCCTCTTCCTTCAACTGGAATATCATGTGTGTTTGTTGATTCTTTTACAGAAGAATGGACATGTTGATGTCAGACTGTTGACTTTGTCCCATGTGCTTTTATTGTGTCACTTTACATTTTGTCCACAAGAGTGCATCAGTGGAGCATGGTGGAACATAACAATGTTTAACAAATCAACAACAAAGAAACATTCATTTGCTCATTTATACATTAACCAAACATGAAGGCTTTCTATTTATATTCTAACATGTTCAATTAAGCTGCTGTCGGGTTGACTGTACGAGCAGACCTTCTACAATAGTGTTATCATTGGGAAAAACTCAACTTTGGATCCAAAAATATTTGGTTTTCACAATAAATATTCCTAAAGGTGACCACTGATTGTGTTGTTGCATTATGGGAAATGAAGGATCCAGTGTCTTGGGGCCTTGATTTTACTACAAGTCAGGTTATCTGAGGCTCTTGCTGCATCACAACAACCTATACAGATATAGCAAAAGGTTTTACAGTCAGCAACCAAAGGTCTCTACAGTGTATCACATCAGTAAGTGTCCATTTATTAATGCAAATAAAATAATATCAACTACGCAGAGTTTCAGACACTATAATGGCGCATTTCCACTGCAGCGGGGTAGCCCCGTTTAAGCATCCCTAAGCGTCCTCGCTCAGGCCTCGGGCTGCCTCGCTGGCCGTCCGAGGCCGTGGCGCATTTCCATTACAGTTTAGTAGGGGTGGGCGATACCACAAAATCTGGATTCGATCCGATACCAAGTATTTCAGGGCCAGTATCGCCGATACCGATACTTTTTTTAATGAAAAGCGTCTTATGTACTTTCATATAGGGGAGAGCTGCATGACATGATTTTTGAGCTGAAATCATCATAAATAGACTAAATCTGAATTCATTTTCATGAATAAAGACAGGACAGTTTTTATAGACAAATACACGTTTTACTTTTGCAAATTTAAAGTGCAAACATGAAAAATAACAATACAAAGTGGCCAAAGTAGCGAACTGTCTTCTTGCACACATCACAGTTCGCTAAGTTTTAATTGCCAGTTGTGAAATTGCTCCACACAACGCTGCTCTTTCTCTCAGCCATCATGCGCGTGTGTGTGTTGCACTCGCGAGTCGCTGGCTGCTGCTGTCCTGCCCTGCTGGCTGCTGTCAGTCAGCTTGATAATCGGCGTTCAGACAGGGAGCCTCGAGGAGAAGAGGACAGCAGTGGAGAGAGAAGAAAAGAGCATATACTTGTGTTCGTCTGCACATAGTTTTTTGAAGAAATTGACGAGTAGAGGAGACGAGAAAAAAAGTATAACAGTATCGATCCTATTGGCTCTAGTATCGATATTTTGAAACGTAACGTAATATCGGAAGTATCGATACTTTGGGATCGATCCGCCCACCCCTACAGTTTAGGACCTGGGGTATCAACGCAGTGTAGGCGGGGCGATCGGCTTCACATTTCGAGTTGTTCCGTCGAGCTCCCGCTGGATTTGATCATCCCCAATGAGATGTAGGCACGTCGTCACCTCCTCGGTCGACCACGGTGTGCTTTTCTTATTAGACGTAGCCATTTTTGTAACTCCTCCGTTTACAAAATGCTGTTTATAAAAATGCTGCAAGCTTGCTTCTAAATATATATGCGACGCTAGGGATGAACTCGCACACGATCTTGTGACGATTCTCTCTGACCAATCAGCAGTCGAGAGTGTTGACGTCACTAGTTCAGCCCTGGCCCTGGTCTGAGGGAACCACGATTTTATGGGGCCGGAAAAAGAGGGAAAAAGTACCCGCTAGCCGGTACTAGGCTATATGGAAAGACCACCAAAAACTGGCCTGGCCGCTTGAGGACAGTTAAGGACGCTTAAACGGGGCTACCCGCTGCAGTGGAAATGCGCCATTAGACTGTAAAAAAAAAGAGAACAGAAGCCTTTTGGGAAGGAAGTGAAAACAGGTTAATAATAAACTGTTGAATTAAGAAAAAAGTGAAACGAAAAAACTGTACATAACAACATAAAACATTTTATTTATAAAAATAAGAAAAAATTATGGTTACATAAAATCAGATCTCATATAGTGCAAAAGTGCTTCTTGAATGTGTACCTAGCCATACAGTAAACACATGCAGCACCGAAGGATGAATCTTTAAAAATATCTGACAAGGAGAACCATTGAATAAAGCACCAAAGAATTATTTTTGGTTTGTGATAGTGAGCTTTCTCAGTTTTTCTTAAACACACATGCAGTATAAAATGTAGTGTGTAGTGTAAACATGTGAGGATGTGTGTAGAGGTTTCATATTAGCCGCGTTCACACCGCAGTACTTTTCCCACTTTAGTTCCGATATAGTTCCGAAATGTCGCGTTCACACCAAAAAGAGCCGGAACTAAAATTAGTTCATGAGAACCTTTTCACCCCCTTTTCCGTCGCTGCTAGAGAGCAGGGACTTTCGTGGGAGAAAAAGGTTCCTGTGTCTGATTGGCTGGGCGGATTGCAAACCACGCCCCGTAAAACTCCCAAAAAGTTTTGTGAAGCCGCCATTTTATTATCCTTGCATTAGCATTATTAGCATTAGCATTAGCCCAGCGCAGAAACGCAGAGAGACTAATTTATGGCAACACAAAATAAAACATGGGAGCGGTGGAGATGAGGAGGTGTCGGCGTTCTGGCGATTTACTCTGAAGGCTTCAGGAGAAGCGGCTAGGAGCAGTGGCGTTTTCTCCCGGAGGCCAAGGGAAGCCAGGCTTCCCCTGTTTTTTCGGATTGTAGTTATAATTTAAATAAATAAATAAAAACACTTTGTTTTGTTTCGATATTTCTCCTGTGCTGTGTGTTGCTGCCGGCCCGTCTCTCCCCCATTCTCATTGAGTATTTTACAAAGAGTGAAACAAACAGCGCCCCTCTAGATGTTATGGTGAAACAGTAGATTGCACTCACTGTTGCGAGAGGAGGCTAGCCGAATCTGGCTTCCCTTGGTGAAAACAATTTGAGGGATTGACCAATCAGATGAGGCTCACGTGATGCACCTGCCAACCTGTGATTGGTCAGGGCCATGCCAAGGGAAGCCAGAGGCGGCTGGCTTCCCTTGCCTCACAATCCAATCAAATCGCATAGTGGTGCAGTGACGCATCCTAAAATCCGGAAGTAAGCTGCGCTCGGTTTCCCTCGACAAAAAAGCAATGAGATTTCTCCATAGGATTTTGGAAAATAGCTCGAAATAAGGTCAGTGGAAAACGAACCTGTTAGATACATGCACGTTTTGTTCAGTCGGATAATATCCACATGTGTACCCTACTTTTATAATTTTCGAATCATAAATCTAATCGATAGAAGATAGATAGCGTCACTGCATCACTCTCACCGCCGTTAGAAAGTAGCAAGCAACTGAAGCAAGTGCAATTATGGAGGATGGAGATTTGGAGTATTTCATCAAAAATAATTGTACTAAACTTCCGCTACAGCAGACACAACAAATACAATCTGATGACAGGCCAATGCCCAAACTGGAGCTGTGTACAGCGAGGAAAAAAGGAGCGAATCGGACGTAAAACGTTAAAGGTCTTCTGATTTAGTTTGTGAATGAATGCTTATTAGAGTTTCGGCTGGAGAGTGCGTGCGGACCTGTCGGTTAGATAACAGGCGTGTGTAAGTCCTGCATCTGATACAAATGTGTGTAAAATGATACCGGGTGCTGTAATCACTCATCTGGTTATGTTATCACATTGACCACCACACCCCCGACCCAAAAGAAAGGACGTATTATTGGCTTCCCCTATTGTTTTCCCCACGCCACGCTACTGGCTAGGAGTCCCAGCCGCTTCTCCTGAAGCCAGTCCCCAACTCCGGGGACTTCCGACCGGGGACTTTGGGCGGCAGTATACGCCGTGAAGTGGTTTGCGGCCTGCCAGTAAACCCAAAGCAGAAGAAGAAGAAGTGACGTCGGCGGCTTCATTTGCCTAATCCTCCCCCAGGGACTTATTCCGGTGTGAACGCGATCTGTACTTAGTTCATGCGAACTAAAGAGTTCTCATGAACTAAGTTCTCATGAACCTTTGTGGGAAAAGTACTGCGGTGTGAATGCGCCTATTGTTCTACTGCCACTGGATCCTGTTGTCCTGCTGCTGAAGTCTCTCAAACACGCCGTAAGGAATACACTGGTTCCACATCCTGCGATAGAAATAGATATTATGATGCTGGATGACATGCAAAGAAAAGACAAATGGATACAAAATTATTTAGTTTTGTGTAGCGTTTTTTTTTCACCTCAAGGTCTTTATTTTTCTACAGTTTCTCAGACTGGCTCCCAGGCTCTGTGCTCCAACACTTGTTAGCTTGTTGTACTTGACACTGTCAAACAGAAAAAAACCGGTTTAACACGTTGAATTGTACACTTCTGTATCTTCAGATAGTGATACATCCTTATAAAACACATCTTTCTGTCAATATATCAGTGAATACAGAACAAAGCTCAGAGGATCAACATTTATTTTTATCTATGTAACCATATTTTTGACTAGTTCCTTTTTTGGTGAATGTGTGTGTGGTGTGTGTAACACCTTTTTTTGTCTGTTCAATGTTTGATTAAAAGTTTGTTTGGTTCATTAAATACGTACATGTTCTCCATAATGAATCAAATGCATTGGGTTAATGCTGTGTTTCATTAGATAAAGTATAAGGAGAGAACAACACGTTATTACGGCCCGTCCACACTACAGCTTCAAAAAAAGCTTGGAGCTGGGCGTGTCTGAAGCTCGACCAACAACCAATCACATGAATCTCCCGCCCCTGACACACAAGCAGCGGTTTGATTGGCTAGAGCTTGTACTGGCATATGATTGGATTGGCTGACGCTTCCACCGAAAGCTTCAGAAGCTTCAAAAGTTGAACATTGCTCAACTTTTGCAGCCTGAAACGCCAGGAAAGCTCCGCTCTGCTTCCCACAATGCAGTTCGGCGAAAAGTGACCCAATTCAAAGTGAATGGGCAGAAGCGTTGGAAGCTTCTTCCAACGCCGCTGTGTGGACGGGCCGTTAATGTCTAAGGAAAATGTGACATGTGTTTCAATGTACGTCTTTTGGAGGTTTAATGTCATTTATAATCAGTACAAAATAACTATACAGTAGAATTGTTGTAAATGTGACATTTATGGTCTTACTCCAGGTCAGTGAGCGAAGCCATGTGTGGGAGGACAGCAGCCAGAGTCTCTGCACCTTCGTCACAAATCACATTACTGTAGAGACTGGAAACAAATAAAGGGGAAGTGAAATGAAGTGGGTTTGTCGTATGCACCACTGTGGGTGTTGTTGTCAAGGTATATGTGTGTTATATACCTTAAACAGTGCAGTTTGGGAAGATCCCGCAGCACAGTTGCCAGTTTCCTCACCCCCTGGTCTCCTATGCAATTCTGTGACAAACTAGAATGAGAGGTTAAACAGTTAGTACAAGACACATACTGTACTTCATTATTTATTCTGTTGTACAGGATGAGAAGGAACATGGCAAACTCACTTGAGAATCTCCAGGGACCCAAGTGAGACTAAAGTATCCGCCAATTCCTCTGCTCCTTTGTCCCCAATCGTACTGTTCTCTAGACTGAAATAAAAGAGAAGTTACTCTTAGGCACAGGACAAAAGATATAGATATAGAAGCACTGAGAGAGAACTTGAAGTCAAATGTATATATTTACTCTAAGTGCTGTAGGTTGTGTAGACCTGGCAGGAGCTCCCATAGCTTGGGAAGAACCAGGGGACCTTTCTCTGGACCAAGCCTGGAGGAAATCATCATCATCATCATTTTCATGGTAACCATTGTCACTCATTTAATTTTCAAATGTTGCTTATTACTACTTACTCTAACTCTAGCTTGTGTAGCTCTTTAACTGCCGGTACCCCCTCTGCCAGGATTGAATCGCATTGGCTGGAATTACAAGTAAACACAACACACACTTCAACCACCAGATACATATTGATTGTCTGTTGCAGTGACTGTGCGCATGTGTGTGTGTGTGTGTGTGTGTGTGTGTGTGTGTGTGTGTGTGTGTGTGTGTTGCATTACCTGTCTGACAGCCTCTTGTGCACATGTATGTTCACCAGCTTCGCCAGGTGCTCTATGTGACACACTTGTGTGGCTTTCAGAGGGTGGACCTTGAATTTGGACACCGTCACTTGTAGGAGCGCTTCTTCACCGCTCTGCTCTAGCTGCTCCCACAAGGTGATCACATCAGCAATGCATGCCCTACAAGACACCCAAGGGTTGACAATTGTATCAATGGAATGTCATCAGACAGAAATAATACATTGCTCATGGGTTAGTAAACTAAGTGCTCCTTGGCCTTGGAAGTTACACATATCCTGCTTGAGCTAGTAAACTTAATAGCCATACATTAAAACGACCACCGCAGCCTAAACACTTTGAATGTTAATACTACAGATTTGAATATTGGAATAATCCAAAGCTTGACAAAGGGGCCCTCCCTTAATTAGGGTTGTTAAACTATGATTGGGGAAAGGGTTTAAAGAGGACATATTATGCTTATTTTCAGGTTCATATTTGGTGCCTCCACTGTTACAGGTTTACAGGCTTTCATTTTCAAAAAGCTCTTTATTGTTCTCGTACTGTGCAGAGCCCAGTCTGCTCTGATTGGTTAGCTGGCTCTGTTGGTTGGTCAAACGCTTAGAGATCCCCCTTTGGGATTTTAGCCATTGCAGACCATTCACATGCACAAAAACCTCTATAAAACACTACAGGCAAGAGACCCCCAAAAAGCATAATAGGACCCCTTTAACAAACTCAATAGATACCAAGCAGCTTTTTGAGTTGTGAATTGAAACTAGTACCTGTATGTGTTGATGTTGTTGAGCCCCAACAGAGCTCTGAGTCCCGAAATCTGTATCCCAGAATCCTCCAGATTCAAACAAAACCTTCTACCGTCAGCTCCACCCTGGTCGAGAACGTTCTGCACAGCAAACACGTCCGATGGCTTAAAAGGAACTCCGTGAAATGTCAGGACCTCTGGAAGATTCTCTGCCAGATGAGCAACCAATCGTTGACTACCACTGTCTCTGCTACCATCACCATGTGAGGAACTCGCCTCATAAACATAGCGACAAGCCTCCAGGACCTGGGCGGGGCTCAGGTCATCATGGGAAAGACCTTCAAGGTGTGTTGTCACTAAAGCCTGCTTAGAGGCCACCATGTCCCTGAAGGTTGTCTCTGTGTATGAGTGAAACCTCTGAAGCTCTCTCCGGTTGTAGAACAACAGCCCGACCGCAAACCGCTGAGTCAGATCGAGCTCCTCCCTTTGAGGCCGCCGGCGACCCTTCTGGCCAGATTGGAAAGGGAGGGTCTGGAGGAAGGCACGGTCTGTTATTGTCCTGGGGAAACAATATCAGAAAGAGTCAAGAGAGATCCAAAGAGGGAAGAGCACTGAAAGTGAAAGAGAAAAGACGCTGGGAATAGAAAGGAATACTCTTTCAATTTCAATCTAAGGCCAGGATACTATGACAGATTAAAAGCTTTACACACTCTTCAGATTACTCTATCACATCAGCATAACCATCCATATAGTTCTAATGGAAACATAGAAAAATCATGAAGCGTTTACCTTGACAGAGACAAATGGACCCCTGCAAGGTAACTCTGAAGGAAAGGGTTGGCCCACATCAGGATTTGGTCATCACTGGCATCAGCGTTTTCAGTTTCCTTCCTTCCCTTGCTTCCCCTCTTTTCTCCAGTCTCTCTTGTTCCAGTTTTCCTTCTGTCCTCACTCTCACAACTTGAGACAACCTGCCTCGTCCCCAGATTATAAGAGAGTAAGAGCCCTGTTCTTTGGCCGAACGCCTTGAGTTTTGCAGATATGGTCCGTCCTTTGGGGACGATGGAAGAGTTTGCTTTGATCCCCTCCCAGGCCAGAGAACTTAGCTGGGCCAGCAACTCCCTCTCCTGGGTTTTGACTGCTTCCCAGCCATTACTCTTCATTTCCTCTCCGTCTTTGTCATCTTTCTCCTGTTTTTTTGAACCCCTTGTTCTTTGTGTGTGAGTGCTTTTATTACGCCTCTTCATTTGAGAACTACTTGAGCTTTTTGTCTGGGTTTCTTCAACTGATTTCTCAGATATTTCCGATGGAGTTTCAGCCTGTGAGTTTGTGTCCTTACTGTCTTTTTCCACTTTCATACGAAGCACTTGATGGCAGAGCTCGGTTAACGTTCTCGGTAGGACCTCCAAACTTTTGCATTGTTCTAAAACCAAGCAGACCAAGCGACAAAGTCCAGGGTTCCAGCACAGGAGATGTAGATAGCTGCAGTTTTTGAAGCAATCCAAAGCAGATACTCTGAGGTCAGGATCAGTGAAGTACTGGGACAGATATATCTGTACGTCAGTGGGGGTGAAACCACACACCTCCAAAAGGCTGTCCGTTCGGCGGAGAAGCTGGCTGGCTGTGCCTCTCGTTCGGGTAGAAAGCAGAAGTGTGCATCCTGGAAGGAGGACCCTCTGAAGGATGGCAGAGTACAACTGTTTTACTGTGAAGGTCTGTGCTTTACTGTCCTTCTGTAACGACGTTACTAAGTCTTTTTCTTGAGTCTGGAGAAGAATTTCATAGTCCCGCAACTCGCAAAACCCATCAAAAATGACAAGCACGCGCTTAGGGGCTGCAAGGATTTGAGCGTACACTGCGTTGGGGTCCTTGCAGGTAGGGGCAAAGGAGGAGAGGTTTAGTAAGAGGGTCTGAAGGCTAAAGGTAGCGTCCGTTAAAGAGAGTGCCTTGCTGTCTAACAAGAAGAGAAAGTCAAACTGTGGGATGCAGTCTGTGGACCAGTCGAGACACAGTCTTCTTATCAGGGTGGTTTTTCCCATGCCAGCATTGCCTAGAAGCAAAATGTAGCGTTTTGGTTTGTCTCCATTTGATCTCACAAATATCTAATCGGAAAAAAAGAAACACATAGGTACCAGTGATTAGCAGCCAGTGATTTCAGCAATGTTATTGGCCTATTCACAAGTCATACAAAAATCTAAATACTCATACTTCAAGGTATTGGATTGGCTGTATTCAAAAACACCTCAATGGTTTTCTATTGAATTAAAGTGAAACTCTTACCTGACTCCTCCCCAACAAGCTTTTTTGTCGATCTGTATCTCCCATGATGACTATCTCTTTGTCCAGGGCTTTGTTTATGTTTTTTCCAGAGTGAAGAATTTCCCTCTGGCTCACTGGCACATCCACATAATGAGACGTCAGGCTGAGGCCAGCCTCCATAACCTGGCATGCTTGACTCATGTGGGCTTTGGCTTCCTGGATGTAGTCCTTCACATCCTCTGAAAGAGTAACACCATTATTAGGAACCTGCTGCTCCACATAACATGAATTGTGCTTTTAATAAATGTAACATTAAAGCAGAATAAAGGAATAAAAGTATGCAGTAACTTACGTGGAATATCAAGGGGCGTGGGACACTGAGGAAGAGGGGATTGCTTACACGTAGACGGCTCTAAAAGTCAACATTTCAAGATATTTTTACCATGAGAATAACTGTAGAAGGGGATTTATACATAATGAGAAAGACATATAGATGTACTCACCATTGCCAGGTGAGAGGGGTGAGGCACAAGGATGAGTTAAGGCTTTGCTTGCGGTGTCTGACAGAGATCCTCGTGGGGATGAACTCATTTGGACTGGAGCTACTTCACCATTCGCTACAAGAACAACAGAAGAACAATTAAGGCAAAGCTAAAACTGTGTGATCATAAACTACACAAAACTCCCAGAATAAGATCTCTGCATACATGCACGTTAACTACAGATTTGTAGACACACACATATACATTTACTTCTGAGATTAAATGTGTTTCTACTCACTCGGGGAGAGGGGTGGCACTTGAGGTTTGAATTGCGGTGATCCAGCAGGAACTAAATTAGAAATTCACGTTAGAATATGTACTGTTGATCTAGTTTATGTGCATTAAAAGACATACATGAGGAGCAAGGCAAGTCTATATGTTTAACACGTTTCATTTGCAGAGTGCTTTACATTGTGCAAATAATACAATAAATAGTAAGAGTAGTTTCATAAACATCTAACACAAAAACACATTTTCAGATAGGGACAGATAGGGAGGAGTTGAGAAGGAGGAATTCATTGATCTATTGCAGGATGTGCTTGTGTTGCTGATTCTTGGTGTTCATAAATAGTCTATGATCACATTTATGGTAGTACCGCCATAGTTGAGATATATATATAGCTAAAGATCCCATCTGTCTGAAAATGTATGACTTCAACAAAATCAAAGCCCTATTTGTTGAAAGTTAAAGAGGCCCCATTGTGCTTTTCCCTTTACTTCAGTGTGTAATATTGTTTTTTGGCAGACTGGCAGACACACAAAAAGACTTCTTCCTTGAAATGGCACACCTTTATAGCAAAGAGAATATTTGGTATCAGCCTGTGGCTGCAAATAGCTCTGGCTAAGCTACACTTCTTAGAATGAAGATGATCCAGTTTTTATGCGTACAGTCTTCATTTCCTATTCACAATCGACCTTGTTTGGTTGTATACGAATGCTTTACTCACCAAATATGTAAGTAGGTGTGGCAGCAGTATTGGTGATTGGAAGTGTAATTACTGAAGGAGAGAGCCTCAGGCTCCGAACAACCTGACATGATGGAGTGTCTGGGATGGTGATAAACTGAATGGAGGGATGGAGATGGAGGATTCTTGGTGGAGTGGTGGAGAGGCCAGCTGTCTCTGCTGAACTTGGCTCTGATCCTGTGGCTGCAATAAACAAAGCCAACATCCTTATCTGTTTTGCCCAAAGGTTTCGTTAACCTTGAGCGTATCAAAAGCAAAGGTTGGGCAAGGAGAATAAAGTTTAGATTCCAAGATAATTGAAGCGGACTTAGATCAGATGCTGCATCACGTTTAAGACTTACATTTTAGCATACTTGTAAGACTTGAAAATGAAAGGTCAGTGTGCCACAGTTGAATACAAGTAACAATCTACAACTCGTCTAGATTAACAAGAGTTTTCATAATAGCAAGTACTGCATTTGACTTCTAGAGACGCACCAAACTGATCTGGAGGAACTCTGGGTGAGAGTTATTCTTTTGGTTCCACATTGAAATCTTATCTGACAACTTCAAAATGTAACTTCCCGTTTTTTGATCTGCATTCCTATGCCATAAAAGGAACCGAGTCAAGCATAGTGAATCAACAACACTCTAACCCATGAGTGTTATGTTGGTACTTTCCATTCACACCATGCAGTGTGTTAGCTGATATTTAATCATTGATGGATATATTTGCAGGAATACTGATCAAACTTTTGCCATCCTCTTAAATGACTGCAGATAATCTTGTTTGAGACGTACCCATTTTTCTTACTGCCCCTTTAAATGCAAAACAAAAACATGTGCAGTGTCTAACTGCTCCTTTAACAATTCAGATTACAGCAGAACGTAGAAATGTACCTTGGGTGATTGACAGCTCAGCCTGCACCACTTTAGTTTTTGGTTGAGCTGCAAAAGATGAAGAACGAACATTACAGCGTGTTTTTTTTGTTGCAGCTTGCTTCAAATAAAAGCAGCCACAAAGACGCTCAGAACCTGTTAGCTAGTTTTTAGCTCCTAACATACAAATCACGTTAGCTTACTAGCATGTTTACATACCATATAAATGCATGCTAATAGTAATCATTTATCTATTTACCTAATGTATCATTCAAATAGCTTGCATATAGACTCTTATTTCACTATTTCTTAAACTATTCCTTTCTTTTGCAGTTACTTTTAATATTTAATATTTATTGCACTATATTTTTCTGTTTTTCTGAAAGCCAACAGTGCAACACAATATTACGCTATATTACACAATATTACGCTTTGGATAAAAGCGTCTAATTACACAATTCTTAAGCCTGTGACTTAAGAATTTCATCGACATAACAACTCTGTATGACTAATAAAGAACCTTGAACCTTATAAGATCAAGTATAAAATGAAATGCATGTTATCCTACTATTCCAGGCAGTCATTAGTTTCCATTCATATCTGTACAAAATTAGTACATTATTGAAAATCTCCAAACATGAAGTGACTTTTCAAAATAAGTTAACTTGATGTTAAATTTGATGTTTCAAAATCAACACATTGATATGAATGAAACACAGACTTCTAAAACACTGCATCATTTTTTGCAGAATGACATCAACTACAAAATGGGCCAGTGGCTGACTTGACCGTGCAGGTTATATATTCCACAACTTGAAGCCACATCATAAATAGCAAAGTACTCTTTGCTTCACACTTCAAAGGATGTTTCAGATAATGGCTGTGAGGTTTTAAAGTCTCATTTATTATACTTGTCTATCCCTTTTACCTTACATTGAAAGTCGATAATAAAAACCACACAGACAGTCTGGTTAGGTCACCTGCTGCTCTTTGTCTCTTTGGCCTAGATGGTGTGTCCTGATCGGGGCACTGTTGTATCCGAGGAGCTGGAGAGGAGAAATATAACATGTAAACTTGCCAGAATGTTGTGGCTTCATTCTAAAATTCAGTTTGATATGACAAAGTGGTGATCAGGACAGTTTTTACACATATGAGCAGACGTTGAGCTACGATAAGCTTCTAGTTAATGGCTGGTTATGTACCTCTGGGTCTTTTACTTCTGCTTTTTGTTTTGCCTGTTGTTTTGACCTCCTCTCCCTGCTGCTGGATGTCGGGGAAGGGCTCTGTCATCATGGGAAGATCAGCTGAAGGTCAGGGAAGAAGAAGTAAAAGAGTCAGTGAAGCAGCTAAAGGGCAAATAAACCAGAAATTGTGGAATTTGTGATCATTACAGGAGTGAACTGAAAACAGGGCGTTGATTATTTTGTTCTCCCAAATTCTAAAAGATGGGAAAAAGGAAGTGGTAGATAGTAAAAACTTAGGGCAAGTGTGACTTGAAACATAACCACTGGGAGTGTCGGAGGAAAATCTCGGACTAGGCTAGTTGGAAAAAGTCTAACAGCGGTACCGACAAATGCACTATTTTAACCCACAACTATATACAAAGGGTCCAGTTTTTACATTTATGACAAACAGCCACAAAAAACAAACATTGAACACAATTTTGCATCAAACTCTGCCTGGAAAGTACCTCGATGTTTATTTGTTCCTGGTTTCTTTTAAGGATTCGTTTATCATTTAAAGGAAATGTAAGGTTTTTTAGAGGAACAATTTTGCGGAAACCTGCACCCAACCACACGGAAATGGTTCCTGCGTACCTTTTTGTTTGGTTGGCTGTGGTGGGCGGATGCAGGCAGATCTGTCCAGGCTTTTTGTTCTCAGAGTCCTGTCCTATCTTGGCTAGCTCGCCAATAAATGTTGGAGGAAAATCTCGGACTAGGCTGGTTGAAAAAGTCCGGACCTCCTTCTCAACATTATAACTTATTCACTTTCTTCGTGGTAATACATTTCTAATGGGTTCTGAAGAAATCGCTGGAGGCAGTCAGAGTTTGGTGCAAAAAGAACTTTACTTCATCAAAGACAAAATCAAAGTCCGAGCAGACCCCGGGATCGTACTGCTGAACAAACGTTGTACTCGCACCTTTATAGCGAGCCTTCTTGGTTGAGGACGACAAACCATAGCAGCAGAGTCCGCTACTCTTCTCCACATGAAGTTACACACTCATTCAGATGGAAACACTGTTCTGACAGTGTACAAACCCTAACATTACACTATATTATTATACTGTATTATACCAAGAATTATAGCACTATACTGTGAACACTCATCATTCCCCATTATGTTCTAATAATGAGCATTTCTACAACAGGAGTAGCTTCTTAATTGTTGTGTTTTTTTTGCATTATGCCACAAACTGAACTTTACAAAAAGTAACAACAAAAAAAACCTTGCAGTATTTTGATTATACCCAATATTTTATGATATGGACTGTGGCCTTATATGATGAAAACATTGTAATATGACTCAGTGGGTTACTGCTCAGTGGGTTACTGCTCAGTGGGTTAGTGCGCTGATCTTCGAATCAGAGGATAGCAAGTTCGAGTCCCACTGCAGTCGGCATGTCGTTGTGTCCCTGGGACACTTCACCCCAAACTGCTCCTGTGGGGATTGTCCACAGTACTGAATGTGTGTAAGTCGCTTTGGATAAAAGCGTCTAACAAGTGACATGTAATGTAAATGTAATGTAATATCCAACTAAATCTGATTATCTCTATGTTCATCGTACCCAATTTAGTTATTTATACACTTTCCACTATGTATGACCAAGTTTGGACCTTTTATTTTTCTCCTTTATTCAGTTGTTTGCCTGTCAGCAGTTGCAAAATGAAAGAAAGAGTTCCTTACTGCAGGTGCTGAGTTCCTCCACACAATTAAACAGTGGATCGTCAAAGAACCCCTCAGTGTCGAGGTTAGGATCTGTGTAGCAGGAATTAGACAGTAAATCATTTTTACATTACTATGTGACTGATCATGTGTGTTTAAGTTTAAGACATTTGATCAATTCAGTGTCTAATTACTTTACACAGTAACGGAATATTAATATATGCAGAAGTTTGGCTCAACTTACCCCCTATCCCCAGGAAGTCATCAGTCAAGATCTTAGATAAATCATCTAAAAAACAAATAATGAGCATTATCAGGCAAAACAGTGACTTTCATATCTAATGTATACAGATAGGGGCTGATTTCCTAAATAAAATCTGCATTATTATCTCAATATTAATGTTTTTGAGTTGTTAAGGATTACAACCCAGTAGGCAACCCAGATCTAGCTAACTTGTCATTTCATCTGTGGCTTTCATTGATCTGGTTTTGTTGAAAATGCCCTTTAGGTCACTTTCATTTAAGAGTATTTTGCTATTAGTCTCCTTCGGGTTACCACAGTCTGCATCATATTTATGATAAAATGGGGTCAAGGCAGTAGCTTTCCATTTAATCAATGTGTTGATTATTGATGGATAATCATAAAACCTTCCTACAGCCCAGACAGGTTGTTCAAACACTACTCACCTGCTAGATCGAAAGGACATACAAACGGGTCCTGTTCCATTTCCTGCATCTTGGCACCTGCTAACACACACATTAAAAGGGATAAATGAATACGTTACCATGCTAACATGCTACTTTGAAGTTACCGACTGCATTTAAAGAAGATTAGTAACATGTGCCATTATGCTTTTTTTTGGCAGAAGTGGAAGTCTGAAATGCTTTTTGAACCATCTCAGGTTAGCCGCACAAATATACACATATGCACACCTGCTCACCCACACACACCCACCCACACACACGCCTGCACACACACACACCCACACCTGCTCACCCACACCCACACACCCACACACACGCCTGCACACACACACACACCCACACCTGCTCACCCACACACACCCACACACACGCCTGCGCACACACACACCCACCTGCGCACACACGCCTGCGCACACGCGCGCACACACACACACACACACACACACACACACACACACACACACACACACACACACACACACTGTATAACATAAGGGTGAAGATAATATACCAGCTGCTTATGCTATTTTTACAAACCTCATGAAAAAAGCCTCAGTTTTGAGGAACTTTTCAACTAAAATACAGTACCATGTTGCATGTCTACTTCATCACACACACACACACACACACACACACACACACACACACACACACACACACACACACACATCTGAGGGTGCAGTGCACATGAAACATTCGGCTGGCAGTGCCACATTGGAAAGTAAATCACTTTCTTTTTCAGCCTCTGGAAATCCCCCAAATCCCCTTCTTTTGACCAACAAATTCACCATTTTAGACAATGCTCCAGTTGGAGTCTTATGCTGGTTTAAGAGTGTGGACCTTAAATACATCAGACATCACTGTTAAATGATTCATAGAAGCCTATACAAATTATAATAATGTTGCTGTATAATAAAGATTATTTAAAGGCAGAAAATATCGATACAAAACGTTATTTTATTTAAAATAAAGTTGTATTTATGCTGATTAGCTACCTCATGGCGCAAGTCAAACTTAACTTAAATCACTACATAATTCGCAAAACTCACTTGACATGCTTACATAAAGGACCTCATATATATCAAAACAACACAAATATGTACAAAATATGTACATATGAGCTGAAGCCCCCCGACATGTTTATCTGACCATGCATGCGCACATCGGATAAACGCACAGATAAGTCTCCTTGGTAAAAATGTTTACCTGCCGGGCGTTCCTTCCTGGATGATGGTCAGGTGTGGTGGACTACTTCCCGTGCTTAAACCTCCAGAAGATGCGTATACATCAAACGCTGCATATATCCTCAGATAGCCTACAACACATATGCACCGTGTAACCCTGCTGCATGCAATTAACTTTTACTTTCACATTGCCCCGCGTGGCATCAACAGACGCCACCCTGCAGAGGTTTGGTAAACAAAGTTAATCACCAGCAGCTTTTTATTTCTGAGACAAGCGGCGTTTCTGTTTGAAAAGCCTATCGTCATTACTTTTAGTTAAACTGATAAAGGCTTGATAAAAATCAGACAGGCAGATTCAATCTGTCATAAAGTCACAAAGTATTTTAAATAAGAAGACTTTTACAGTGCATACACTTGTCTTGTTCTTAAATCCTTGTATTATATTATAAATGCATTCATGGACTTCTTCAGGATTATCTTGCAGATACAGTATGTGGTCAAATGATGTCTCGAGTAGACCCTGATTCCACTGTGCCATAGAGGTGAAGTAGAAATGTAACCAGGTTTTATTTCTATTTGGAGTGTTAAGCTTCTGTCCATTGCTTAGTTGTTTGACAAAAAGTTCTATCACTCAATTTCTGTAATGACCTGTTAAACAAATAAATTGACTACCGTATGCTTTGTGTTGTTAACAGTAGACTTCTGCAGCCGGTGCACCTGTCATGCTCTCAAGTCCTTGCATGTATATTAATAATCACATTTTAATGCGTGAAAAATCTGAATGCATTCTGAAAAGATTTGGATTTGGGAATTATAATACTCTGTGACTCTTGCAACAACAACTAACTAACTTGTCACTTGCTGACAAAATGTTAGCAAGTGACTGGCAATTATTAAGAATTATGATAATTGACCTTTTAAGTCATTATACAATCTTTTAATTACTGTTTGCATTATTTTTGGCAAAGCATTATGAATATATCAGTGTTTATAACTAGAGCTATACACAGATAATGCATTCTAAGTATGTTTATAATGCATTACATGAAACAATGTGTTCAACATAAGCTCATATTCCTATTGATTCACTGTGACGACTACAACACAGGCGGAAAACACCTTACAACCTATCTTTGCTTTGGACAAGGACACTTTTATTTATACATTGGAAAGAACCAGCTCCACCCGTTTTTTGGGATCAAATCAAAATGAAACTGAAAGTTCTTCACACCCTAACCACCGACTCATTTTTATAGACTTGCCTAAAACAGCTTTAGACAATACTGTCTGCCAACTGAAAATGGAAAGCACCTGGAAATCAGACAGAGCTTAAAACACAAAACAAGATCAGAAAACAGCAACATTAAGATGGGAAACAATGATTGAGTACCAACTTACCACAGTGTGAATCCACCTCCTCCTCATCCTCTTTATTCCAATGCAAGCAAGCATCACAAGCAGTCTTTAAAACATTTTCTGCATCGTTGAACATATCTAATGTCATGCTCTGATCTGTGTTGGAGTAAAACGAGTGGTCTTGTGCGTCGGTGTGAGTGTCTGTAAGTGTACAGGGAGAAAATACATGTGTAATATCTTCTGTAAATCCTGTGTCCATGCCCCATTGTCCATCTCCCATTGAACAGAGCAGATCCTTTGTTGACCTGTCAGCTGCCCGGCAGACATCGACATCAGGTGAGACTTCTCTTCTTGTTTCATAGGTAAAGAACTGGTTCAAATCAGTTGTCGCTACGCTGTCGTATGTAGAGAAATACGGACTTTCTGCAGTGCCAGTGGCTCCTTCGTTGTCCAGTGTGAATCTTGAGTCTGCCTCTGTACAGTTAAAGCTGTCACAGTACAAATCTAAAGTCCTGCAAGCGATTGCAAGCTCCGTCTCCTCTTCCATATTGAAAACATGGCACTGTGCTTCTCTGTTTTTTGTTGTGTTTTCTCCGGTTGCACAGCCAGCAGTCATACCAGGAACCAGTGGCAGCAAGATCCTCCGTCCTCTGTCCCAGTGCTGCCACAGAGGGACAGCTATCCTTCTCGCCGCCTCCTCTACCTGCTCTAACCACTCCTTCTCATCCTCCAAATTCCCCTCATCTATTATGTCAGTTTCACCTAATGGCTTCTGCATTCTTTCTGCACCTCTCAGCAGTTCCTTCATTCGATTGTCTGATCTGAAACCGCATTGATAGTCACTTATTATCGATGTAGAAGAGAGCCTGTGGTTGAGGTAGTGTTTGTCCATCACTGGCCCCCCACCCAGTTCCTGAATAATCTTTGGATTATTCCCTTGATGTTCATAAAGTGGATCAATAGTTGGCCTGGGTCCTGAGCAGTCATGTTCAGCCACTGACGGTTCAAACTCAAATCCTGTCTGGTAAGGGTCAGATTTCCTTACCTGGCTGAGTTGACCCTGGTTGAGGGTCCAGTGGGAGGTAGACCCTTGAGAACTCATTAGATCAGACTTTGGTTTAGGTGCCATCTTGTCAGAAAGTTGGTACAGGCCCAAGCTCTTGCCATAGGCCTCGGAGATGATCTGGTCCTTCACCAAATGTTGGAATAGAGCACAGATCTCAGCAGGAGAGGACCGAGTCAGAGCTTCCTGCACTCTGTCCAGAACCTCCTCGAACTGGGCCATGGCGGCACCGTCTTCTCCCCGGACATTGATGTCTTTAAAGAGAGAGCTTGGGTAGATGATTGAGTATAACGTTTTTTTTACCAAGGGATACAATGATTTTGTCCAGGGGGCGTTACCATTAAAAGAGGCAGGTGTTTGTGCGGTTGAAGGGGAGGTGTATTCAAAGAATTGTTTCATTTCTCGTGTGGGAATATATGTAAGAGGGACGTTAATGGACTGAAGGCAGACGTGTCATAATTATTAGGAAGTGAGGCTAGATTATCCTTTCGCAAGAGCATTTGTTCAGATTCAGCTTTTTTACTTTTATTTTTCTATTTCACCAGTTTCTTAAGCATTCATTTTGTCTACTTAAAATTATGCCAATTGTACTTTCCAACAGTCTATACCTTAAGAAAATAGGCCTACTGCTATTGTTTACTTTACACATATCATTTAATCCATTATCACACAATTCTAGATGATCTAACATGATTTTAACTCAATATACAGATACAGTAAAGCCATTTCTTTTTAAATAGCCTGCTTTATAATTGCGTTCGTTATTATAGTTTTTTACTAAAGGTTTGATAATTCTAAGCTAGGTTTAAAGTCGCACAGGATCAAAAAGTAGGTCTGGTGTGTTATTGTTTCACTGATTTAGGGACTTTTGCTCCGTGTTTAAATTTGCAGATCATATGTTTATTTAAAACCGCTCCCAAATTATATGATGAGCCAGTAGTGATAATATGCCTTTTATCCTTTAGTGGTTTGTAAAGTTAATGATTGAAAGGTGCCTTTTATATTTGATCAAGGGTCAACACCAAAAAACGTATATCTGGTGCTCATTGGTGGAAAGACTATTTATAATAGAAGACACTGATGCTTTGGTATTTAGCCAGTTGAAATTATTCAGTGCACTGTTAACATGGATACTGTAGTGCCGTGAAAAGAGAGTCGGAGGCGGTGTATTAAGAATGGAGTTCCAATCTTTATTATCCATTACTTCAGAGAGGTTAACACATGCACTGCTCTGCCATGATGAGCTAGCAGGAATGGCAGCTAAAGCTACAGGTGTTCCCCACTAAAGGGTCCGTGTGGCAACACAATAAGCAAGGTGAATTATGTCCAATAACGTGTCACCACACAAGCCCCCCCAGAATTCACACATAAACAAAATCAGCATGGTGGGGAGGAACGACACGCCGACCCCCACGACTCCTGAGCACGGGAGTCGGAAAAGTGACTCCCGCCTGTGCGCCCCCCGGAAGGGGAGGGACCGGAACAACAGGTCTTAAATCCGTGACAGGGGACGAGGCCGGGGGGCGGCCCCGTCGCGGAGGTCGAGCCAGCACCACAGGCTGGTCCAAGTCCAGGTGAGCAGCCTTCACCCGGTCCACCGAGACGTGCTCGGCCTTGCCACCCAGGTCGACCACCAGGTGCTTGTCCCCGTGCTCCAAGACCCGGAAAGGCCCATCATAAGGGGGCTGCAGGGGGCCTCTGTGCGCATCGTGCCGGATGAACACGTGCTCCGCCGAGCGGAGCTCTGCGGGAACCTGGGACAACCTGAGTACCGTGCTGAGTAGTAGGGATCGGAACAAAGGCCTCAGCGGCGTCACGCAGGAAAGCCCGCTGGGCCGACGCCGACCAGGGAGCCGATGCATTTGGGAGGAAATCCCCCGGAACTCTCAGCGGCTGACCGTAGACCATCTCCGCTGTAGAACACTGCAGATCTTCCTTAGGTGCGGTCCTCAGGCCCAGCATCACCCAGGGCAGCTTGTCGACCCAGTTACCGTCCGTAAGGCCGGCCTTGAGGGCCGCCTTCATGGAGCGATGAAAGCGCTCGCAGAGACCGTTAGCCTGAGGGTGGTAAGCGGTAGTCCTGTGCAGCTTAACCCCCAAACCGCCTGCCACAGCGTTCCAGAGCTCGGACGTGAACTGAGAGCCTCTGTCTGAGGAAATGTCTGACGGGGTGCCAAAACGACACACCCACGTTGCAATGAAGGCAGGGCAACGTCTGCGGCTGATGTCGAAACGAGCGGAACCGCCTCCGGCCAACGGGTCGTCCTGTCCACCATGGTGAGGAGGTAGGAAAACCCCTGAGAGGAAGGCAACGGACCAACCAGGTCAATGTTGACGTGATCAAACCTCCTCTCAGGCACCAGGAAACGCTCCAACGGGGCCTTCGTGTGGCGGTGCACCTTAGCGCGTTGACAAGCCACGCACTCCCTGGCCCAAGTCCTCACGTCCCTTTTCAGTCCTTGCCAAACGAACTTCGCCGCTACCAAACGGACCGAAGGTTTAACGCCGGGGTGTGACAGGCCGTGCACAGCCTCGAACACAGGACGCCTCCAGCTGGCAGGGACGACAGGCCGCGCCAGGCCCGTAGAGACGTCACACAGGAGAGTAATGCCCGCGTCGCCGAACACCACGTCCTCCAAGCGCAGCCCCGCGCTCTCCACCTTCAGGGCCTGGACGCCGGGATCTGTGACCTGGTCTGCCGCCATGCGAGTATAGTCCAGGCCCAACTGGACGGCACCGATGACGACCCTGGAGAGGCAATCAGCAACCAGGTTCGACTTGCCAGCCACGTGCTTAATGTCCGTAGTGAACTCCGATATGTAGGACAGCTGCCGCTGCTGACGTGCCGACCAAGGCTCCGCCACTTTTGACATGGCAAAGGTGAGCGGCTTGTGGTCGACAAACGCCGTAAATTCACGGCCTTCCAGCATGAAACGGAAGTGCCGCACGGCCAAATAAAGTCCGAGGAGCTCCCGGTCAAAGGCGCTGTATTTGCGTTCTCTAGGCGTCAGCTGGCGGCTGAAAAAGGCGAGCGGCTGCCAAGCGCCCTCCACCCACTGCTCGTGCACTGCGCCGACCGCGTAGTCTGACGCGTCCGTGGTGATGGAGATGGGAGCCGTAGATGATGGGTGTGCCAGCAAAGCCGCCTGAGCCAACGCGGTCTTGACCTCAGCAAAAGCGCCGTCCGCCTCTGCTGTCCAGTCGATCTCCTGGACGGGGGTCTTGCCTTTCAACGCTTCATACAGCGGCCGCATGATGTGTGCGGCCCGGGCGATGAAACGGTGGTAGAAAGTCACCATCCCCAGAAACTCACGGAGCGACCGGGCTGTGAGCGGGCGAGGAAACGCCGCAACAGCCTCCACCTTCGCTGGCAGAGGTGTCGCACCGCCCTTGGTGACGCGGTGCCCCAGGAAATCGATGTCCGACACCCCGAACTGGCACTTTGCAGGATTGATGATTAATCCGTGTTCGTTGAGCCGTGTGAAAAGGGCTCGGAGGTGGGACAGGTGCTCCTGCACTGAAGCGCTGGCGACGAGTATGTCGTCGAGGTAAACAAACACAAACGGCAGGTCCCGCAGCACCGAATCCATCAGGCGCTGGAACGTCTGAGCGGCATTCTTGAGTCCAAAAGGCATCCGCAGGAACTCAAAAAGTCCAAAAGAAGTTATCACTGCTGTCTTGGGAATGTCCAGGGGGTGCATGGGCACCTGGTGGTATCCACGCACCAGGTCCACCTTGGAAAACACCCCCGTACCGGCCAGATGCGCCGAAAAGTCCTGAATGTGCGGCACCAGATAGCGGTCAGGCGTAGTGGCGTCGTTGAGTCGGCGGTAATCCCCGCACGGGCGGAACCCGCCGTTCGATTTGGGAACGACGTGCAGGGGGGAAGCCCATGGACTGTCGGAGCGGCGGACAATGCCCAGGCGCTCCATGGTTGCGAACTCCGCCCTCGCTACAGCCAGCTTAGAAGGGTTCAACCGCCGGGCCCTGGCGTAGACAGGAGGCCCCCCGGTAGTGACGTGGTGTTCCACGCCATGCTTAGTGGTAAGCGCAGAGAAGGTGGGTAGCGACAGGTCTGGAAACTCGGCCAACAGTCTGAGAAACGTGTCTGCACCTGACAGCGAGCCTGACAGCCCGTCGTACGCTGCGCTGCCAAGTGTGCACACGAGGGAAGAAAACGTTAAGGCATCAACCAAACGCCTATTCTTAACGTCCACTAAGAGTCCATGAGCACACAAAAAATCCGCTCCGAGGAGGGGAAAAGAAATGTCCGCTGTCACAAAATCCCAGCTGAAACGCTGTCCTCCGATGCACAAACACATAGGCCTCACGCCGTACGTGCGAATGGGACTGCCGTTAGCCGTCGTCAATCGCGGTCCGTGCCCCCCACGGGCGACGTCTTCACTCGACGCTGGAACTACGCTCCGTTGAGCGCCCGTGTCACACAGAAACAGGCTCCCCGAAACGCTGTCGCTGACGAAGAGGAGCCTGCACGTGCCGCCGACGCTCAGAGCCACTACTGAGCGCCGGCCCCTCCGTTTCCCGGGGGTTTGTAGCTGCACGGAGCGATGCATCTCTTCGCCCTTGTCCCGAAACGTGCGTGGTAAACGCACTCTCCGGTGTCTCCACGCCGGCTAGCCACAGCCGTGTCCGGCCTCCGCCACGCTTTCTTGACTGCCGGTGGGCCGCTGAGCGTCGCGGCTAACGTCTCTGCCCCGGGCTGTTGCGTAGCCAGGAAAAAACGATCCGCTTCCTCAGCCAAAGCACGGGGCTCCGTGACAGGCGTGTTGGCCAGCGCCGTCTATACCCGGGGAGGCAAGTGACGGAGGAAAATCTCCGTGAATAAAATACGGGGATCTTCCCCCCCTAGCAGATTTAGCATTTTCTCCATTAGCTGGGATGGCTTGCTGTCTCCTAGGCCTTGAATGTCAAGTATCTGGCGGGCCCTCTCCTTAGCAGATAAGCTAAATGTCTTAAGGAGAAGGGCCTTAATCGCCTCATATTTGCCATGATGTGGGGGGGCTGCGATGAATCCCACCAACCTGGATGACGTGGAGCTCCCCAGCGCTGCTACCACATGGTAGTATTTTAGGTCCCCGTCACGGACCTGTCGGCAGGCGAAATGTGCCTCCACGTGTGCGAACCATGCCTCCGCGGTGTGCTCCCAGAATTCCGGCAGCTTTATGAAAACATCGCGCTCAGCCATGTTCGTTAATTTTCCGGAAACTTTCTCGGAAAAGTCAGGGTCACCAGTGTAGTGCCGTGAAAAGAGAGTCGGAGGCGGTGTATTAAGAATGGAGTTCCAATCTTTATTATCCATTACTTCAGAGGTTAACACATGCACTGCTCTGCCATGATGAGCTAGCAGGAATGGCAGCTAAAGCTACAGGTGTTCCCCACTAAAGGGTCCGTGTGGCAACACAATAAGCAAGGTGAATTATGTCCAATAACGTGTCACCACAATACATTGATTCACAAAAGCTTTTTCATTGACTGCTGAATACTCACTCACAAGCTGATAGGGAATGCAAGGGATATACAGTAGGCCTACGGTTCACTCTGGGATTTTGTTTCCACTAGGGATTAGGAATCTTTCCTGTCCAGATTTTCACACCAAAGTATATTCATCTGTATTCATCATTCAATCAAACATTTTAAGCTAACAGTAGTTCAAAACAGGACTCAAGACTCATGTCATTTCTGGGGCAATAGAAAAAGGTCTTTCCTGAGAAGCCTCTGGAATGTTACTATACGAATAACTATCTCTTAGCTTTACTATACGAATAACTATCTCTTAGCAAATGACATATTTAACGGAGCAGTGACAGCAACAGAGCACGTCAGGAGGAGGAGCTCTAAAGTTACTGTAGCCTAGCTGTTAGCAACCAGCATGCAGCAGAATCCTGAGGTGTGCTTTGCTAACAAAACCCAAAATAGCTAACAGAGTGAACAGAGCTAATGAGCTAATAGCGCTATGAGCTAAAAGAGCTAACAGCTAATATAGCTAATCAAGCAGCATTACTTGAAGTTGCTGTTCAGAGGAAATTGGATATACAGTGAACTGCAGTTTTATGTGACGACAAAACAAGTTTACAGTCAAAGTTGAGCAATGATTGGATGCTTAAGTACTTTGGTCTAGTTTGGTGTTGCAGACACTTTACATTTACCAATCTTTTGTCAGATGTAGCTACTGAAGTACACTGCTGATGTACTTGTACCATGATAACAACAACAACAACAACAACAACAACAACAACTGTATATTGAATACAAATTGCTTTAGACAAACTAAATATAAAACTACCAAAAATCACACAATATTAGACACAGACTATAAAGGGCACAAAGTTTCATTCACTAATGAAAGTCAAACATGTTTTTTTCCACTGTTCCCATATACATTTGGATAATTTTGAAATCAATCCTGTATCTTTTACTGGGACTTTCTTTCCTATAGGGCTCTTTTAGGGAGTTTACCTACGGGCATAGATTTATCTTATCTCATCTCAAGTCATAACACAATCATGAAGTCAAAGTAGAACTTGGTGAGTGAAACAAACTCTCTCTGGGGCTTTGTTGTTTTGTCTGTTTGCAGGATGCAGATGCAGTTTCACATGTGTTTTTCAGAGGACCCAGAAGGAACTACCACCATGTTTGGCAAAGTACACAACTTATACACACATCTTAAATGATTTGTAAACAGACACAAAGTTTGCTAACTGATGGAAAAATCTTCGATGGTGATTTTATGTTTAGTCATTTATTTACTAGTACTTTACCTTAAACAAAGTGTATCCAAGACAGTTTAGAAACGATTTATTCTTTAATCTTCTTCTGTAAATCCACAAAACATTTGATTTATTACTGTAAATCAGAAATGACTTGGTCTCCCTCCACAATTATTTTAAACTGTACATCTGGTCATTGAAGTACATTTGGCCTGCAACTTTTATGTATGAAAACATTGTACAGATCATGCACAATTTGGTCAGTGGCTCGGACTCGTTAGTGAGAAAGTAAAGTTTCAATCCTTGTTACGTGCCAGGCAGGCTGTACTTGTGTGGTTTTCCTTCCCTCCTGTGTTTCTCTCTTCTCCCTGTCTTCTGCACAGCTAATCAGCAGCTGATCGGTATCTGCCTGAGTCTGATTGGATCCTCTCACCCTCAGCTGGCCTATCAGCAGCCAGGGCCGACCATAAAGGAGGCACCCAGGAAGTCTTCTCGCTCTCTCACTCTGGGCCTGTTGCTGATGAAGGAGCCTGCAGTGTTTAGCAACTCATTTTCTTTGTATTGTCAAACCTTTTTGAAAGTGTGTGTGTTGAGAGGTGGGGGAGTTAGGTAAGTCTGGGGTACCCTGTACATTTCTCACCACGTAGCTAACTAATGTTTAGGCACACTAGGTTAGCGGATTGTTGCCACCCCTGTATATTGTTTTGTCAACTTCTTTGTAGTTTAGTTAGTGAGGGTTTTTGTTTGAGTTTTGGTTTCAAAGGATAGATGTAGAGATAGGCCTGGTTTTGTTATGCTTGTTTCTTTTGTTTGGCACAATCCTTTGACTCCTCCTCCTCACCAACAGAGTGTTTCAGTTATATGTCTGTTCGGTTCTGGGTTGACATAAAATAAACCTTTTGTCAACTGTTACGCTGACTCCCTCATTTGTATTGGTTGTAGGTTATTGTCTCCAGGTCCCCTATACCTTAGTGGGGACGTAACAATCCTCACATGCACATATCTTAAACAAAGTAATCCATGTAGTTCTCCGTGATTCATACATTCAAACTTTCTATTCCCTTGCAGTGCAGAGAACAATCATATGATATACTGAGGATTCTGTGTTTTGTATTTAGAAGACTTAGTTAATAATAACGGTAGGAGCCACAAAATGTTCTAAAAGAAATTGTAAAAATGTTTATGCTACAGCTTGATTTACTACATGACCAATGTTTTTACTTCCCCAAATAGCACCTCCTTTACTAGAGCACACTGTAAACTCACTGGATATTCAGTAGCTTAGGATGCACCTTACTTTAAAAAGGAAATTCAAGGTCTGGTGATAATTTTGTTATTGTCGGCAACTTCCTGGTAAGGACTTTAAACAATGATTGATAAAGTTGAACTTGTGTATACAAAGCCTCATCTAGCTTCCTCTCGGCTGCAGAACTCCAATGGGCCACTGCTGCACTCGGAGAGATATTGCTGTGCCTGAGTACAATCACCATCTCAAACAAAGGTGTTGATTCTTAAATGGTCCCTAATAAATGTAAAAATGTACTCCCGTTTGAGAAAGGTTAACAAAAAACTTCAGTCTCCTAGAGGCTGACGATAGCATAGCCCATTGCGGGTTTTGGTCATTTTAAATGGGATTTGTAAGACAATGACAATATCAAAAGCTTTCATATTTTAAGATAAATGTTAACTGTGTCCTTATCTCAATTCTAAATCATGGTTTTCAATGCTTATGTGAATTTTACTTTCGGATGAAATGTTTAAAATTAGTACCCAAATGCTATTTGGGTACTAATTTTGCTGTTATTATTTATATTATATTTATTACAATGAGGAACTAGTAATAAATGATATATGATTGTAATATAATATCAATATTATGTTATATTGTCCTCACAAATCAACGGTTTTCTGTAAAAAAATGTATTTTCCGGCGACTGCAGAATAAACAACTGCACTGTAAGGTCTGAGAATCTCACCAAAGTGGCTTATAAGAATGTTGGCTTTGGGGAATCATGCGCCAGCTATCTTATGTGTGTTTTTAATTCAGTAGTTAATCATTTCTACCACACTCATCATTTGATCTGTCTTTGTGATGTGGTCCAACATGGCCGCCTCCATCAGAGTGGCTTCAGGTGGTGCTCTGATCCTCTGTCACACGGTTGGAACAGTAGTCCTTGATACCTAGAGGAGAGGAGGGTGGTTTTGATTAACTTGATGTTCTGGGTATATCAATCAAAATCACTGATTCATCAACTTTGATCTCTGGCTGTTAGAAAGTTATCACATTTCCATTCCTCCTCCTTCCCCTTTTAGTCGCTTCCCACTTTATAGTGATCACTTCTTCTTTCATGTCATTAAATCAGGAATTACAACATCAAGTAACCCATCCAGTCATCAAAAATAACAAAGGACTTAGCTGGAACCCGTATGTGCGTATCACTTCCTTTCTTTAGAATAAAAACAAATCTTTAATATGATGCAAACACGGACGTCAGAGATTTTGTGTATGTGTGTAGTTTTAATGGATGATTGCACACTCACTCTGCACGATATTCAGGTAGACCTTAGCAGCAGGAGAGTCGGGTACTTCGTTCAGGAAAGACTTGCCCTCATCGCAGCTTCGGGCTATCCTCGGGTCTAGAGGGACTTTTCCTAACAGTGGCAGATCTAAATCCAAACACATTTTCTCTGCACCCCCGCTGGTGGGAGGGAAAATCTGCGATGTGTTCTACAAAAGAGTGGACAAAGAAAATCAAAGTTATTAATGCATATGCAGCTTCTATTGAGCCTAAGTTACATACAATGTGCTTATTTAACATGCTGAGCTCAGGGATAGAAAAGTAGTAATGTCAAAGACATCAATTAAAATCCATTTGTGTGTTTTCCTACATCAATAATGAAATATATGGTTTTCTATGGTTGAATTAGGAAAGCAGTAACACCAACATTGCTGTTACCTGATAGGGAACATAGGACACAATGTATAGTGTTTCAATCCACTTTTTTGTTCACAATGTGATAAACACAGATAAAAAGACTAGATCTTAATCAAAGTAACATACAATACAAGTTATGATGAATGAGTTTGGAAAGGATGACTTGAATTATTGAATGGGTTGTGTGAACAATTTAACCCTGCTTTTTCCACTATCCTCACAAGAGACTGCAATGAAACCTGTAATCATGGTAACTGTACACAAAATAAATGGTTACAGCTGTTGCCCTAATATGCATGACAGAATAAACAATTAAAATTCAATGACGAAAACTACACTAAAATGTATTTTGTTGTTTAAAAGTAAAACTTAAATGATAAAACTTTGAAAAAACGAATACACACATACTTAATCAGAATCTGGTGTCAGAAATGACACACACACACAGATGTTATAAAGAGCTGACAACATCAAAGCAGTCGATGGCGAGACATCGTGATTTTTGGTCAGTAGTATGAGTCAAGAACAAGCAACACTGCATTTCCCATAATGCAACTCAAAAGCATGTCTAAGTCAAATTGGAGAACCATGAAGACTTCACTATGGGAGGGGAAATCAGTCCTGTCTTGTCACATCAAGTGCATTTCAATAAATATAATTTAATATTATCACTAGGATTACATTTAATAATTGTCTGTAGAAAAGAGGCTGGTCTAGAGGTGTCTCACCACGAATACTATCTCAGGGGATACAAATACTGAGAAGAAAAATGAATCCGACATTAAGGATCAAAGAAACACAGATCTTTGTTGATGTTTGTGTTAACAAGGTGCACTGAATGTATTTGAGACACTGGAGGCTCATTCTGTAATTCTTTTGAACAGAACTGCATTAAAGCGCTGGCTTGTTTTGACATAATTCAGACAGCAAGGGAAGCATTTAAACTTCCTGATAGCACTTGCATTAATGCACAGGAATAATAATTATAAAGCTTTAAAGGTCCCCTATTGTTCTAATTTTCAACAATATATTATAGGTCTTAGATATATAGAAAACATGTCTCTGAAGTGTTTGGTCATTGCAGCATTACCCATAATCCCCTCTGTTTCAGCCCTGTTTCCAAAGTGCTGATTCTCTGTCTGTTACTTTCGATGAAAATAAGGAGCCCCTCCCCACGCCCTCTGAGAGAGATTTGGTTACAAAGAACTCAATGGTGCTCTAGGAGGAGATTCAGGTGATAAGGTGGGGGGGGGGGGGGTTACCTTGGTTGGTGATTGGCTAATGGTTACACAAGACAAAAAAACGTTATGACAGAAAGTGGCCAAAATCTGATCAGCTCATTTTCAGACAGGTTTTTATAGAAATGGATCAGAACAAAAAGAGAGGGGGTCTTTTTTCCTGAAACTTTCAGAGTCTCTTTACACGGAGGGGACACATGTTGATGTAGAAGAGACATGAAGAAGAGGGGACATATGTTGATGTAGAAGAGACATGAAGAAGAGGGGACACATGTTGATGTAGAAGAGACATGAAGAAGAGGGGACACATGCTGATGTAGAAGAGACATGAAGAAGAGGGGACACATGTTGATGTAGAAGAGACATGAAGAAGAGGGGACACATGTTGATGTAGAAGAGACATGAAGAAGAGGGGACACATGTTGATGTAGAAGAGACATGAAGAAGAGGGGACACATGTTGATGTAGAAGAGACATGGAGAAGAGGGGACACATGTTGATGTAGAAGAGACATGAAGAAGAGGGGACTCATGTTGATGTAGAAGAGACATGAAGAAGAGGGGACACATGTTGATGTAGAAGAGACATGGAGAAGAGGGGACACATGTTGATGTAGAAGAGACATGAAGAAGAGGGGACTCATGTTGATGTAGAAGAGACATGAAGAAGAGGGGACTCATGTTGATGTAGAAGAGACATGGAGAAGAGGGGACACATGTTGATGTAGAAGAGACATGGAGAAGAGGGGACACATGTTGATGTAGAAGAGACATGAAGAAGAGGGGACACATGTTGATGTAGAAGAGACATGAAGAAGAGGGGACACATGTTGATGTAGAAGAGACATGAAGAAGAGGGGACTCATGTTGATGTAGAAGAGACATGAAGAAGAGGGGACACATGTTGATGTAGAAGAGACATGAAGAAGAGGGGACACATGTTGATGTAGAAGAGACATGGAGAAGAGGGGACACATGTTGATGTAGAAGAGACATGAAGAAGAGGGGACACATGTTGATGTAGAAGAGACATGGAGAAGAGGGGACACATGTTGATGTAGAAGAGACATGAAAAAGTGGACTTTGCATAATAGGTGACCTTGAATGCTTTTACTACTCCTAACTGGTTTGGCTGTAGCAGATGAAGTGACAATGTGGTCAAGATGGTCTCCTCCACTGTTCCTCTTTGCTGTGTGCATCCTGCAAAACTATCTAGACATCTGCTTTTTGAAATGATTCTAGGCTGCCTTCATAGATTTGGTCTGACCAACTGTTTGCGTCACTGTGTTTTCGCATCCGTCAGTGACCTTGCACGAAGGGCAGACGAAGCCACTCATGTTCTCCACCACTCCGATGATCGGCAGCTTGACTTTCTGACAGAACCGGATCTCCTTCCGCACATCCTGCAACGATACCTCCTACAGAGAGAAAGGGAGAGCAGAGGGGATACAGTGAGAGGAGAAAAACAAAGTCACTGGTGAAAGTGAAAATGATTTCCCCTTCCCTCACAATTGCTATTATGTATGACAACAAAAGCAGTTGGCTGCACTAGATAAAATGGACAGCTCTCAAGTTTAATGTGCCAAAACTTTGATACTTGAAGTACGCTACCCTGGTTCCTGATAACAACAACACAGGTTCTGTGTTAGGGTAATTCCCACGTTGTCTGCGGCCACGTTTGGTTAAGTGAGAGCTGAAGGAATGAGGAAGTGATATTCCTGCTGTCTGACCTCATGCGTTATTTAAGTAGCAGGAAGCGATGGTCTCTTTCACCAAGTAAAGTCAAACTTGATTTTAGTTGTTGACACATTTGAACAAGAAAACAAATGTACTGCGACAAATATTCTACAGGGATAAGACAACAACATCTGTTACGACATACAGCCAGCAACTCATTCTACTGACAGTACAGACTGTTAGTGGCCGGCTCTGTTGTGATTGGTCAACCGCTCAGAGATGTGCCACATACAATATCACGTACAAAGTGTTGGAGTGCTAGCCAATAAAAGCACGGGTGTTACATAGTGATGCCACTGTGTTAAAGAAGTAAACAAAGGAGGCCAATGGAGGCGTTTCAGGTGTGTGGAAACTACCTCTGCGTGAACTTTGGGATTTTAGCCTTTCATAAAAGGGCCTTTTTAAAACAGAAACATGACTACTTTTTTTAGCATGCTTACAAGAAAGCAAATAATTAATAATAGCCAACTCCTAACGTTAGCTTCGATTTGATAAACAAACTGACAATATCCACTAATGGCTGCAATAAAGGTCGCCTGTGCCTTTATTACAATGGGTCTGGGGCTTAGAAACACTTGGTAACTATATAAAGTATTCATACAAGTTCAATGTTTATCTGTGTGCTAAAGATTGGATTGCTTATGGTTACTATGGCATCAGCCTGGTTGGTGACTGGTTAGTTCACATGTTTAAGGTGTGTATCCCTGGCATACAACCAAGCCAGAAGTATTTGTGTGATCCGGTGAAAGGACTTCCAGTCAGAGTATACAACCTTAAGTCACCTATCTTTTAAAGATAGGTAAAGATACACATTTTGTTGGCCCCGTTTACAACACCACAACAGGTGGTAATTTGCTGTATTAAGCCCTCTTGTATTCATGTAGTTGGTGACAGACACAACAGTAATGGAGGGTTTTTCCAGAGCCGATCAAATGAGATCACACCCTTCACCTGAAACACTTACTGTACAGGTAGATTGCATAATGGCCTGCTGAGGTAACTCCTCTGTTCTTCTATTTCAGGTGTCTTGCTTTGTGATTGCTAAATATTTGTAAATTCTAGCTAAAAGTTCTGTTTTAAAGGACATTTAAGAAATATATGTTCACTGCAAATGGCACTTTGTCTAGAAAAATAGCTGTGTTACATTGCTGGAAATATCTCAATATAGTTGGATCACAAAAAGGCTATTAGTCTCTACCTGGAGAATAGCACTAAGATGCATCATGCAAAGCGTCTGTGGTAATGTCGCGTTTTGAGTAATGAGTATCTTGTTCTCTGTCTTTTAATAGCACTGAGGCTTTAAGTGTCACTATCAATACATGTATTACTCAGTAGAGTTTCTTGAAAATCACCGGCTGAATGAACAACTCAAGCTTGTTGAAGTTAATTCTAGGAAATGTCGGAACTAATCAGTTGTAGTGAAAGCAGACGACATTTGAGGGTGGAATTTCCCTTTAAGCTGCCTTCACATGACCGGCCAGACATGACATGTGCTGACGTTGTCATCCTCAAATCATCCATTGCTGTCCTTTTGATGCGCTAACAATCAGATAACAGCTGTTTAAAGTGGCACAAAATAGCATGAAAGCAAACCATGGAATCAAAACCAATGATCTGTTTTAAGCACTGCACCCACAATTCTTTGCAAAGCTAATAACGTATCATATGAAGGCAGCTTTTACAGTTAAACTATTATTAATGTTAAGAGGGTTCCCACAGCTTCTTCAACACCAGGTCCAAGGACTCTGATATTTCGATAACCCTAAATTCAAGGAGCTAACACGGAAAGTTGGGCGACATGAATCCTATTTGGATTGCAGATGTTAAACCTGCATCTTTCAACTTCAAAAGGGCAAAGCTATACTTTCACCTTCAAAGCTTTAGGCATATATAGTGCATTAAAAAAATAAAATAACGCTGACTAAACAAAAACTAAATAAAAATAAACCTTGAAAACGAGAACGAATAAGAAATAAACACCCAGAGTTTGAACTCGATTAACTTAGGAGTTGCAATACTGACAGACTTGGCATTTTGTGTTTTTCCAAGAGGCACATAACATATTTACATTAAGTTAATAAAAATCAACAGAACTTCAATATCTATTTGGGAATTCTAGCACTTTGACTCACCTTTCAATGTCTATGTTCAAAAATGTTTAAACCATGGGTAGCTTAGATGTGTTAGCATGTGCTCTACCTGTGGTGTGGTGATGATCACAGCTCCATCGATGTGGGTGGAGCTCAGGTACTGAACGATTGACAGGTGTTCGTCAGAGGTGCCGGGGGGCGTGTCCACGATGAGGTAATCCAGCTCCCCCCAGTCAACATCCCTCAAGAACTGCTTGATCATCCCTGATGTCAGACAAACAACCCACCGGTTATACTGGTGTGACCTTTGGAAAATAAAAAAACACATTTGAGACGTACACACAAACACTAATACCGTTCTTCTTGGGTCCTCTCCAGATCACAGCATCATCAGGGCTGCTGAGCAGGAAGCCAATAGACATGACGGCCAGGTTGTCATCCACGTACTGCAACATACAGTACACACAACGATCAATTATGGAGTAAAAACTACATGTAAACAAGGGTGAAATCTCCCTTGGAAGACAATTTAAATCCTTTTTGAATTATTACATTTTTAATACGCTTCTTTTTTGGAATGTTATACGTCTGAAAGCCCAAGATAGAAAGATAAATACACAATTTAACATCATTTCAGACAAGGACTTATGTTTGCCATGCATTACTATTTATCTGTAGTAGAATTGTGTTATGAATGATTGAGGGCTAGTTTATTTTGTTTGGCTTAATGTTGGTTGCATGGATGATATTGCTGTCTCACTTCTGTACTTGATTGTTAATTACATGAGTTATTTGTTTAGGTTCGTTGTGTTTATGTGTATATAGTGAGTATATGTGTGTTTGAATGTGTGTGTGGACCTCAGTACTAATGGGCATTCTCATGAAGACAAAAAGAGAATGTGCATTCAGGAAATATGCAACATTTGTGAAAGATTTAAACAATACAGCAACATTGTTTGAATAAACTCACCACAGGAGACCAGCCTGAGCCACTCTGATGAACCTGTGAACAAAAGAACAGATGTTATACTGACGCTGAAGTAAAATGTTAACATAATTCAAGTCAAAGCAGAAATGACAGGGTCTTTCATAGCATGTATGTGTGTGTTTCTGCTAAGATGTCAACTCACCTGTTCTCCCTCTAAGCCCATGATCCTAGGAATGGACGGACCGCAGATATCTACATCCAGCAGGGCCACCTGAAAACAGAGAGCAGAATAAACACTTTAAGAAAGAATTTTATAAAATGATTGGAGCAGTAAAGGTCTGCCTCTATCATGAACCTTATGACATTTCACCTCTGTTAACCCAAGTCTACAGTGACCTCTAGTGGCATTTAGTGGACTTGAGAAAACAGAAATCTCGAACCTTAAAAAGTGTAAGCATCATACAATGACCCTCAAAGAAAAGAGAACTCTATTAATAGTCAAAAGTTTGGTTGGTTGGTTTTTTTGAGATCTCATTGTATTGTTAACTACCAGGATGTTTGCTCTGTGGCTTGCACAGTAAATCAAGCACAAATATTTACCTCTTTTGTGTTGTCACTTGCCAGGGCGTGAGCCAGGTGAGCGCTGAAGGTACTCTTCCCCACTCCTCCTTTTCCAGACAGCACGAGAATAATGTGTTTGACCGTCGCCATCTTCGCTCCAATCTCTGCGATGGCTGGAGATAAAAGGAAGGAGAAGACTCTTTATACACTGAAATATTGATTGTTTCAATTTAAATCATAAAACACATGTATACAATATTGAGATGTGTTCTTACCGGGGTCGGGGGCCTTGGTGGCTCCAGAAGCACACGCTTTCTGGTTGGGACAGCCATCACATGACGACGTCTTTCCTGCCTGCTCACTCGCTGTGCCCGGGCAGTCTGAGGGATGAAACACATCAGTTATCAGCATGTCGTCTTTATCAGATCACCTTAAATGTATCAGAACCTAATACATGTTTTGGAGGCTGAAGTTAAATTCAAGTATACGGTTCAATTTATTTTTTTAAACTCTTTAACCCCTGCCTGCTTATACAGTGTCATTTCAAGCTTGGATAAAACCAACAGCAGGTAAGTAAAGAAGCCATAGTTTTAAAAAAAACATCAACTATAAGCACATTTTTGGGAATTATGCATAACATGTTGCACAATGGGTTTGTTTTTAAATAGTTCACTCAGTGTAAATAAAGCTTCAAAAGACATGCCATTTTAACAACATTCAAAACTAATTGAATGGAGAATAAAAAGGGATATTAGATGTACGGAATATCCAATACCTTACTGGGATAAAGAATACATCATTTATTATATAATTATACCATTTTACATTACAGAACATGGTTAAATGGGTAATGTTATCAGTGATTGTGGAGGTTGAGAACGGTGTCACGATGACTCAGCAACCTTGTCGATAGTGTTGACAGCTAAGAAAATACATTCAGTATTGTTTAAGTAGCACTATGATATATTGTTACATTACATTACATTACATGTTACATGTTAGACGCTTTTATCCAAAGCGACTTCCATACTCAATACTGTGGGCAATCCCCACAGGAGCAATTTGGGGTGAAGTGTCTTGCCCAGGGACACAACGACATGCTGACTGCAGTGGGGTTCGAACCTGTGACCCCCATCCCCCAACACCAAGGCTCTATCCACTGCGCCACACACCTCCCTTGTTCAGGCAACAATTATCACATTCTGCAAAGGCATTCATCTGCTGAGTGCTGACACTTGGCAACACCCGAGTGAGTGCGTCATTAAACATGGTGGCTTAGCAAGAGATTCAAGTTTAATTGTCTCGTAAAGAAGACAGCAGCACCAGTCCACATGAATATTTACACTATCGGGGAAATGGCAAGTAGGCTACTGTGTTGTCAACAGAGACGTGTTTAGCACTAAAAGTGAAACACTCTTCAAACCCATCTCGACCTTATAGTCACGGCAATGTTACATAAAGCTGACCAACACAATAGTGTACAAATAAGAAATAATTTAAGTTTAAAACTCACGCTGCGGTGCATCATCTGGTACGTCGGCCATCATTAAACCTGTGTCCTCCGGTTAAAGTCTTCCCCCTTCGAAGGTTCCGAGTACGCACAACATGACCGTGCAGTATGTACCTGCCTTTTTAATAATACAATCATAATACATGTATTTATTTAGTTATTATTGTTCCTATGTATTCCAGCTGGGCCAATATTACTAAAACTGGTTGTGGGTTTGTTTTTGATGATATGTGATAATCTGATGTTTTTGTCTCTGCATCTAGCATACAAAAAGCAAATGGAAATGGAAATGGAACTCTTCTTGTCAATAAACCAAGTTCAATAGTAAATCATTCCTCTACAGAGTTCAGTTAAAACACAACATTAAACTTAATTTATTAAGGATTTTTGTGCAAAGAAAACAACAGAGCCAAACAATGCCACAGTGGTGTACCATACACAATCATTACAAACCGAGTTATATTGGGCCACATAGGCGTCGTTTGCTCTGGGGACATGTCCCAACCACTTTTTGAAATGGCCGATTTTGTCCCCACCACTTTTTAAAAGTAGAAATGTTTTGGAAAAATATCGTGCAGAAAGAAATGTAATAAACAAGAACACTGGTTTAGTGTCAAGATGTGCCATTTGGACATGTTATTAAACCTTTAATAGAACATGTAAAATATGCAGCAGCACTGCACTTTAAAAAAAGTAATGTAAACCAAAAATGGTCCCCACCACTTTTTCTAGCAAAGTGACGCCAACAGTTTAAGATAATTACGCTGGAATCTATGGTGTAAAGCTAAAGAGGACTGAATGTGTCCACTAGGTGGTGGTGTTGTTTGATTTATATGTCATGCAAACTGATTCATCCTGAAGCACTTCTGTTTACATGAAAATCATTCATTGAGTGACTTGTAGAAGGTCTTATGGAGCATCAGTCCAATGTTCTACTCCCACTATTTTCACCTTTATCTTAGCGTAATTTATATATTAGTCGCTGCCACACATTTATGAAGCTGCTTTAATTCCCATTTATTCGGACACAAAGACATTTCATAAGTAGTATTAAAGATGTATTGTTAATCATTGTTTTTGTGTGAATCCAATTAGATAGTATCGATTATATTGCTTCTTAATTTAGCACATTATATATGTTTTAGTCTAATACTTTAATGTTCTGGATGGCCAATTTAGCTGCCTGGCAATTATGCTTAAAACAATTCTACAAAATCTTTACATTGTCGCCATGTGAAATATATCTCCACCTGTTTAACCTCACTCTTTCTCTCTCTAGGGGCTCATACAACAGGTGTGTGTGAGTGTGTGTGGGTCTTTGTATCCTACAGTTGTTTCTGTCCAAACACATTAAACTTTGCGACAAAGCCGTTTTATTGGCTAACTGGCATAAGGGAAATGTGATTGGTTGACGGACAAAGTATAATTTGTCTATAGCGTTGCAATCAAAGAACAAGGAGATGTTTTAGGTTAGTGTGTGTGTGTGTTAGTGTGTGTGTGTAGTATGCATCTTAATATTACCAGCATGTACAAGTGTGTTAAGTGAGTCTATACACACACACACACACACACACACACACACACACACACACACACACACACACACACACACACACACACACACACACACACACACACACACACACACACACACACACACACACACACACACACACACACATACACACACACACACACACACACACACACACACACACACACACACACACACACACACACACACACCTTTGATTTTAACATATCTACATTTGTGTATTTGTGTGCCCTGTGTGTGTGTGTGTGTGTATGTGTGTTTGTGTGTGTGTGTGTGTGTGTGTGTTTGTGTCTACCCTTCCCCCAATTGTTTGCCCTGTAGAGAGTGTGTAATGTGATATTTTCTTTGTGTAGACGCATCCGTCACTAACTGACAAAGATATACACACAAACCTTGAACAAGCTGTATTTCCTGCTAGGAGCCTGTGACCTAAGATTTTCATTGTCATAACTTCTGTAGCTATGCACATGTGACAATACAAGCCTTGCATCTTGAAATGTAGGCTGTCAACCAACAGTAAACAGTTATGGTGTTGTCTGGGCACTGATTGGAGGACGTAACATCCAAAAATAATAGGATTTGACTTTTCTTTTTAATGCTGCCTTTTATTAAATCTAAGAGTACATCTCTTTCTCCTTCTTGTGCAGAGACTGCAGACCCTCAGCCTCTTTGTGGGGTGAATGTGGTCTATCACTGTGAAGTCAACTTGAAAAATCCTCACAGGAGATTAAGGGGTTAAAAAGTCGGGCTGATTGACAGAGTGGCAGCTGTCTGAAATCATTACCTAATTGCTAATCAGCGTCGCTGCACCTTTTAAAAGCAACGCACCTGAAAGAAGGGAGTAATCAAAGCTGGAGAGGGACAAACTAAAGAGCGTGCGTCCAGCAGCAGCAACGAACCTGCAGAAGACACGTCAAAGAAGCAGCACTGGTGCAGCCATAACAAGCTGGAGAAGCGGCCGGTGAGAGACGAACTGTGTGTTTAGTTAAGTCATACAACTTGCCGTTCGTGGCGCACGTTAGAAAGTGCGTTCTAGTTCAGTGTCATTTGTTTGTTTGATGTCCTCAAGCTAAAGCAACACGATTGTTGATTTAAAAACGAATGTGATTTGTTTATTGAGAGATGTAGATTGATAACAACGGTTTGCATGCTGCTAAACATTCAGTCTATTATATTTGCATTTTTAATGAGACTGCATAAGTTAAAAACTGTTTAAAAACATAATTCATAAAAATACATTAAGAAAGTAAAACAATATTCACAAGTGTTAAAAAGTATATGTAAAGCATGTATTTTTGCATTTATTATTTGATGTGCATTGTATTTACAGTAATTATATTTCATTTAAGGTTTTTTACCTTACAAGCTTTCTACATAAGCTGTACTGCAACAACAAAAACGAAAGTAAAGAAGAACTCAAAAGAAACAAAGTTGTGGTCATTGTACGAGTGAAACCCAGTTAAAACCTCCTATGGACTGTACCATCCCTTTCAAGCGGGGAAACTGCAAAAATACCCAACGGCTTGACAGTAAAAAACTTGGGCTGTAAGCTGGAACAGTGAAAACAGTGACCTGGAAAAGCATGGCAGAGGTCATTGCAGTAAAGGAGGCAGAGCTGAAAGAGGAGGAGTCAGTCGAACTAACCGAACAGCAAGAAGTCGACATGGCAAGGATCACAAATGAATGTGACTTGAAGCTGAAGGAGGTTGGAGAGCTACTTAGAGACATGCTTTGGCAAAAGTTTGGAGATGAACTGTGCACAGCTGTAGAACTAGCAGAAGCTGAGTGTGAGCGTGTCGCTCGAGTACGTCCTGATGGCAACCATGAGGCCTATGAATTCATGCTCAGCCATCTGAAGTCACTGGTGGGGACCGCAAAGGAAGCTCATTGCAAGTGGCAGCAGTGGGTTCCAGTGGAAAACCAGAAGGAGTTCCGCAATCGGTTGCGAGACATCGAACGGGAAGCAACCAGTCTGGTTTCCAGAAAGGCTGAGTTCATCGTGGCGAGACGACAGGAAGACACAAGGTCAGGATCAACAAGTACTGCCAGTCATCCCATCTTTACCCCAACCGTTAGGCTAAAACCCACAGCTCTCCCCAGATTCTCTGGCTACAAGCGTGATTTTCACAGGTGGAGAAGAGACTGGGAGTCGCTCCAAAAACAGGGAGAACCAACAGGCTCCAAAGAAGTAAAAAATATACAGTTGCTAGACAGTCTCGATGACAGGATCAAGAAAGACTTTCACCTCACTACTTATAACACCGCAGATGACATTCTCCGTGTCTTGGAGAACCGCTATGGCAATCGAACGGCTATTGCCATTGAAATAGTGGAAGACCTTCAGAAGATGACATCTGTCAGAAGTAGCCAACCAAGGAAAATTGTCGAGTTGATTCAAGCCGTGGAGAAAGCACTCTGGGACCTGAGTGACCTCGGAGACACAGGCGCCATAAAGAATCCTCTCGTAACAAAATCGATAGAGTAAACTCCCTGAGTCCCTCACAAAAGAGTGGCTTGTATATGTAGCCGATCCAAAAAATGGTGTGAGGCCAGATAAAAAGTTTGATTATCTCTTGGAGTTTCTCAAGCAGCAGGAGACTATCTACGAGGAGCTCGAGCAGCTACGAGATGAGGAGCCAAGTAAACCAAGTAAGCCGAGTTGGAAAGACACCAGAAAAGTGCCAGAACCAAGTTTACAAAGTCAGCTGATGACCAAGGCTGTGTAGTCTGCGGCGATGTCAAACACAAGAGGAAGCTCTACTTCTGCAAGCAGTTCAGGGCTCTGAGTGCAGCAGAAAAGAAGGCTTCAGTAAATAAGTTGGGTGTGTGTACAAGATGCCTTGAGGTTCACGACGACCAGTCATCCTGCAAACCTGGCTTTCTATGCAGAAACGAGGACTGCAGAGATGGAGAGGCTGGGCATCACTACTACCTCTGTCCCAAATCTGTGTCAAAGAGGTCTGGTGACAAATCTGAAAAGGATAAAGGCAAAAAGAAGTACACAGAGGGTCAAGAAGATTTCATCAAAAATCTCCCACCAGACCTAGCAAAGCAGTGTAGGGAGGTTTTCTCAAATGTTGCCTCCAGAGTCTTCAAAACCTCAAATGACCAACAAAGTCTACTTGAAAAGAGTGGAATGCAAGAGCTTCCAGTGATCATGATGCTACTCGTCGTCACAGCTAACGCCGGACAGAAAGTCGGAACACTCATCGACTTAGCATCTGACACAAATTACATCACTCACAGAGCGGCGAGCCGCCTGGATCTCAAGAGTGAAGATATCATGCTCGTTGTACATGGAGTTGGCGGAATGAAGATTCAAGTAAAGACAAAGCGCTATCTCCTCAAAATCCGTGTATCCACCCCCAAGGGCACACTGAGAGTACATCAATTGGTTTGCTATGGGCTTGACAACATTGCAGACGTCCACAAAAGTGTGACACCTAAGCAACTGCAGCCATTCTTCCCAGACGTACCTCTTGATGAGCTTGTGAGGCCCAAAGAAGTCGAGCTTCTCTTTAGCCACAGAGAAGGC